GCCATTTCGATGACACCAACAGCCGGTCAATCCATCTTCCAGTTCATATTGAGAATTGCAGGTACTGCCGTCGCAATGATAGTAGCCTGGCTCATTTGGTACATCCCCGGGCAACAAACTGCGGGTATCCTGGTTTTCCTTTGGTTCTTCGTCGCGATCGGCTTCTATATTCCGTTAAAACGCATGGATCTCGTTATCGTTGGAATGATCAGTGTGGTCACTGCTACTATGATCGTCGGTTATGAACTCCAAGTTCGCAAGATTGGAGAACAAGCCGCGACAGCAACAACAGGTCAACCTGCATACCCCATCTACACACTCGGCCCCTACCGTCTTGCTACAGTAGTGGGTGGTCTAGCTGTCGCCTTCTTCTGGACTATCTTTCCTTACCCCATTACCGAGCACTCTGCGCTCCGTCAAAAACTTGGAGGCGCGCTATACCTTTCTGCAAATCTGTACAGCATCATGCATGAACAAGTTATGGGCCGCATCCGCGGTGAGCTAGGCGGTGACGAAGAGACCGATAAAGAGAGTCCAGGCTATCAGCTCGTCAAAGCCCGTAATAAGGTCTTCGCTAAACAGATGCTTACCCTACAAGGGCTGAAGATGCACGCCGGATTCGTCAAGTGGGAGTTCCCACTTGGAGGCAAGTTTCCCAAAGAAGAGTACGAGAAGATCATTGGTTATGTCGAGAAGTACGTATCACTCCGGATAAGCAACGATGTAATAACTCGAACGTGACTAACAACATACATCAGCATCGTAAACTATACAGCCCTCCTAGGCTACGCCTCCCAAGCCTTCACCCACCCCTCACTCAACCGCCAATCCGCCGACCCCACACCTCCTGAAGCAGAAGAAACCCCTTTCCAAGACCACCATTCCGCTCAATGGTTCAACGACTTCCGCCGCGTCATCCTCTCCGCAAAAGTAACCTCGCATGAAATCACCTCTTTACTCGCTATGCTCTCTTCCAGCATCACAAATGCACAGCCTTTGCCTCCTTACCTACACGCCCCACCAGGTGCACAGCTCAGCCGCAAACTAGAGATGGTGGACCCGGAGATTCTGAGCTTAAGACATATCGCCGAACCGGGATACGCGGCCTTTGCAGTCATGAGCATAAGTACGAGGTGTATACACATGGATATTGAACGGCTGTTGAAGGCCGTCAAGGTGCTCGTGGGCGAGTTGGACTTCTCGTTCCATGTCGTCAGCACGAAGGATGCTGCGAGCTCGGATGAGACGCTCGTTAAGCGGAGTTCGAGGAAGCAGGACTAGGCATATTTTGGATTGTAGACCTTTTGTAATGTTTTGTAATGGAATATATATTCCCACGGTTGCATATGAGGTTGGGTAATTTTGGTTACGACAAAAAGTGTAATAGTAAGAGGGGGCGTCCCCAATCATACGAAGAATCTAGCTAAAGAGCGACAAGAAGTATTCATCGCTACTGTGTTACACCACATCACCTCTCTCTCGTCAGCAAGCATCGGAGTGTTGGACCCGGCGCCGCTGAGTCAAGAGATACGAACATCAATCATAGAGCCCTAAAGCGTCCTTGCAGGAACGCTTGCCATTCACTCGAGATCGAGCAGAAATCTACTGGCAAGTACCAACAGCCCTCGCGGAGAAGATAGGCTTGTTAGGACCAAAAGTACCGCATCGACCAGTGACATCGTAGACGATCCTGTTGACGCTCGAGCAAGTGTTGTCAGAGTATGCAACGACTAACACCGTCGAATTAGCTCTCTTTCACACCAACTGACAACTCATCACTTCTCTCAAGGCAACTTACGAGTGCAACCGGCAGGCAGTGACGGCAAGTCGGTCGGGAGAATCAACGCGGAATCTGTGTTTCCGCTGAAGATGGGCGAGGTGGGGAAGCAGCTGCCATCAGCGGGGATGTAAGCGGTCGTCACGGCGATACCGCTGTTGCAGCCTGCACCAGAGTAGAACTTGAGGGGAATGGTGTCGAGGCGCTTGCTCATCTCCGTTGGGGCGGCGTTGATGCCGACGGCTGCAATGAGGAGGGCGATGGTGGTGGTGAACTGCATCTTGAAAGCTGCTGGAGATGATGTGTTTGAGCGAAGAAGTGTAGTAGAAGATGGTTAATGATACTGTTTTGATGAAGACTAGATAATGGGTAGATGCTGTGATATTTATACTTTGTCGTGAGGCTCATTTCCTGGGCAAGGTATGCCTAGCTGTTCGCAAAGTTTCGTTAGCCTACCTCTGCTGACACGAAGGATGCCTCTTCGCACGGGCGTCTCAACGAAGTTTGCATGGTCGATGGCTTTCTTGAAGATGTTGGTGTGAAGAGATACGGGGGCTGACGTCTGGGCGATGTCGGCCTACGGCGTAGGTATCATGGTGCACCAAGCTCCCACACCCGACTATACGAGAGATCATTGGTCGTCCACTGGATAAAATTCTGGAAGGTTTGGTTCCAGGCTAAAAGAGGCGTTCTTTCCAACACCTTTACGACTAGGCTGATGCCTTCGCGATGCTATTGAGAGCTTGGGATGCACCCTTTCACCTCACCGACAGTAGTCAATAGTGTTGGTGGTGAGCCAAACTTGTTCCTCCTTCTCTTCTAGAAGGCTGATTCACCTTCGTGGGTAGGCCGTATCGTTCTTAGCGCATCTTGCTATGCAATAATTGTGTGACCTATAGGTACATGCTACTGCTCAGCTCACTCAGAAAGCGCAACAGCAGTCGCGAACATGTAACAGCACCCGAGCTCCGACCGCGATGCGTAGAACGGATCGTCGGGTCGACTGGTACCTGTTAGAGGTAATACAACAGTATGCAGATGAGAGCCGCCAAGTTCGAAGAGGATGAGAAGGTATGCATTGTCTGCATGATCCTGCTGCACCGCATCGTCGGATATGTGGTCCTTGTATTCCTCAACGCCATTACATTCTTCGCAGCGAGGTGCTTTTTGAGCCAGCTATGATTACCTGGATAAGGTGACAGACGCTGGTTTTGTGGAATTCGATGTTCTCATTGCTAAGAGAAGGCTGTGAGCTTTCCGATCCGATGTGTTGCTCGATCGCCCGTAAGCATAACCTGACCGGTCACTGAATGTGGCGCATCCCGAGTGAAGCTGACATGCAAGTGCTGTGACCAACCTGCATTTGAAAGCAACAGCCCTGACGTTCGTTTGTCTGACACCAGCGATGGAATCGATGATACGTTTCTTTTCTCGTGTGAACCTGGTCTACTACCCTAGTAAGCGATCCTGCGAGGCTGGACGTCCCGTGCCGCTGACAAGGTCTAGGCTTTCCGAAGAGGCCGCATGGTAGCGGAAGCGCTAGGTTCCTTGGTGAGCCGTACGGAAGCGATGTTGGTAAGATGAGCTAAACGCGAACGATGGGCTGCAGTAGGTGGTGCAGGTAGGCGTAGATGAACTGTAGTAGGGAGCCCTCGATGCGGATTGAGACCGATCATCGAGATACTATCTCATCTGTATCTCTTCTGTACATCAACACGGTCGTCCTGGCAGTATTCGTACGTATCCAAGCACCAGTCGTAGAAAGTCCAATTGTATTATCTTACCACTCAGATCAGATGTTGCCACCCAGTCACTATAGGCTAAATGCGATGCGATTCAGGACTGGCCCACGGACTTCCTCGCTTCGAAACTGCAGCTCGGAGATGCTAACGCGAACCGATGATGTCGTAACACGGACTTCTGTTGGTCGAGAGGTGAACATCATGCCCGGTGACACCGGAAGAACAGATGGTGGCTTCAAACCATCTTTCCATTGGCAGTTTCTATCCACATTGCCTCAGGGTCGAGCGAGGTGGAAAGCAACAGCAGAAGGCTTGCGAGACGCCAACACCCTACTGTCTGGTTGCTTTGGAAACAAGGTTGACTTTGCGCGATGAAGTGCGGGATGAGGGTCGAAGTGGCAGATGTAGAAACGAAGCAATCTCGCTGCTTAGTTATGTTTCAGTGGCGGGGCCCGCTTCCAAGGTTTGCTTTCGACTAGGCACCCGACCCCTAATACCAGCCCGTAACATCGTCATAACGAGATACGTGGCACACTCCTGGGGCCTCTATTTACCTCCAGTCTGCATGAACACCATAAGCACCGCCGCGTACGCTGCAGTCGATGCTACCACCTCGAAAGGTCTATTGATAGTCGCGTCTGTCATTAGTAAAGTGAAAAGGATCACGAACCCCGTAATAATTGCCAGCCGACTGTTATTGTCAGAAACATTCTGCATCCACCACAGGGGCGCAAGAAGTATAGCAAGCCCTAAGGCTATTATGCCGAGTGTGATTACGCTCTCAAAGGTCTGGTCGCTAGAATAGGATCTAGCGTCCGATTGAACATGCAGGTCCTTCACAAACTTCGCTTTGAAGATCTTCCATGTGTGCAGACTGCGACACGCCTCTAGCCACTGACCCAGTGGTGGACGGACTCTCTCGCTGATCGATATCAAATCGCTCTTGTGCGTGACGAAATATTGTTCTTTCTCGGTAACGGCACCACGCTTCAGCTAGTTCTCGACATTGCTTAATTGACGGGGCTCTGCTCGTAAGACTCTAATATTAACAGTATTGCGCTATTAGTAGACGATACACGCGGCATCGTTTTTATAGGTACACCTTGTTGTAGCTTAAAGTTAGCTAATATAGCCTCTTTTCTCGCTAAAAACTTTCGCGTCTGCATCTTTTAGTAAGTTAACACTTTAATAATTAACGAGTTGTAGAGCTAGAACCCGCAGCTTAATAAACTTTAGGACTACTTCTATCGGCTGCTTGTTAAGCGCGTGAAAGAGGATAGTGCTACAGAGGTGCGCTGCTTTTACGAGACACTACCCTTGGCCAGCATCAGGGATGTCGTCGTTCCAGTTTACTCGGCTGCTCCGCCCGTTTTCGAGGGTTCAGTGGAGGTGGATACGAACCATATCGATATGACCAAGTTCTCGAAAGAGGGAGATCAGACATACAAGAATGTACTGGCGGAGCTGCGGCGAATGATCGAGTTGACCAAGGAGCAGCGTAGAGACGATAGTGACCCTAGCATGCAGAAGACGAAGTCACATACGTTGGTAACAACGATCGAGGTGGCTTGGCCAACCACGGAAGTCAGACCATCGGCACGAGCAAGGGAGGTTCGACCCATTACGGTAAGTGTTTCTCGTGCCATAATTGAATGTCGCGCTGATAATTCCAGGAAATAACAACGACTTCAGAGGTTCGTGAGCATGGCTTCTGGGTCCCGTTGGCGGGAAACGGAAAAGGTCTTCCTGACTGTTGTAAAGCATTGGCGTGTAGTTAATCAGGTCGTTCGAAACGGTCACACCAGCTCGATATCCACAAGCTGATCTTTGACATCTCTCCACACTTCTCCTTGCATAGCCCCATGTACATATGCATCGCCCATCACCTCCCATATTCTTCTCGTATATCCATCGGAAACGTGCCGATTTGATTCCCGTAAGACATAAGGAACGTTGGCACCCTGCAGTAGCCACACTGCGTCTCCAGCTTCACAGCTAGTCGGCACCAGACCTAATAAGCCATTTTTGGTCCTAGCCAAGCGCCGAAATTGACCATTTCTGTTGATTGCACCACCAAAGTTGTGGTCTTGCCAGTCACGCTCAATTTCCGCCTCGCTGGCTGTAGGCCCGAGGCGGGCTATGCGATCGCTGATGGAAGACAGATAGGGATGACTGGTAGGATCTGGGCGACGGAAATCGACGATGTAAGGACATTTGGGGTTGAATGGAGGACGGCGCGGATATGTGCGGCTGATGTCCATTTGTGTCAGGTTCGCCCCGCAAGTGCAGCTTTGCTGCTCCGTATGTCTGACATCAGCCCGAGATGTCGCGAAGCCAGAATCATCGCCTTCGGAGAGTATGTCTATGTCGCGGAGGATTGGAGAAGCTGTATCTTCGTAGCCTGTCGTTGTCTCTTCATTATCAGGGTAGTAGAGTAAGCGATGGAGACAGCGGACGACCGAAGCGCCGGTTAGTCGCTTCACCACGTGTTTGAAACGGTCCATGTCGGGTTGGTGGTTGAGAGGCAGATGGCCAATGTCATTGGCGACCAGTGTGGTGGTTAATGCTTCGCATCGTGTTTGTCCTGTAGACTGATATAACTTCGGAAGGTTCAGTGTAAGCGCGCTCCACCGAGGATCGAATTGCAAGCGCTTTCCGTGCCATTCCCATGATCCGGCAAGCTCCACAATGCGGTCAATTTCGAGCCCACGAGCTCCGAGCACGCGGCTATCCGTGGGCACGATCCTCGAGGTGTCCAATCTCGACCCCAAAGTGGCATTGTAGCCCACGTTTGCGGAGGCGAGCTCTGATTGAAAGGCCTTGTCTTCAAGCTCCCCGACCCAAGTTGGGAATCTTGGAAACTTTCGTACCGATAGGTCGGTAACCCAACTTAGGCAGTTGAGGTTCTTCGTCTCATCGATGAGACAACGCAGCGCTTCGATATAAACCTGCTCTGGGCTCTTACTGTAATCGGCAGTTATTCCGAAGGCCCCACGAGGTACTATGCCTAATAATGCGAAGACCTTGTCTTCGGGATTTTTGCATTCGGTCATGCGGGCTAAAGTCAGGAGTTGCGCAAAAGTGAAAGGCAATGTCTTCTCTTGCGTTGTAGGCGGGTTTAGCAATCGCCACCGATTGTGGAATAGCTCCAGAATGGCATTTTCATGGTCGTAGTGACGATTATTTCTCATGGGGAGAGTCAGTGCTTGCCCAACTGTTTCATGAAATCGATGCTGCTTGATCCATGCAACCAGTAACGCGACTCTTTGAAGTTCTGAAAAGTCCAAGATGTCCGTACCGCACAACATACGGATGTGTCGAGCAAGCATGACTTCTTGAAGTACCCAGCAGCGAAAGAAATACTTTCTGGCGAGAAAACGAGTCAAGCTTTCAAATTCTTCGGCAGAGATCGTGTCGATTTCTGTTTTGTCGTCTTCTTCCAACGCGATCTTCATGAAGTCTGTATATATTGAGCATTGCTGATGCTCTTGCATATTGTCAAAACATTGCAGTTTGTTGAGGCGCCGCATGAGTGGTATAGCTAGAATACTGTCTTTGTCTGCTGGGCCTAGCCACGATATGACTGACGAAGCTTTGCTATAGATTTGGGCCATTAAGCCAACCTGCGTGTTTCGTTCCCGCATATTGTCTTGATTGATACATAATTTGTCCTGTTATTGAACGTTTAGAGTCAGTATGTAATCCATGCATTGGTAATTGGGGTGGTACGAACAATCCAGAGGTATTGCACTTGATATTCGGGTTTCTGGCTGTTCACAGGTAGCATGCGAATAGCCCTAAGCGCGTGTTTCAGATTGGCCGTAACATCGATGTCTAGTTCATTGCATTTGATAGTCACTTCCTGCACCCATGTTGTGGGCGTCTCTTTCTCGAACCAGTACCGATACAGTGGGTCGCCCCAAGTGTAAGACAGCGCATGGAACTCGAAGGTATTGTGCTCGAGATCAGTCAGGTGGAGCGTGCATTCGATAGGTTCGTCGTCGCTCTGTACTGGATGAAGCTCGATGACGCGCATCGATGTCGCTGTCGGCAAGGGAGCGTACAGGTCTGGATGTCGCGACCGTGGCGCGTCCATGGTGGGGCTGTCAACTAGCTCTAGTTTCGCTGGAGCACAATCGGCCCGACAGCACTATATAGCATTAGTAGTGACCTTGGCACAAGACAGCAGGAGAATACTTTGAAGAGGACTTATGGATCTCGTTACATCGTTGCCGGTGTCATTTGGAGCAAAGTTGGATTTGCAATGGAACCTTGGAAAAATTCAAAGTGAGGCAACGCAGTGAGCGGCATTATCGTGCTGGCCAAGACGCTAACCGGGATGGATCACCCATGATACGTTGGGCAGTCGCGGGTGGAAACGAAGAACTTCACTCTCCGAGAAGCATGCGGCATGGCACAGCCAAGTAGATGTCAATGAAGAAATAAACTACATCATCCAACATAATGCTACAGACTTTTCATCAGACTGCGCCAGAAACACCCATCGATGCAATGCGAGCTTTCCCCTCTTATCTACGCACCTACACATCATCACCCTTCTCCGCCTTCTTCTCTCTCCACTGTTCCTCAAGCGCCTTGACCTTCTCGACACCCTTCTTGTTCCCCACACTGCTCTCCCACTCAGCCCACTTCTTGAACACACTCCGTATCCTCGAAGCCTTTCCAACTTTGGTCATACGCTCGAACAGATCCCGGACGTTCTCTGCGCTACCGTGACTCTGCTCCAACATAAGGTACATGTCCCAGACGTCGCCCTTCTTTGAGAAAGTGTCGACAAGGCCCTCAAAGATGGTGCGACCGCGTTCGGCGTCACCGTTGGGGCTCTTGAACTCGAGAGCGGCGAACTTTTGTGTCAGGTAGCGGTGTTGCGTTGATGCGACGGACTGGGTGGCGCGTTGAAGGAGAGCGCGAGCTCGTGCGGGGGAGGGTGGCTGTACGACGTCCATGAGGAACGCTGCGTATGAGAGCCAGAATTGAGGGTCAGGCGTGAACGACTTATTTTTCATCATGGACTGGTAGAGGTTGTCCGCTTTCTGTTCTGGTATTAGCAAACTTTGCAAGGGTGTGAGTATACAGCGGTACTTACGTCGATCTTGCCTGATGAGATGTAGATCTTGATCATGCGCTCATGCACTTCACGGGCATCGTTGTTCTGGCACGCCTCTTTGAAGACTGTGTCCATGGCATCGTCGCTAGCGAAGTCATTCTCAAGATGGAGAAGAGCGGTCCACACGTCAAGCTTCTCCTTCTCTTCCCTGGGGTTGATGGTTGCCAGTGCGCGACGGGCGACCTGGCGTGCCTTCTCGATCTCGTTGAGTTCGCGTTGGAAGACCATGTATCGAACCCACATTTCCCCGCTGTTGGGTTGTCCTAGGAGCAAGCGCTCGTAGTCGGCAACGGACTGCGGGCCATAGGCATCGAGATCACCAGTGCGGTCCTCTTTGATGGTGGCCTTCTTGCTCTTCTTCTTCTTCTTGGGGGCCTCGTCGTCGGAACCAGGCTCTGCAGCACCCTTTTGCTCATCGAAGTCAAGAGTAGCACCTGTCCAATCGAAGCCAGAAGTGCTAAGTCCTTGTGTTGCCGCTTTTGGCGCATCATCATCAGACTCATCGTCCGAGACTCTTGCGTCTGCAAGCTCGATGTCGTCGTCGCTATCGGCACTCTTGACGCTCCTCATGTCTACGTCATCGAGCTCGATACCGCCATCTGAGTCACTTTCTTCTAAGACCTCAACATCCGAGGCATCCTCCATGTCTTCATCCTCGTCTTCGTCGTCCCCCTTGACTTCAGAGTATTTCAAGCTGAAGCTGATCTTTCGGGTCTTTGTATCGATCTTTACGACCTTGGCTTTTACGGCGTCATCTTTCTTGTACATCTCTTTAACCTTGTCCTTGTCGACGGTAGTGTCGGCTAACTGAGAGATATGGCAAAGACCGCTGACGTTGTTCGAGTCGTCAACCACGAGGAAGACACCAAAGTCTTCTACATGCCGGACCTTAGCAGCAACAATCTGACCAACCTTCAGATCGCTGAACTCGATCGGCTCGGTGTAGGTTCCTTGGACGTGAGAGGCCTTCAAGCTCAGCTGTGGGTTGCGTTGGTCTGGCTTGTTCGATATGACCTTGCCAGTGACGAGCTGGTCGACATGGAAAGCAGACTTCCAATCCTTGATGTAGTCGTCTGAGAGGTGGCTGACACGAACGTAGGCTTCGACATGCGGCCCTAGACGGATGTAGATACCGTTGTTGGCGACATGCTTGATGAAACCACGGACAACCTGATGCACTTTGAGCTGATCCCTGTCCTTGATCTCGGGGTCTTTGATCGGTAGTGAAGAGCTCAATACCCTAGAAGGCCGAATAGACAATCCTAGCTTCTTGTTTGGAAGGTCGATGTCGATTACACACACCCGCAGGACGTCGCCGACTTTGAACTCGCTTGGCTTGGCTTTGTCGTAGTCGTCTGCCAACTGCTCCTGGAATATGGGTGCAGCAATATTGTCGTTGATCTGGACGACGATAGATGTGTCGTGTAGCTTTGTGACACGGGCAGGCAAGATGTGACCCACCTTCAAGTCTTGGAGGGTCAATGACTTGCCAGTCACATTGGTCGCAGCTGTTAGATCCAACTTTCCGGCTGCAACGTCGACCGCCTTGACCCGAACCTTGAGAGCAGAACCAACAGGGAAATTCTCTGCAACATCCGAAAGCTTCTCTAGGTCGTCAGTCAGATCAAAATAATCGATGCGACCGCGAACGTTGGCGGAAATGTTCACCCAGACGTAACGCTCGGCAATGTTGTTGATAAAGGCGACATGAGATGATCCAGGGGTGATTTTGTCAAGGCTCAACACGTCGGCTTCAGTCTTAACTTTATCGGTGTTTGCGGTCATCTCGAAAGTGGGCGTCTTGTTGTTTGATCGGGAAGTGATGGGGAGGAAACGGAAGTTGCGGGCATCGTGCCTTCCGAGAACCCTGGCCTGGATCTTGTCGTTCATCTTGAAATGTGCTGTTGGGTGCTTCTTGTCTGGGATGCTATCCCAACCATCGAACAATTCTGAAACTGAAATACGTCCTGGAACATTTGCCGCAAGCTCAACGTTGAGCTGTGTGTCTTTGACCGATCGAATGCGAACTGTTGCTAGGGCACCGAATTTAATGTCGTCGGTAGATGTGATGTTGGGGTCAACAGGTTGTACTAAGGCCTCCCCTTTTGATACTGGAGCATCAACGACGTTGGCCGCTTCCGGATCAGATTCACTCTTCATCGACAGCCAAAAGAATCCTTTCCCAGCGTCTACATGTGTGACACGAGCAGTGATGGACTGATCCTTACGAAGACCAAAGTTTGGCGCTGAAAGCATGTCTTCTGGTAATTGCGACTTAAACAGAACACCACTTATGCCGTTGCCAAGCTCGATGAAGATCTTGTCGGGAAGAATGCCGCGCACAAAGCCATGTACCATCTCGCCAGCTTGGAGATCTTCAATGCTGATTGCGAGTTTTGAAGCCTGAGCGTCCTTTCGAAGACTAGGCTTGTTCGAGACTGTTGCTGTCCTAGACTTGCCATGCTTTGTCAAGACCACAAGGTCTTCGAGGGTTCCACCTACACGAATCTTCTTCATGGTCGAAATATCCTTCTTCTCCGATCCGTCGGTTAGGTGACCTATGCGGAGGGTAGCCTTGACACCATGGCCAATGTCTAGAGTAGCGGTTTCATCGGACTTCTCGATGACGGTTCCTTTGACAATGCCAGCAGGGTTCAATGCGTTGAAAGCAGCCTCCTTGTTGATGTCAATGGCAGCTGGGTCCTTGCAGGACACCAGGAGCTGGTTCTCCTTTGCGTCGACAGAGACCACACGGACGTTGACGACCTGGCCGTTCGAGAAGTGTCGCGTAGCATCCTCAATGTATGCTTCGCTCATCTCCGCAGCTGGGAGCCATGCCTTGACATCGCCGTAGAAGCGTACCGTGGCACCATTCTTGCGAACGCTAACCAAGATACCCGGACCAGTAGCACCCTCAGAGAGCATGGAGTAGTTTGTCCATGGCTTAACATCTGAGTTGACGAGAGACTTCTTTAGGGTGAGTTGGATCTGATGCCTGGCGGGTTCTGTGTAAAGCACACGGGCTGTGACGGGCAGACCTTCCCTAAACTTGCGCTCCGGATGTTGAAGACGGACGTCGGCCAGATGCATCTCTGGGACTAAACCGGTGATGCCTTCGGCAAGGTGAACGAGAACGGCGGTAGCTCCTTTCTTGTCAGCAATGAGCTTGTGCACTTTGCCCTTGACAACTTCACCAGCCTTGATATCCTCAATGCGAAGGAAGGGCTGGTCAAGGATCTTTTGCTCTAGCGAAAGTTGGAAGAGTCCGTCCAAAGCATTGTAGCCTATGATCCGTGCTTTGTGTTTTGAGTCAAGCTTGTATGCGCCAGCCTCTTCGGAGAGAATGTCGACCTTGTCGTCAGAAAGTCTCGAAACGTGCGCGAAACCGACAACATCTTTGATACCGAGATCAAAGAAAGCACCATGGCCTGGCGCTACTTTGATAACTTTCGCGCTGTCGACGATGGTGGATATGGGTAGGAGGTCAATCGGAGGCTTGCGCTCCTTGGGTTTCCCAGACATGCGAGTAGACAGACTAACCACATGGTCTAGTAATGATAAACCGACTTTCCTGGGCTCGGAGTCTGGGCATGTGAACAGAACACGGGCCTTGACCTTCGAGCCGATCTTGTGCTTGCTGGAAATGTCGGTAGCCTTCTCAGTCGCTCCAGAGTGGTACGCGTCGGCGGTTGCGTCTATGAGACCGAGGATCTTGCCGGTCAGCGTGCTGGATGTAGTGTCGGTAACGAGTACGTCGACGGCGGTTCCTGGGAGGAAGATGTCGACAGTGGGCGCTTCAGTCAGCGTGTTGCCCTTGGTCAAGTTCCCTGCTTTGGTGTGGTCTGCGGAGAGCTTGACAATGCGCCCATCCGAATTGAGGCCAGTAACCAGACACATGAAGACTGCGCCTTCTTGTACCTTGGAATGTTGCACCTTGGGACCTAGCTCGCCCTTTGGCAGGAAGCCCTTCAGGCTGCTATCGTCGAGGCCTAAGTCCATGACCAAGCCGTGGTCCTCATTGCTGACCACGGAAGCCTGCACCATGCTGTTTACGGGTATCTTGCGCTTGCTGAGGCCCTTGTTGACTAGCTTGGGATCGATAGACAGCTCCAGCCTCTTTCGCGCTCTTGCGCTGGCGTCGCTAGTCGCTGTGATGCATGCGCGGACATACTGTCCTACCGAGAACATATCCTCTAGATGCACATCTTCGAAGTCATCATCGTCGCTTCCTTCTTCTTTGTCCGCCTCTTCCTCTTTGAGAAGTTTCTCTAGCCTCTCGTTGAGCTTGTCGGACACGGCGGTGAGCGGGACATAACCGACGAGGTTATTCGGGAGCGCGAGGACGATGTCTTGGTGAGAGATGTCGGTGATTTGGCCGAGAATGATGGTTCCAGGCGATAATTTCTGCGATCGTTAGCATGACCCTCGCATTGCGCAGAGACTGGCGTACCTTGTAGCTAAGACCCTCTGCCCTCACGGTGTCGTCCTTTTCTCCACTGTCGTGCGACTTCTTGCTCTTCTTGAGCAGCGGCTTCTTCTTGGACTTGGCGGCGGATCTCTCCTCGTCCTCGGATCCCATGTCGCTGAATCCATCGTCCCCGCCGCTGGGTCGCTTTTCGCCAGACTGCTCGAAAAGAACATCCTGATTCGCCTTGATCGAGATCTGCTTATGCTCAAGCGGCGTCAAGACGCTGGCACCTCCTCTGGGGAATGATTTCTCCTCATCTTTGAAGACACTGGGCTTGGGTGCGGCGCTCTCGGGCTTCGACTTGGCCGGTGATGGCTGCTCGGCATCGGATTTCCGTCGCTTCGCTGATCGGTCGGTGGGTGCGCCCTTTGCCTTCTTCGATGGCGCGGCGCCTTGCTCTGCTTTTCGTTTAATTGCGCCCATGATGCGCAAATTCTCCGGCTGTGGAGAGGGTGGTGGTACTCAAGTTTGCGCCAAGAGTTCGAGAGTCGCATATGCTCTTCGACTTTTTTGGTGGGTCCATGCACGCAGATTCTCCGACCCCCGACTGACAGGGAAGCCGCGGCTGGCACGTGAGCTAAAATGGCACGGCAACGCGCGCGAAAGAGAGCAACTTGTCGATGCGACAACATTCACGGATTGTAGAGCATTTTAGACTACATGATAAAATGGAGTTTGCATCTGCGGTGTCCTCTGCGGTAGTTTCCGTTCTTCTTGCCATGTTGTACGGCAAACGGGAGGATATCTCGAGGGAAGGCAAAATCACTTAACGCCCAGGAAGGCATAGCGCAGCACGTCGGTCGCGCCCGCGACGTGCTTTGGCCGTGCGCCTTCCTCTCCAACCTCGCCGTCATCTATGTGCATTCGTCCTCTATTTCTATCGGCATCTTCAATTGCTCGCGTGTCTTCGCTTGATTGTTTATTGGTGTTGCTTGTATATGTGTACTGCTAAAAAGGAACATGTCTTCTCCATGCGCCCCTCGAAGTCTGCTGCTCCAAGAGCCCACGCCTGAGCTCTTTTCATCACCACCTCCACCATCATCCGCGACTGTTTGCTCACGCAAGCCAAAACGGCCACCGCCCATTACGCCCAAGCGCTTCACCCGCTTCTTCACCCCGCGAAACTCCAAGGATGTCTCGTCGCGCACTACCCTTACCAGGTCGGGTCGCCAACTGCAAGACATCACACGATCGGCTCTCAATCGCAGCCGGGAGACGCGGAGCACCCCACGCAAGACGGTCAACTTCGTCGACATCGAGAACCCAATGCGAACCCCCCAGAGCAGCGCGCGCAAGCGGAAGATACCTTACCTGTCGCCCGCCAGCTCCCCAGCCCAGTCGTCTCCATCGAAGCGGTCGCGTTACGTCACTCCGCCGGAAATCGATATACTTGAAGACGAGCTCGATTTGGATGAAGAGGAGCCTGCTATATACCCTGCACCTATTCGGAGGTTAACAACATTGGGTCGGCCTTCGAGAACACTGCAGCGGTCGTTCGGTGGAATACTGGGTGTAGGAAGAGGGTTCAGACGTGACCATGGGGCATCATGGCAAGACCAGGCAGCCAATTTCTACAGTGGCGCAGACGACCTACATCAGTTGTCACAGGGGGCGCCGCCCTTCTGCACGGCCAGTTGCAACAGTATGTCATTCACTCATTACCCTACGTCATCACAATACTGACAACCCCTAGCCAACTCTATGCTCGCTATAGGAGATGAAGACGGGTACATCCACCTACAAGACTCCGAAGGCGACTTCTCCAAACCCCATGTATCATGGAAAGCTCACTCCAACGCCATCATGGACGTACAATTCTCCTCGGATGACCTACACCTCGCCGCCGGTTCTGGAGATCAGACTGCACAGATTGTTGATGTTCGCACCCAACAAACTCTTGCTGTGCTGGCGAAACACAAGTCGTCAGTAAAGCAGGTCCGCTTCCAGCCCGGCGACGACAAGATGGTAGCTACTTCAAGTCGAGACGGTGCTGTGCAAATCTGGGATCTCCGATGCAAGGGCAACCAAGGCTCAATACACTCAGCTTGGGGCTCCGATGCACCGTATGCTAGTGTTGTACGCACTTTGGCTTCAGCGCACGCGGACATTAGTCTCCCGACATCCACATCGTCGGCCACCCGATCACTTTCCAACAGCAAGACCGAAAACATAAGCCGAAGGAACGATATTTCGGTGACAGCGCTGTCATTCATGCCCGCAGGCCGCGAACATCTGCTCTTGACCGCATCAGACGCATCGACATGCGTTAAGCTCTGGGACATCAGAGGCAGATACTCGCTGCGCGGGCCTGCCATCCCCATCGCAACCACCCGTCATCCCGAATCTCACAACCGCCACCGACACTTTGCCATCAACTCCTTGACTCTTAGCGGTGACGCATCCCGACTATACGCCCTCAGCAAAGACAACACCGTCTACGCCTACTCCACGAGCCACCTCATCCTCGGCGTAGCACCAGAGCTGTCCACAACCTCCTCCTCAAAACAGAAATACTGCGGTGTAGGCCAAGAAGGCCTAGGACCCATTTACGGTTTCCGTCACCAAAACTTCCACGCCGGCTCCTTCTACGTCAAGGCATCCTTGCGCAAAGCATGCGAAGACCGCACCGAGATGCTTGCGGTAGGCAGCACAGACGGCTGCCCCGTATTATTTCCAACCGACGAAAACTTCCTCAAACGCGAAACAAGACACGAGGACGACGCAGACGACCTCCCTGACATTACTAGCATTGCCGCAAAATCCACACGACCCACACTTTCCCACACATCGACAAACAGCCGCTGCCCAGATACCATTCCCATCTACGAGCACGGCACAGCTCTCATACGAGGACACGACGCAGAAGTCACCAGCGTATCATGGGCGCGTAACGGCAGCCTGATCAGCGTGAGCGACGACTTCCGCGTCCGACGATGGAAAGAAGGAAGCCAAGCCAGAGACCTCCGCATGGGCGGTGAGAGCGAGGGTAGGAGATGGCAGTGCGGATGGGCCGCAGTAGGAGATGGATATGACGACGAGTAGGATCGTCCGCGAGTTTTTGTACGACGTTGTTTATTATACCCCAGCTATTGATTGTGTAGGAATATGAATGAAGAGAAGATGATGATTGTGAAATTTGACTTGCTTGCCGGTGCTTATCATGTGTTTCTGCTAACGATGTGACATGTACCCAGCTGCTGTAATATGGCAGCACAAGGCTTGCGACACAACGCTCGGAGCAAGCGACTGCTGAGCCTCTCCCCGCCGTGCGCTATCAGACTAGACATTGACCCGCCTACCCCTTCCTCGGCCAAGGTTTTCCTTCAATCTTGGCATGCTTCGCTTCTCGATCTCTTTCTCCGTCACCTAAACTCTGCTTCTCGCTAGCCTCATTGAAGCTCCCTGGTAACAGCTTATACCCCCGCTCATCAAATCGGACCGCCTGTCTACTTTCAAAACTACCAAAAGACACTGATATCATCCCACGAGCTCCGCCTAGCATAGTACCGATAAAGCCTGTCGGTGTAGAGGGTGGAGGACTAATGGGTGAGAGCCACGAGTTTGATCGATCTGAACGCGGGGACACAGACTGTGACACCGTGGTGTCTGTCGTCTGCATTCCTTCTATCTGGTGTACATGTGCTGGTAGCGGTTTAATCGGCCGATCAAAGCTTCCAGGCATACTCGCATATGCACTCCTAGGCTCAGGCATCGCCTTCGACAGAGACTTGTACTCCAATGGCGCAGCAGGGAAATCAACCTCTTGAGACGGCCGCACTGGGAAGATTTCCCATTCGGACGCTGTAGGTGTAGACGGAAGTGAGGTATCGTATCTCGTTGGCAGTGAAGGATAAGAAATCGTGCTGTCAGTGTATGTAATCAGCGGTAGATACGGCGTAGGCGTAGAGGTAGCAGTGGATGTAGAACTAGAAGAAGACGTCGAGTTCCGGAGCGAATCAAATCGCTGTTCTAGCATCTTCCCTTGCCCGTCCACAACACCACGCTTCCTTTTCTTCCCCCACACCTCTTGGTCTCGCTGTTTTCTCTTCACCGTGTCGTTGACGTCGGCATAGATGGTGCCGTTGAAAGATTTCCACACTTCGACGCCTTTGCCGAAAACGGTTTCGACCTTACGATTTGTGTCGTCGGTCATCTTGTTTAGGTACTCTTGTGCCTCATCCTCGTTGTCTTCTTCGTCTGTTTCGGAGCCATGCGTTGTGTCCATTATGCCGGTGTTGGAGGTGGTTATGAAGGACGTGGTACTTCCTCCGTTTCGTCCCCGGAAGGTGTCAAAGAGAGACATTTTTCGTCGCTTTTGTGATGGGGCGGAGGGTGTGGGGTTGGGTAAACTGTCTATTATGTTGAATGAGGTGGATCGCGCTGTTCCGAGAACGATAGAAGGGGTGGAGTGTACTCGTGGCGAGTCGACTTATGCTAGTGAGTACATGAACAGATTCGTGAGTTGGGAGTCGGACGATTCAGTGAACGATTCTCCGAAGCCGGAGCCTAGATCTGAGCGTTGTGGTGAGCTGTGATATTTAATTTCACTGTGCTATTGAACTGAATACAGAGACGTTGATCAGCTGATATCTGAATCGCCTGCAATAATGTCTTACAATGCCTGTAATGTTCTCCGGCTGTGCCACATACCTACGTCCCAATGTCGCGCTCCCGGCGTGTTATTCCAGTCTCTTTGCCCCAATGCTTCACTCATTTTGATACCTACGATGTTCATGGCGCCGAGCCTCATGATGTTTGTTGGCATCGGCCTTTGGATGAGAGAAACGAACAGCTCTCAAGGGCAACCTTTTCTGTTTTGGCTATGATGGGTAAAGTTCAGAATCCGATTGAGAACACGCTCTTTGGTCTTCCAGAGTGAAGATATCTGAGCATGACACAGCAAGACCATGAGGGAAGAGGACAATGCTTCTCCAAAAGGTGAAGGAAGTCAGTGTCTCAAGACGGTACCTAAGTACCTACCCCAAAAACGTGTCGTAAAGGCGTCTGCTGCATTTGTGACTGGCTACCTCAGTAATGTAGTAGCGGATTACGGTTTGATTTGTGCTTCCTTGTAGGCCGTTGACGTTGAGTTCTCAGGTCGGTGGTTGGGAAGTTTGCGGACGGTCAGGAAAACTGCACGTGACGACCGACGATCGCTGACGAAATCGGCCTGCCTCGGCAGACGCGAACTGCGAACTTCACGATCGCGCGATAGCGAACGGCGGATCAAGCCGTAAGGAAGCATCCCACGAACGGCTTGTTGCCGCCGTGCCTCATGACTACATAAGTGCGTGCCGAAAGGATGCCACCCCTATCTCGATAAATCCTTAGATCGATCCGATGTATGAGGGTGGCACAGTCGATCGCAGCTTACTCGCCATCACTCATCCTGCAGCGCAAGCACCATCCTCTTACCCCAACTAGGCTCGGCATGCACTGATCGCCGCTAAAAAAGCCTTCGGGACAGAGCCGTCACACGTCAATCCTTCTAGTGGCTGTCACAACATCCAACGAGGATGCTTTTGATCTCAAACGGCAACTTGCCTTTACAGATCTTCTGCAAGCCATTATTGCGACAGTGCATAAGGCTATAGCTTCGCCGAGTTGTAATCGCTTAAGGTGTCTGCAGATCATGGGATTGTGTCATACCTAGTGAAGTACGATCCTACAGTATAAAATATGGATAGGGACACATGTTTCGTGATGTGAAAGGTACCACGTTGAGTATCACATCCCAACGCCATGCGTGTATCCGCAACGACAGTCAGTCTGTTGGCCTCTTTGGCCTCAGCCGATCTGGATAGCCCTAGCTTACTACAGCAATTCTACGCTCCTGGGCGTTTACTTGGTAACTCTTTCGGAAACCCCGGCGTTAATGCGACATACGACTATGTCATCGTTGGAGCAGGCTTGGCAGGCGCTCTCACGGCATCCCGTATTGCAGACGCGTTGCCGAACATGACCGTAGCAGTCATTGAAGCGGGATCTTTCTATGAGATATCGAATGGCAACTACAGTCAGATGTAAGTTGAATGCGAATGGTCATGTTGAGTTTGCCCGTTGACTATCAAAACAGTCCGTACTATTCGACTAAGTATGTTGGCCCGAACCCTGAAGACTACCAGCCATTGATCGATTGGGGTATTTTCACCGAGCCTATACCTGGCGCCAACGGAAAACGCTTTCACTATGCGCAGGGGAAGACACTTGGGGTATGCGGTATCCTCCCATAAGTGATACCGGTTAAGAAAACTGACCATGATTCAACGTTTAGGGCAGTTCGGCACGGAATCAAGAGATCTATCACAGGTAAATATGTCCTGGAGCATTCACGCTGCCATCGACTGACCAATTCTTCCAGAGCGACTAAAGGCTGGTACGAGTCCTTCGCAAACCTCACTGGAGATTCCGCCTACCTATGGGAAAACATGTTCCCCTTCATGAAGAAAAGCTTCTCGTTCACGCCTCCAGATGCTCGGTTCCGCGCGGAGAATGCCAGCAACGTCAACTACACACTTTCCGCCTTTAATGCTCCAGGAGGCCCTGTTCATCTAAGCTTGCCCAAGTACGCGCAACCGATAGCCTCGTACGGCCCGGACGGATATGCGGCTGCTGGTATAAGCGCGGCGAATGGCTTCTTAGATGGAAATCTTTTAGGATACGGCTACTGGCCTTTTACCCTGAGGCCCGAGGACAGTACGAGAAGTAGTACCGAGTCTGCTTTCCTTTCTCCGACAGCTGCAAGGACATCTTTGAAGATCTACCAGTCCTGCATGGCGCGTAAGCTCCTCTTCGATGAGTCCAAGCGTGCCATAGGCGTCAACGTCACCGTCGCCGGGATGAAGCCGTTCATCGTTCACGCCCGAAAAGAGGTTATCGTCTCTAGTGGTTTCATTCATACTCCTCAGCTACTCATGGTTTCTGGAATCGGACCGCGCGAAGCACTTGAAAGATACGATATACCCGTCTTGTCCGAACTCAACGGCGTGGGTCAGAACCTCCGAGATACACCCGCCATTGGTGGCGTCGTTCATCGCACGAATGTTCCTGGGAGAAGCGCCTGGGAGCGCCAGTCATCATCTTTTGACGCCGCTGTGGAGCAATACTTGAAGAATGGATCTGGCCCGCTCAGTAGTCCTGCGAGCGATTTCGCCGCCTGGGAGAGGTTCCCCGAGCGCTTTACGACGAACATGAGCCAATCAACTCTCGACTTCTTGCAGGATCTACCAAGCGACTGGCCAAACGTGGAGTATGTTTTGCAAGCTTCAGAGCGCATTCTGTCCTTGGCCCAGACTGCTAGCGACACGGGTGTCATAGGCACGATCCTAACTTCCACCACAAGCCAGGGAAATGTCACCATTCAGTCTGCTGACAATGCTGTTGCACCTGTCGTCTACATTGGTTGGCTTGATTCGCTCGAGGACCAGGAACTTGCTGTAGCAGCATACAGACGCGCGCGCACGATCGCAGCCAGCATATCCGCGTTTGGGGAAGAGATAGCGCCTGGGGCGAACATCACAACAGATGCACAGATCTTACAGTATATCAGGACGAAGGGCATGGGTGCTATTCATCACGGCGCGGCGACATGTGCGATGGGAAGAGATGCGTCGAGCGGGGCGGTCGTAGACTCAAAAGCTAGAGTGTTCGGCGTGAGTGGCCTGAGGGTTGTGGATGCGAGTTCTCTGCCGTTCTCGGCACCAGGGCACACGCAGGGTGTCACTTATGCGCATGCGGAGAAGCTGGCGCAGGATATCATTGATGCAGTAAATGATGTCTAAACTAATGTCATATGAGAAGGAACACCAGTGTACTCGTAATAGGCGTGTTGAAGTAGAATCACGTGACGCCTTAGCGTCAAGTATATAGACTAAGCCATGCCCCAGATTGAAACAATTCATCCTTCGTCTCCGAATATTCCTCCCCATTTAACAAGGGAATCATAAACGAGGCTGCAGCTGTGTTAGTGTCAAGAAATCTCATCCGTTTGACGCCAACCTTACCTGGATTAAGACCACCCGAAATAACGTCTAGAAGAAAAAGCACCACCCCAGATAGTGGCATAGATGGCGACTCCACGACTTGTGTTCACGCTCGCCCAAGGGCAGCATGTCAGTCAGGGGCCCTGTGGGGAAGGCGCAAAACAGGGCGAACACGAACGTGAAACCCTGCAAATGGACTTCGTTCGCTGATGCTCCTGCCGTGAAGAAACGTAGTAGCGGTAGTATATGAAGAGTTTCGGCTTCGAAGCGTGATAGTATGACGGCCAGTTGATACATCGTGAAAGCGAACCTGCCCAGGACCACTTCGGAAGAAGATATCTGAGACGAAGGCTAGTGGTGTTTCGAGAGTGAGGTTAGAATCGGTGCAGATTGATGGGCAAGTATCACGGAAAAAAGCTTGCATGTTGATATACGGTCGCGCAACGCTAGTTATACACCCTCTATTGGTTACCACTTACTGGCTCTGGTTATTCAGGTAGCGAGCAGCGAGCCACTCACATTCTCGGCAATCCAAATGAAAACCATGGGAAAGGCTCTTGAATGAAACTTGTCGTGAATAGAATGCACGCCTAGATTGGTATGGAAAGGATTGTTGGTGAGGCTGTATGCATGCCAGGCAGGATACCTAGGTAAACAGTACGTGTGTCCCCATACCGCATTCACATGGGGCCAGTGAATATTTAGGTGTATGTCCAGGTATGACGATAATAAACGCTTCTAACCTTGAGACTTACATACTCTTCAGGTAATAGTCCGAGGTGATGCCGGCGGGTTCTTTGCGCCCTGTACAGTCTGACGTCTTTACATCGTAATCCTTCGTAACCTTTATAGCACCAATATCGCCCTCTGGAGCCAAGTGTCCTGTCTGTGATGTCGCTCCGCCCTTCCGACACAGCTCTTCTTCCGACTCAGTAGCTGTGACTCCTTGTTCCAACCGTGTGATACTTCCTCTACGAGCCTTCTTCCCCCACCTCGAACTACGCGGCCCTTTTGCTTCAGAACCAATAGTCACAATCTGGCCAAGCGATGAGAGCTTGTAACCTTTCTGGGTTGAGCTGCCTCCTCCAGGCCCTGATCCAGATGAGCTTCCACCCCCAAATTTTGTCCACAATGCCTTGAGGCTCGGCAGGTTGACCGCAATGATGGCAAACTGTATTTCGAGAGCCGCGACGATGACCATCTTTCCCAGCACCCACGATGTATCCGGTGAGTCGTTGAGCTCGAGGAGGGGCATGAGTCGGAAACATGCGATGATAACGGAACTGCTGCCAAAGACCATGACGCCTAGTACTGCAGCTTTGCGTCGAAGCGACATTTGGAGGTTCATGACGGTGTATATGGGGAGGATGAGGATGTAGAAGTCTTCTAAGATGTTCTGCGACACGATCAGTAATTCGTTCTTTGGAAATGCAGTCCTGCGCTTACGAGGATGGAAGGCGCTATGAGAAGAACGAGTTTGCTGATGCAGACAGCATCTGGATGCGTGCCTGGATGGAGGATCTCATCAAAGGGAACGCATTGAAAACATGCCAATAGACTGTCTTGAGGGTCAGAACGAGACTACCCAGCGGTATGAAGAACAGATTTTGGCCCTGATGGTGGAGGCAGCACATACATGTTAATAATCAGAATGGCACCGTTCAAAGCTCCGCCGATGTATACCGCTATTCGAAAAGTAGGGCTCGGTGAAAGACGGAGGTAGAAAAGGAGGAAAGCTGATTTGATCACCCAGTGAACTGAGTAGTAAACCACTTCTTCAATGAACAGCCACTTGATATTTGTCAGAATGGTCCAGAGCGAGTTTCAATTTTGGGTCATACTTTGAGGATCTCCAGCTGCTGAACACCGCTGAGAGCATCCATGTGTCTGCGCCAATGGTAAGTGATAAATCATCAGGGAGTAATCGAAGTGGTCGTACAGTCCGCATCCCCAATATATGAACATATGCAGGACGACTTGTTGTCCAATACTGAAGAGCTACAAGCTTGTTAGCCATGCGAATGTGGATGTGTTGAGATCTGGAACACGTACGAGAATCAAGACCGCGAAGTTGTCATCCCATCCTCTAGTCCGCAGCACAAAGTGCCGGCAATAGAAACGAAGGAATATAGAAACCGTTCCAAGGAAGAAAGAAACATATGCCACAGCATAAGCCAATGGTTGGAGAGTCGTCAGTCCCATCGCCACGACAGTATTCTCTCGAATATGTCAACTCTCGAACTGAGCGGAAGCTCGACAATTGAAGAAGTACCTATAGGAGATGAACGCACACAAAAAGAAGTCCTCGTCATGCCCCGTTTACGGACGGTTTCAAGGCCTGGCACCAACACCCTGCCCTGCCCACCCCCACGGGCTCGAGATAAATATCCCCGATGCATCAAACCGAATGCGATATATGCATGACCATGTTCGGTAAGTGATGTCCATAGTTGAGCTTTGTTTTTAAAGCACTCCTGTCGGATCCTCCGCATCCTCCGGGATAAGTTGTGCTTCCAGGCCGCTATGCATGACTAGAGTTGTGCTTCATTGCGTTAAGCGGGCGCCTAGGGAGCGGGCAGGTTGGCCGTGTGGGTTTACGGCTCGACCCTCGACCTAACCTAGTGCGAGGGCTGCCCCGAGCTGGCGACAAGTACAAGCTCGGCATGCGTTTAAAACAAGCGAACATAGGCAGCTTCTTGACATCTTCCCCGGTATATCTAGCATGCCTCTGTAAAGCGATGCGTACAAGATGCGAAATGAGGAGCGTGGCAACGTCTCCAACCCGAAGACTCTACCTGGGCAGCTGGAGGAGGCCCGATTGTTGGGAAAGATGTGCGTATATGGGTGGCCTGGCATGAATCGTAAGAAGCGAAGGATCCTTCGTACTGCGCATTTGCCGCAACAAGACGTGGTTCCCGTTGGTCGAGTCGCTCGACGTCAACGCGTGGTCCCCAGGGGAGCGGGTGAAGACGCCGGCCGTGGCTGCAGGCGAGCCGCTTCCGCGTCCCGCTAGCAAAGCCGTGCTGCCAGGCGGCACGTCCACCACAACAGCCGTTAGCTTCACTGCAACAAGCGCCCAAGTGGGACACCCGATGCTCCTGAACAATACGTAGATGCATACGGAAATCCACTGAGAGCGAATTTTGGTCGCTGAAGTCTAGGTGCCCTTCAGCTGCGTTATCGTTGCGAGCATCGAGCCCCAGGCCCACCGTGCAGACGATGCAGTCATTGGACAAGAGACGGAAAACTTGAGACGTGGGTTGTACAGGGCATGCTGCAGCTAGCAAGGCTCGCCAGGAGGAGCGAGGGCCTATCAGAGGTCGCTCAATTACCTTGAACCGTTCGGAGTTTAGGCAAATCAAAACCCCTCGAAGGATGCGCGCTACTCCTGCATCTTCATCATGGGGATTTTCGGACCGTGGAGAAGATACCAGCCGTCTTCAGTCCTCGCGGAGGTTTACTAGAAACGACCAAGTGAGCAAGTAGCGCGTGTTGGCTGGGATGCCTATATTCGAAGCCATGCACCTTAGATTCTGTCTCCGCGTCGAAGCCCTGCCCGTTTCCTCGACATCTTGAATCCCACTGGAGAGCTGTGGTAAACCCTCAGAGCTTCCGCGATGACCATGGAAGTCTTTCAAGATGCCGCTCAGCGCAGCGTGTCGCAAGGCGTCGCAGCCGCTGTTTTATTTGGCATCGTCTTCCACCTCTCAATTCGACCGTTCGAGTTTGAGCTGGTCATGTTCCACTTCATGGCAGCTTTCACTTTGAGCTTCTTCGGGATGTTCTACGTCTTTGGTTTGACGAAAGCTCTACTCTTTTCAACCAGTTTCAGTACCGGGTTACTCGCCAGTATTGCTCTATATCGATTAGTCTTCCACCGATGTCGAAAATTCCCAGGGCCGTTCGCCGCGAAAGTCTCCAAGTTTCACGCTGCAAGCCTAGCAGCGAAGGACGTCAAATACTTCAGGGAGCTGGAGAAGATGCACGAGCAGTACGGTGACTTCGTGCGCACAGGTGAGCAAATACCTACTTGATGCTCCGCATCAGGGGATATTAATGTCATCAAAGGACCGCGAGAGATCAGTGTTCTACGCAAATCAGCCGTTCCGATTCTTTATGGGCCCAATTCGGAATGTTTGAAGTCAACATGGTACGGCCAAACCGGAAACGACCCGAAGAAGTGTTCCGTACACATGACACGTGACTTCAACAGCCACCGCCTTCGCCGTCGTGCATGGGATCGCGGGTTCTCAATCAAAGGTGTGTACGAGCTCACAAGCCACACGAGCACTTCTAACTTTGCAAAGCACTTAACACCTACGAACCACGTATCAAGGCAAAGGCGGACTTGTTCAAGACTCAACTGGCAACCAAAGGAGCAACCTCAATGGATGTGTCCACCTGGTCAATGTTCTTCAGCTTTGACGTCATGGGTGAGGTCGGCTTCGGCAAAGACTTTAACAATCTTACAAGCGGTGTCGAGCACCCTGCCATTAAGGGAGTGCATGCACACATGACCATGCTGGGAATAATGAGCACTGTTCCTTGGTTGTTGAACGTTCTGGGCTCTATCCCAGGAGCGGCGGCGGGCTATTCGGACTTCTTCTCTTTCTGCGCAGGCCAGATTCGCGAAAAACACAAGGTATGTGTCATGGTTGTACTACAGGTGACAAGTGACTAACGAAATATAGACCTGGGACGGCGAAAAGTATCCGCAAGACGTTGTGTCCTGGTTACTCAAGGCTGTCAAAGAGAACGACGTCTCAGCGTCACCAAGTCCAGAAGCGCTGGAGGACGATTCGAGAGTGATGATCATTGCCGGAAGGTACGCAACTCTGATGAAGAGACCCCAAGTCAATGCTGACGGGAGATAGTGAAACAACCGCCACCACGCTCGCAGGAGCTCTCTACTACCTCGCCAAATGTCCCGACAAGCAGAAAAAGCTCCAGCAATTCCTCGATCAAGCAATGCCGGGTGGATACAGCCAGTGGTCATACGAAAAGGTCAAGTCGATCTCTTATCTGGATGATTTCCTCAGCGAGACACTGCGACTTCGTCCGGCCCTATTGACTGGTGGAGCACGCGAAACACCAGCAAAGGGCATCCAAATCGACGACACGTACATTCCCGGCAACACGAACGTTGTGATCCCGGTCTCGCTCATCCAAAGAGACCCTCGATGGTGGCAGCAGGCTGAAGACTTCGTCCCGGAGCGGTTTGGCGAAAAGAAGACGGAGATGGAGACTGACCAGGCTCCCTACCTGCCTTTCTCTCTGGGTAAGTCCATTTATACGGTTGTCGTTCTAGACTCGCAGGCAGCAGCTAACATCCTCATAGGCGCATACAGCTGCCCCGGCAAGAACTTGGCCCAAATGAGCTTACGTATCTCGCTTTCGATGATCGCGCAGAATTTCGACGTCTCCTTCGCGCCTGGAGAGACTGGAGAGGCATTCGAGAAGGAGATAATGGACACCTTCACCGTGACGCTTCCGGCTCTTCAGCTGCGGTTCACTCCGCGAACGGGTGCCTGAGTGTTGGGCGAGGGATGCTGCTAGGCATGCGACTTGGATGTGCCTTACATCGGGGCCCGGAAGGACGAGAGCATGTGCATGTCCGTATTTCAACTATGGGAGTTGGCAGTGAAAGACTGAGGATGTGTAGTAGTACCGAATTTAATTGGAGAGGTCATGAAACCTCCAGTTGTCTTACGCAGCTATCCAAACTGGTTTTCCGATCGCGATGGTTGTACGCACAGACGTAGTACTAGTAGCTCTTTCGCGCGATCCGTTTTCCAAGCGGCTTGGTGTTGTCTAGATCTCGAAAGTATTTTGGTAACGCGACGCGCGAAGCATTGGGGAGTGAGTTGAATGACAGCCAGCTCTTCAGCACACAATGACGATTGGGGAAAAGGTTCGTTCTACAAGGATTCAATGTTACTTACCCTGGCTTTGATGCTCTGTGCGTGCGCTTGTTCGGAACATGTCTTCATAGTCAACCTCGATGTTTTGTGTTGGGCGGAATAGTCGCAAAATCATGTACTCAAGGAAGCATCGCATCGCTGTGCCAAATCGGGTTCCATGGGATCAAAAGGTACAAAAGCATACAACGTCATCAAGCTCCCAATACCAAAAACAAAAACTCGGCTAAAGTTCCAGCTCAAACATCCGCTAGCGCTCGAGCCCAGAGACCAAAAGACGGCACGGATTCTATAGCGCACGCAGGCGGTACTTAAATTTGGCTCCAAACGGCTGTCTCCAGGGATAGGGCTATGAGTTCCAATGCGCTCAGACTCATGCCTAAATAATCATAGGGAAGCTTGCTAACTCGGCCTCGGCTCTTCGGGGCATCTGAAGCCTCCAATAAACTATATTCTGTGGCTTTGAGCTACGATTACATAAAAAGCATTCTCACGCTGGCTGAGTGTTCGTGAAATAGAAGCCAATGTTTCATAGGCAGATGCAGCCGAGCGATGAACCTGGATAAAAAAGCTTGGCGGGTAATCTTCCGTTCAAAGTGGCTAGGTATCCTTACTCTAGACCTACTTGAGCTCAGCCTTTTATTGCGCCATGCTCTCCAGACCAGGCCTGGGGGTGTTGTAGTTCGTAACTTTTCCAACTTAACGTGATGTCCAAGATCGCAGAAAAGCCATAGTCTGTGATTGAGCCCGGCATTCGGATATCACTAGCAATGCCCAGGACTTGGATGGAGCAGAAGCGTGTATATAGGAAGAATGATCGCCAGGTTTGATATGGCATCATCGGGAGACTGCAGCTTCTTGATCTTCCAACGCCAGTCATCATGCGAACTTCACTGTCACTCGTTGCTTTGTTAACTTCCTTAGTCTCTGCTGTACCGGTTGCAGAGCACGAAAAGAGACAGAACGCAGAATTCGACTATGTCATCATCGGTGTACGTTGTCGCACATCTATTTCGCTCCAGCATACGAAGAAACGGGTATGCTAACACCTAGTAAAGGGTGGTACCGCAGGTCTTACACTTGCGAATCGGTTGTCAGAAGACAGCACCATGAAGGTCGCTGTAATCGAGGCCGGTGCTCTCTACCAGGTCACGAATCCGCTTCTATCGTCGACTCCAGCTGGGGATGTGTTGTGGTCAGGCTCCAGCCCATTGGATCAGAACCTTCTTGTAGACTGGAACTTCATTACAGCTCCTCAAGCCGGCGCAAATGGTAGACGAGTGAAGTACGCGCGAGGAAAATGCCTGGGTGGAAGCTCGGCTCGAAACTTCATGATCTACCAGCGCGGCGATCGCGGCTCGTACCAACGCTGGGCAGACCAAGTCGGAGACGACTCGTACACTTTCGACAACTTGATGCCGTACTTCAAGAAGTCTGTCAAGTTTACACCACCCAATACCAATCTCCGTGCAAGCAACGCCTCGGCCGAATACGTCGCGAGTGCCTTCGATACTAGCGGTGGGCCTCTCGATGTTTCTTACGCGAACTACGCTGGACCTTTCTCGAGCTACATGGAGGGAGGTATGAACGGCATTGGTATCCAAACCAGGCCCGACTTCAACTCCGGAGAACTCATGGGAGCACAGTACTGTAGCTCGACGATCACGCCCGGAAACCAGAAGCGCGCATCGAGCCAAACAACCTTTCTTGAGGCTGCGAAGAGTCGTTCTAACCTCAAGGTATACACTCTGACACGCGCTGAGAAGGTCATCTTCAATAACGAGAAGCGCGCCACTGGTGTCAAGCTACCCCTTGGAAGCATCCTTACCGCAAAGCGAGAAGTGATCCTTTCAGCCGGTGCTTTCCAATCTCCCCAGCTGCTTATGGTCTCTGGAGTCGGTCCTGCGGCACAACTCAAGAAGTTCAACATTCCCGTTATTGCTGATCGTCGTGGTGTTGGTCAGAATATGCAAGATCATATTTTCTTCGGTCCAACCTACCGCCACAAAGTCCAGACGTTCACAAAATTAGCCAATGATCTTCTGTATGTTGGCGCTCAGTTCGCATTCGATTACAGCGTGCATAAGCGTGGTCCACTCACCAACCCCGTCTGCGACTTCCTAGCCTGGGAAAAGGCTCCTCGCAACCTCATCTCGTCAGAAGCTGCGGCAGTGTTGGATCAGTTTCCTGCTTCTTGGCCCGAGATCGAATACCTCTCTGCACCTGGCTATATTGGTGATTTCTCCAGTCTCTTCGCAAGCCAGCCCAAGGACGGCTACCAATACGCGTCCATTCTCGGCGCTCTCGTTGCGCCCCTCTCGCGTGGCTCAGTGACTATCACAAGCTCTAGCACAGCTCAGCTGCCTTCAATCGACCCGGGCTGGTTGACTGACCCCACTGATCAAGCCCTTGCAGTCGCTGCCTACAAGCGCATGCGTCAAGCCTTTGCTACAGACGCCATGAAGGCTGGTCTTGCGGATACGAAGGAATACTTCCCTGGACCTAAGGTTGAGACTGACGAGCAAATCCTCAATACCGTTCGCGACACAGTAAGTCTTCCTAGTCTACCGATCCTGCATGTACTAACAATGGCAGCTGATGACTGTGTGGCACGCGTCTTGTACGTGCAAGATGGGGAAAATCGATGATCCAGATGCGGTGGTGGATAGCAAGGCGAAGGTTATCGGCGTGACCGGTCTGAGGGTGGTCGACGCCAGCTCTTTTGCACTGTTGCCTCCTGGGCATCCACAGGTAGGTCATCTTTATCCCGCTTCGTTGGTGCATCACTAACTTTCCATCAGAGTACGATATACGCGTTGGCAGAGAAGATTGCCGATGATATCAAGCGCAGCCGTTAGGTCGCGCGCGCCGGGTACTAGGTGCTAGGTTGGAGAGGTTCAGCGCCAGCAGCGCCCTGGCGGATTGGTAGCAGGTAGATGGGGTGACCATTAGCGAGTCCACTTTTGCCGTTAGTAGTCCAGCCCTGATCCAACCCCAAAAAGAACACCTTCTAGACTTCTCCTTGCTTTTGTGAACACCGCCATTCGAAAATCGAGTACGGGACTTGATGCGTTCAGCGAGTGGCTCATGGCATTGTACTGGGAAGGCGTTGCCGGGTGCCGCGCGGCCGCCCATCTTGTTGCATTGTGCCGTGCCGCGCGGCCAAGCCAAGCCAAGCCGTTCCCTCAGTTTTAACACCATATAAGTCACGAACAAAGGCTTGTTCCAGACTGTGCTTGCAGCAACAGTGTCGCTGGATTCAGGAGAATCGACCAATCACACGAAAAATGTGCAAGTACTTGGCATTGACGACTGTCTGACCTTTGACTCTCGACACGGGTGCTGCCGTCCTGGCGAGGAAGATAACCGAGCCGATCCCTTTGATCCGACGGTTGCTGCATCAAATTGCCAGATCTCGCAGTCCCAGCTGTCTCATAGGGAAGTATTGGCACAATAATAGGTCGTCTGGGTGTGCATATAACCAGCGAAGCGCCCTTCTCATGCTACCTGCCGAAGTAGGTAAGCTCCTGAACACAGCAGTAAGGCTATGGGAATTGGTGGCGATGGCATATCGCAGCATGCTCGAAGACCGTTCTAGCCAAGTCAAAGAAGCGTGGCTTGCACCTTCACCACTGTATCTTATTTGGGACCTCGCACGTGGTCGAGAGTCTGCCACGGGTCAGTCATCCGGTGATGCGGCAAGAAGATCACGAAGCCGTCGTAGGAAACACGTATGTTGTAGAGCAAAGGCTGCGCTCTGCGGTGCCGAGATTTGCCACCCTATAGTGGACAAGATCCAAACGAAGGACGCTGTCCTAAGCTGATTGCTATCATCGTTCCCGCCGCAACCCTCCTTCCTTCTCCTCAATTACTGTGAAAATCTCGTTCGGTCAAGAGGAAGGGTTCATATCCTACCATTACTACGAGCGAGCATCGCCCATGTCCGAGGTATTCTGCAGGAGTAGTCTCTGCCTGCTTCGAGCAGTATCAACATAGGCCCAACCACGGTCGTTTTCATGAGTATAGTGACTTATCTCATTTCCGGTGCGCAGACCCAAGAACCCAATCGTGGTCAAATGCCAGGGTATGGAGAGAGAAGTGTCAGCTGGCGTGCGCACTCTTGTGAAGGCAGTTTGCCTGGTTGTAGTTGGTCAGCCACTGAACCGGTCAGTCTTTGTACTACCACACCATCCCTCCCAACGAACATTGCATTGGCGCTTACGACAAGGCAAACGATATTCCAGGGTAGTATTGTCGCCACTTTATACTTACACTCTGCATGGAATCTAGGAGTGTCAGCTGCAATGTATTCAGGGGAAAAATTCGAGCCATGTGTGGTGTTTTATTTATACCTTTCACAAGCTTGATGTGCCTAGATTATTCTTCCCTAGGCCGCCTTCTGAATAGAACGCTATTGAAATTGGGTGAGTATGCATTAGGATATGAGTGAATACATTTACTGATGCATTAAGACAGCAACATATTCAGCACCTCCAGCATGGAAGACTTCAGTAATGAAGATCCTGCGAAGCCAATCTTCATTGCCTCCAGCATGAATTCCAGCGACGTAGAATCTGAGAAACAAATGGCGAGAACCCACACTCTTTCGGGGATTGTTCAGATCGCTCTTGCCTTCGTAACGGTGTTCTGTCCTTTGGTTCTCATAGCAACTCTGCTTTGTCTCTTCGTCACACTCCCGATCTGGACGATACAGAATACACCCCAGGAGAACGCAAATCTTCCCATGGAGCCTCTGGATGATTCATTTCTCACAACAAAGATCTTCAGTCACCACGTGACGCTCACTAGTTCCTTTGCCTCCAACGTGGCTCAACTTGCTGCTTCGCCGTTTCTACTACTTTTCTCGTTCCTTGTCGCGCTCGAGCTATCAAACCGACATGATTCCCTGGATCAAGATACGACGAAACTTTTACGAGGCGATCGGAAGGTTTTGTTCAATTGGACTATACTTCGGTTATGGCCTGTCCGGAAAACAAGGATCACGAATGCAACGAGAATAGCTGGCGTAGGTGCTTTGATATCTATCGCTCTTACGTACGTATATACTTTATTACGACATGGATATAGGTTGCTGACTATTACATTAGTGTACTGTTACTTGTCGGAGGTAGTTGTGTGCCTTTCTAATTTCGAACGAAGCTGACAACAGCAGACAAAGTATTGCAAGCAACTATAGGCCCGACAGTGCAGCGCGTTTATGTCGATCTTGGACTTCCTTACTACACTGGTAGCTTCAAGATCAATGAAACGACATGCCCACCCCAGGAAACGATACCCGACGTATATGCTGAAATCGCTCTACCTCCTTGCTCGATCGATAACCAGACAAGTCCTTGGACAATTTGGCAAGCGCCTACGGCGTATCGAGTTCTTGCGGCAGGGTTGCTGAACCAAACCGGCGACTACAACAAAGAGGACTTCAACGCTTTGTGGAACGCTAGTGACTCGGGCACATTCGATTTTACGCAACTCGTTACGCACATCGACCGCGTGACACGCGATCAGCATGTCCATTATTTCGATCCTATGTCGGCACAAGAAGACAGTTACAGCCAAAAGCCCAGGAAAACGGACATCGTGAGCGGAGATTACGACAGACTTGGTCTCGACTATATCGCGAACACAACCTCCATTGTGACCAAGTGCCGTCCTGTTACTCAAGAATGTGGGTTGCGTAGCAGCACAGAAGATGATTCTTCAGTACCATACCACTGCTCAGATTCATTGAACGGCGACTTGAATGAGATACCGGCGAACGGTTTAGAGCGGCTCAAAGGTTGGAACACCACATTCTACGACGGTAACAGCGGGGACCCACGAAGTGTCTCCATCGCATCTCAGCTGAATCCTTTCAGCTATAACGTCACAGTCATCGTGGACAGTATCAACATTGGTGGTCTTGAACACTTCAACGATCCACAGGTACCCAAAGGAATTGTTGTCGGGGTGAGTGACGGCCGCGTAGGCTTTGCACTCTCGTGCACTTCAACCGTCTACGACGTCACATACTCACTCGTCGATGGCAATGTTTACACTTTCAACACGACTCGAGCCGAACCACGCACCGCAGCCATCGTCAAAGCGCCACTGCAAGCCGGCTTTGGTAGTTATGCACTCTACGAGAAAGCTGCGATGTCCGTGTTACTTACCAATTTGACGGTTATGGATGCGATGGAACTAGCGTTCAGCCAAACCTTTTTGGCGCTTGCAGCTGGTGTTTACAGCCCAGCCCCGAATCTTGAGGAGCGATATCGCTATGATCTCGAGCTGACGAAGATTGCTAAAGGTCCATTTTACTTCTTGGTAGTTTGCATGTTTTTTTACGCGTTTGTCGTTCTGGTCTTCGCAGTGATTGCGCTCAGCATCTTCTGGAGGAGCGATGTGGGAGAATGGCAGGCTCGATTGATACCCGCTTCACCGTGGTTTCCTAACCTCCCTCGTGCGGAGGGAGGGATTTTGAATCGTTCCTATCTCTGGTACTGCCGGAGCCGTGAGTGGTTCCAATAGATACCAATTCAATGTTGCTTTGTTTTATTTTTTCACATTCACATAGCTGCACTCCCAGGTGGAGTTCAACCTTATTTCCCACTACGTTTCTTGGATGTATAGTTAGACAGAGAATGAATATAGTAACGGGTGAGTTCATGTTTGCAGACCAAAAGCCAAGTGCAACATAATGTCCACTCTCATTGATTCTTACTGTGCAGTCACCTTCTCTGCAAGTTCAGGCAACGTTTCGGCAACAATGTCCATCTTTCCGAACACGTCATCCATGGCCTCCTTTTCCAACACCAAACAATACGCTGTTTTGAATCCGGCCCTTCCCGCTGCGCTTACGTCCCAACCGTGTGCAGCCGCAAACCAAAGATCACCAGCTTTGCCGTCAACACCGATCTTTTCTTTCAGCTTCTCATACGCCTTGAGATCTGGCTTTCCCACACCAACATCGTCGCAAGTAACAATATGCTCGTTGTCGATGTCAATGTTGCCACTCTCAAAGTATCCCAAAACTCTTGGACGATCTCCACTAGTGAACGCCCAGACCGTCCAACCAGCCTTCTTCATTATATCCACACATTCCTTTGCGCCTGGCCGAACCTCACACTTCCTGTACTCCTGTATGAAGTACTTCACATCTTCCTCAGTCGCTACACTGCGCGGCTCCGCTGCGCCGGCGAAATGCAGAACGCGGAAGAAGATGGATTCGAAGACCTTCGCGAAGGGTACGTAAGAGCCCGAAATCGAGAGATAGGTATATTCACGCTCTGCGCTCTCGAGCCATGAATAACCAAGTAGACGGGCGGAGATGTTGTTGGCCTTGAGTTTGGGGCCCAGGCGCTGGTCGATGACGGCGTAGAAATGCTCATGCGACACAAGCGTGCCAACTATATCGAAGACGATGTTCTTGGCCTCGGACATGGTACCCGACTTGGTTGATGTGAGGGTCTTTGATGTGATCTTTGGCTAGGCTATTGATGTATGTTTTTTTTTGTCAATTCTGCGTTGTGATGAGGGGCTTCATACAAAGCATGTCAATTACGCCCCGCGCGTCATCAGCTGTCGCAATAACGTGAAATTCTTGGCATGTTTTGCTCTGATCTGTCAGAGTGTCTGCGTCTACTTCCTGTTCTCCTTCAGGTGAGAGCTTTTCTTAACAAAAAGAAAGAAATATACAAAGAATGCCAAATCTCACGAAGCAATGCGACACCTGATGGTGATGCGCTTTGATGACGTCATCACATAACGTGACATGCGCCATGCTTTGGGATGGATCGCACATATGGCATTCTGCGTATTGCCACTAAGGTAATGGCGATATCTCATCAGTTCTCCATGATGACCACGTGTACTTGTGTGACGCTGGATAGGGCTCTGCAAAGATGGGTGCATCGCAAAGGTTGATTTCGTCGCGCCAGATGCAGCTCCCATCATCGAATTTCGGTGCCTTCACCTTTAGTCAAATAATCGTCACCATACTGATTACTCAACTCCTTCATGCGCTATCATCAGCTCATCTGAACCGTCATCGTTATCGCATCGTTCGCGAACCAACGACTATCTCAAGTAGCACCACTGCATCTGATTGGACGGCGCACAATCTTTCCCAATTAGGACCGAAACACCGTGCGATATCAAAAGTCCGTTAACGGCGGTGCAGATCTCGTACTGCGACGACGCGCGGATGTGCTCATCTGAGGAAGAAAGATTGGGATACTGATACGTCATGCTAAAGGAAGAAGCAGACAGGGTCAAACCCATACCCACAAATGCGTGTCACTAAAAGAGCCAAAGACAATGTGTCGTAAAGACATAAAGATGGATTCTACATAGAGAAAGGGAAGGAATATATGCGCTATGGAAATCATCGCTAAGAGTCATAACAAAGAATGTTGTCAAACAACAAACCCCAAAGTACGAGTTCAAAGCCTCCAGTACTCATAACACCCAAACACCAAGGCCATGCATCATGAATCGTGACAGTCAAGTCTCTGCTTACCAAGCAAGATCGCTCTTCTCGTTGTCATTGCCACAGGCAAGACCCTCGCAGAAGTCTTCCATTTCTTTGCTGATGGCTGAGGTACCAGTAGGCTCGAGTTGCTGCTTAGCAGGCCAGATCTTCTGACCGGCCTTCTTCTCCTTCGCGCCGTGCTCCATGACAATCTCACGACATCGCTTCTGGAAGAAGAGGGGACCCTTCTCCATGTGTGGGTGAAGCTCGCCGTTGACGAAGATGCCAGCCTCGATGTTCTTCTGTGCACGCTCACATAGAACCTTGTCCTCGCCCATGACGCGCTTGTAGGTGTCGCTGATGAGGAGAAAGTCCTCTTCCTTTGAGTGCTTGTTGCGCCAGACCTCGTAGTACATGACTGACTCGGTAGGTGACTTGGGCATGAACTTCTGCATGAAGAGGAAGTGTTTTGTGACGGTGAAGGAGGCGTTGGGGAAGCAATATGTGGAGCAGATCTCTTGGCCGAGGTCCTTGCGGTCTTGAGGGGTCTTGGGGTCGTGCTGGATGTGGTCGGCTGAGCAGTAGACGTCGTAGCTCTCGAGGTCGATCAAACCTGTTGTGAGATCGGGGTGTGTGCTCTTGCAGTGGTAGCACTCGTTGAAGTTGTCTGCGAGAATCTTCCAGTTAAATGGCCCGTCGAGGTTCCAGGTGTGGTCAAACTCGTAGTCGTCAAAGTTGAATTGACCGAAGCGTGCCTGTTCATCGACGTGGTCGAACTGTGACTCCCACGATACTTCGGGCTCCTTCTTCGCATCCATGTTGATCCAGACAAAGCCGTTGCGGTCGATACGTGTGTGAATGGGGAAGAGACCGTTCTTGGCCTTCTCAAAGTTTTGGAGCTCTTGGTATCCCGGCGCCTTCGCGAGCTTGCCGTTGAGGCCATATGACCAGCCGTGGTACTTGCAGGAGAAGATCTTGGCATTACCTCCATCCTTCTCGACGACGGGATATGCGCGGTGTCTGCATACGTTGTGGAATGCGTTGATCTCACCGGACCGGTCCTTGGAGACGACGATGTCGTAGTTGGCGACGTTGTAGCGAAGGAAGTCGCCAGGGTTCGCGAGTCTCGATTTGTGGGTAAGAATGAGCCATCTTCTGGTGAAAATAGCGCGTCGCTCAAGTTGGTACATCTCTTCAGAGGTATACCAGTTGGCAGGGAGGGCCCGTACAGGCTGGTTCTCCGGTGGAGCCTGTGCGGCGGCTGAGCCGCCAAAGCCAAGGTAGCTCAGGAGTGACCCGACCATTATGAAGAATGTGTATTGAAATGTGATGTTGTGCTTGTTTTAGAATAGTGGCGTGCTAAAGGTAGTTGGAAGCGACCACGATTGTGTGTTGGGCAAGTCTGTTAGAGACGATGAAGGTCAGGTTGCGGATGTTGCGGGCGTTATTATACCCTCTTCTCTAGACTCTTAACTCCTCAACCTTATCAAGTAAGACAAACAACTAAGTCCCCATGGGGTTATGGCTTCCATTCGCGCCCGAGGAGCGATAACCAGTGGGATGTAGGAACGTAATTCGGCTGCAGGTGACCGTCAAGCGCCACACAACCTGACTATTCTTTACGTCTCTCCGTTACCGCACGTTCTGCCATCGTGATCAATTCAACATTCTAGAATATTGTGCTTGAGCTTAACGGCGTCATGTTACTGGGCAGCGTCGTATTACCCCAGAGTAGTTTCATTGACTGTGCATGTAATGCAGGAGAAAGTCATGGTGACTGAACGTATAGACCGTTCTCGTCATTGCCCCTCATGTTGGCACGGACTTGAATGGATCTGATTTCCAAATGCGGACAACGGACGCCAGCCCAAGGCGCGATGAGTCTGCGACCACCAAGTTCTGACGGAACTATTACGGTCGCATTATCCAAGTGCTATCGCGCCCTTATCGAGAATATTCGCTGACGATGTTGATCGCAGCTGTTATCTTCGAGATATCAAGATAGCGATGCTATCTCGATGAGCTGTCCGGCTTGGGTGTGGTACCGCAGCTGATAACGTCTGCTAGACTATAGCCCGTCGTACTCTGATCGAGGGTATCAAGCGAAGGTCGGAGCATACACATCATTGAGCGCGTTGTCAGTGAGTGCGAAGTGGCGCGGCATGAGTCGCGCAACGTATACGACAGCAAGGCGTCACTGGTCTGGATGGCAGCGCCCCTATTCGTAGATGATTACCGTAGCAACTTGCGTCTCACTACCCCTCCTGATAGTATGGAGAGTAGTCGGGAGGCTTTGGGTGCTTTCGGCAATCGCAGTCGTGATTTTGCCCGAATGGTGCTGACAGCGCAGCAAAGTGTTGCGTTGGGCCTGACTTGACACTGGAGGCGTTTGGGGTGATTTGGCGATATAAGTTGTCGCTTGTCTCGCATCATCGACTCATCGATGAATGCAATCAGAGACAACTTCAAGGTGAGTCCATTGCGAAGACTGCTCAGGGCGCGACTCAGTGATCGAGGGCATGCGATGTGGGTGACACCACACGGGGTCGGCATCATGGTCCAGATGGTTCTGCCTTTCTGCACGTGGTGCTGCGCAATTGCCGATTAAAGGGGGTGTGCTCTCGAGAAACCCCGTAGCATCGAGGCTGGGTCCGGGAGGGTTGTTGTCGCATGGCTTGTGTCGCAACGCTTCAATGCCTAGTGTTTTGCACACCGGCTCTTTGGGTCGCGATGGGTTGGCGCAAGGTTTGATGGCGGAAAATCACCTTCAATGTTGAAGCAATGCTTATCCTTGTTACAATGATATATTGCAGCGAGCAAGGTCGGTGAACTTTTGCGGCAGAACAACCGCATCAGGTCCGATTGACGGGAAAAGCATGCTAAGCTCTCCATACTATGCAGACTTACCTGAAATCCAGGTCTGACATCAGATGAAAAGAATTTTGGGTTGGAGTAAAGATCGTGAGAATGACGGGATGGTGTTGCGCACACGCGAGGCGGGGTTGTTGCAGGCTATGTAGTCCCGAGACGATTCGCCTCCATGCGTCCGCACCATAATCACTAGTCCCAAAATGGACATCAGGACCCTACATCCACGACTGGCATCTTCCCCACCAATGTCGTAAGTATTGCAAGCGGGGCGGTGGGCTGCTTTCGTGCATCACTCTGCCGTTGGCCACACCATGGGAATTATTTTGCCAATTGAAGTTTGCGCTGCGCTTAGTTTCGGCATCTATGATGGCAGAGCGTAGTGAAATGGTCCGTTATCGCGGGTGCAAGCAGCTTTAAGAGGAGTTCCTCCTACAGCCTTGGGGGACCAACTATCCAATTCCATACTTTTCAATTCTTTTGCAATGGCGACCTCCCAGCGCGTTGTCATAATCGGCGCCGGCGTTGTCGGCACTAACCTCGCTGATGAGCTGGTTTCACGAGGATGGAACAACATCACCGTAGTTGAGCAGGGTCCATTGAGCATGCCCGGTGGCTCAACATCGCATGCGCCTGGCTTAGTCTTCCAGACTAATCCCTCGAAAACGATGACCTTGCTCGCGAAGTACACAGTCGAAAAGCTGCAAGCGCTCGAGAAAGACGGACAAAACTGCTTCAACCAATTGGGTGGCTTGGAAGTTGCGACAACTCCAGAACGGCTGGAGGAACTCAAGCGCAAACACGGGTATGCGCAATCATGGGGTATCGAGGCAAATCTGATCGGCCCCGATGAATGTCTTGAGAAGTACCCCCTGCTCAACAAGGATATGGTGCTAGGTGGTCTTCACATTCCAAGCGACGGCCTAGCACTCGCAGCTCGTGCGACACAGATCCTCATCGAGAACACGCGCAACGCCGGCGTCAAGTACCTCGAGCACACCGTCGTTACCGGAATCGAACAAGCGGAAGGCCGTGTCACCGGTGTGACAACCAACAACGGTTCTGTGCCAGCGGATATAGTTGTATCATGTGCTGGCTTCTGGGGCGTAGAGATTGGAGCTATGATTGGGCTGAAGGTTCCTCTCCTCCCTCTGGGGCACCAGTACGCGAAGACCACAGCTGTCCCGGGCCTCGAGAACCGCGAAGTCAACAAGAAGATCAACGCAATGAACGCCGAGCTGCCGATTTTGCGACATCAAGACCAAGACTTATACTACCGAGAGCATGGCGAACAGTTTGGTATCGGATACTATGGCCATCGTCCGATGCCCGTCAAGGCTTCAGACCTAGGAGTGACACCCAAACATGTCGATGAGAAGCACATGCCTTCTCGTCTGGACTTCACACCAGAGGACTTTGAGCCCGCCTGGAAGGCTACCAAAGAGCTGCTTCCGGTCTTGCGTAACACCGAGATCGCAGACGGCTTTAATGGTATCTTCTCTTTCACGCCAGATGGTGGATCCGTCGTTGGACAAGCTCCCAATCTAGACAACTTCTGGGTCGCCGAAGCCGTATGGGTGACCCATTCGGCCGGTGTAGCTCGAGCAGTGGCAGAAACCCTTACAGAGGGCCGTTCAACTATCGACATTGCTGAGTGTGAGTTGACACGATTCGAGGAAGTGCAGCTTAGCCCAGAATACGTCAGCGAAACCTCGCAACAGAACTTCGTCGAGATTTACGACATCATCCACCCTCTCGCGCCGAAAGAGAACCCTCGCAACCTTCGCGTCAGCCCATTCTACGCACGACAACAGGAACAAGGCGCCTTCTTCCTGGAGGTAGGAGGCTGGGAGCGTCCACACTGGTACGAAGCGAACGCAGACTTGGTCAACACCCTACCGGAAGACTGGAAGCCTGTTGATCGGGACGCCTGGTCATCCAAGTTCTACTCACCAATTGCCGCGGCGGAAGCCTGGAAGACACGGAATGCAGTAGCGTTGTATGACATGACAACTTTCCACAGGTTCGAGATCTCAGGTCCTGGTGCCGTCCACTTGCTCGAGAGATTGACGACGAGTGACGTTTCCAAGCAAGCGGGCGCTATCACTCATACACTACTCGTCAACGGCCACGGTGGCGTGCTGAGCGACATTTTCGTTTCGAGAATCGAGGACGACCTCTTCCAAGTAGGTGCAAACACAGCGACCGATCTTGCCTACCTCACGCGCGAAGCTCGCCGTCAACATAAGCACACGTCTGGCCAGTGGGCGCAGGTGCGAGACATCACCGGAAGCACATGCTGCCTTGGTCTTTGGGGGCCCCGCGCGCGGGACGTCATTCGCACGGTCAGCTCCGATGACTACAGCAACAAAGGCCTGCCGTACATGGGTGTGAAGAAGACAAGCATAGCTGGGATTCCCGTCACCATGTTCCGAAAATCGTTCGTCGGAGAGTTTGGCTGGGAGATTCAGACCACACCTGAGTACGGCCAGCGTCTTTGGGACATATTGTGGAAGTCAGGTAAGCCCCACGGTCTGGTCGCTGCTGGTCGCGCTGCCTTCAACGGACTGCGCATCGAGAAGGGCATCCGAGCCTCAGGTTCCGATATGACCTCCGAGCACAACCCTTGGGAAGCCGGCGTGACGTACGCGATCCAGATGGACAAGAAGGCGGAATACGTTGGCAAGGCTGCGCTAGAGCAACTCTCGAGGAAGGCAGCGTATAAGAGACTCCGGTGCTTGACAGTCGATGACGGTCGTTCGATGGCTCTGGGCAAAGAGCCTGTCTTTGTCGAAGGCCAGAGAGCCGGCTACGTTACCAGCGCCGCCTTCGGCTACACTGTACGCAAGCCTGTTGCATACGCATGGCTACCCAGCAGTGTGAGCGAAGGGAAGTCCGTGGAGATTGAGTACTTCGGCAAGAAGATCAAGGCCACAGTGACTCGAGATCCATTGCACGACCCTCAGGAGCAGCGCTTGAGGGGTGAAGGATCATCCGAGAAGCCGGAGCTGCAGAAGAGGCTGAAGGCACTGCTGTAGTTGGGACGTTGTAATGTTGGACGATCGTTATGACTGTATATGAGCATCGATATGGCATGGCTGGGTTTGATTTAGGTGTTTGTCAGGCGTATGGGTACCATCAGTTCCATGGTGATAGTGTATTGGAAGATCTCCTCATTGAAACGCGTCGTGCCTTGATCATTGTTGCGATAAAGAAGATATGCCGCATGCCGTGCCATTTGGGAAGTGCTCGTGTTCTTGAGGCGAACGCGTTCGGCAAGCAGCTAGACACGTGGGACGCCTTTCACGTGACAAAAACTTATCGATAACAAGCGATAACGTCATCATCATCTCGGCCATCGCAAAGCTCCATGCCCTCCTCAAACCTCCGTCAATTTCTGTTCGGTATCTTCCTCATGAGCGTGTTTACTACGATCATCAAACGATACTCGCTAGCATCAATCTCTCGCACCATTCCCAAGGTAATCGTGAGCAGTTACAACCACAATCTCGAATCTGAGTTGACGCCAAGCAGCCATCGTCTCCATCTGCACGCAACATGCATATCCAATCAATTCCCATGTGTACGAGCACCCTGATGAAGCATCTCGAGCCATCAGACACAATCTAACTCGCTAATTAGGGGAGGGTTCGGGCAACAACTATGCCTACCTAGTCTCAGACGACAAGACTAAAGAAGCAGTTATCATTGACCCTGCCAACCCTCCAGAGTACGCTAGTAGACATAGAGAAGAAGGCGGTTAGCTGACCTGGCTATAGAGTTCTACCTGTATTGCGGGAACAGACTACCACCGGAGGTCTCAAGCTGACCAAGATCATCAACACTCACCAGTAGGGCAACTGCGCTACACATTGCGACTTCGCTGACGTATAGATTAGCCATGGAGACCATGCAGGAGGTAATGTCGATACAGTAAGTTTAGAAAGAAGCAAGCAGGGTGTAAGTTCATCAGCTAACCGTTTTCATAGATCAAAGCATTCGGCTTGCCCGTAATTGGCGGTCGTGATTGCGACAAGGTCTCCGAGACACCCAGCCACAACAGTACCTTCAAGATCGGTTCCATCAACGTCAAAGCGCTCCACACACCATGCCATACACAGGACAGCATATGCTTCTATTTCGAAGACGGCAACGATCGCGCCGTTTTTACCGGAGATACACTGTTCATCGGCGGCTGCGGGCGGTTCTTCGAAGGCACTCCAGAACAGATGCATAAGGCTCTGAATGAGACCCTAGCGGCTCTTCCAGATGACACAAAGGTCTACCCTGGGCACGAGTACACGAAGGGCAATGTCAAGTTCGCGAAGAGCGTGCTGAACAATGATGCCATCAAAAAGCTTGACACATTCTCACAAGAGAATAAGCAGACGCAGGGCAAATTCACGATCGGCGACGAGAAGAAGCACAACGTATTCATGCGCGTCGATGACCCCGAACTCCAGAAGGTTACTGGCAAGACTGAGCCTATCGATGTCATGGGAGCGCTGCGAGCCATGAAGGACAAGTCATAAGACGGAAGATTTGCACAAATAAAATGACATCGGAGCGTTATGCTATGCTACTTAGACTAGATGCCTTACTTGCAGAATACCTCGGTGAATGATCCACATTGATCTGTGCTTGTTCTGATGGGAAGCCAACAGCACCAGCAGCAAAAGAAGTATAACTGCGGGGAAATTATGTTAGCAAAGTGTGCTTGCAGAGTCAGCCTCGTATCCTTGGGGGTTGATGCGACCAGTAATAGGGTGTCTGAGGGTAGATGTTTGCGAGGGATGCGGTACTTGACTCACAAGCGATGACTGGACTCGCGGTTCATAATATTCAAGAACATCATTCTTCCATCCGAAAGTGTAAAACAACTTCAAAGAATCATTTCTGGGCATTTTCTATTCTTTCCTCTCTGGTTCCCGGTTAGCTAGTTTCTAAAGACATTAATATTGGTCGTCATGGCTGCCAACGGCATCACCACGAAGGCACTCAAGCAACGTACAAGGCCGGACCAAGAGACGCTACCACCACACAAGTACTACGACAATCGCTCTACTTTGTTACAGAGTCTGCGGCAGAATACACATGAGAATGGCATATATTCTTCGTTCATCCCCAATCTCCTGGACCTTGACACATTTCGCGCTCGCCACGAGTCTATCGCGACTGGCCACCAGCTCGAAGACGTAGAGTACACGATACGTGGACGTATCGTCACTATGCGTAGCGCAGGAGAGCGTCTGCGCTTCTATGAAGTTCAGGTGGGCGAAGATAAGATACAGGTCGTGTGCCAGGTGACCGAACGCGACGACATTGAAGCATACAAGCAGCAACACGAACACCTCGCCAGAGGCGACCAAATCGGTGTAATCGGCCATCCAGGACGAACAGCCCCACGAAACCGACCCGTAGGCGAACTCTCGCTCTTCGCTCACAAGGTCATCCTGCTAGCACCCAGCCTACACATGCTGCCCAAGACGCTCACCGACGCCGAGACGCGACACCGCGACCGACCCCTCGATTTCATTACGAACCGACGCAGCCGCGACATGCTGCGCACCTGGGATGCGGTGGAAGCTTACATCACTACGTTCCTGCGCAGCCGCGGCTACATCTCAGTCGTAACACCCATCCTCTGCCAGCAAGCCGGCGGTGCAGCAGCCAAGCCCTTCATCACCCACCACAACGATCTCAAGCGAGACATGTACCTCCGGACTGCTACTGAGCTCCATCTCAAGCCTCTAGTCGTTGGCGGCATTGATCGCGTGTTCGAGATCGGACGTGTGTTTCGCAATGAAGATATGGATCTGACTCATAACCCCGAGTTCACAAGCTGCGAGTTCTATCAGGCGGATGCTGATTATGAGGTTATGATGCAGTTGACACAGGAGATGATTTCTGGTCTGGTGAAGAGTGTGACGGGTTCGTATGTGACTAGGTTCACTAGTCAGACTGGTGAGGAGAGGAATATTAATTGGGAGGGGCCATGGGAGCGCATCGACATGATTCCAGCCCTAGAGGCTGCCTGCGCTGTCAGTTTTCCTCCTCCACCCGAACTTCACACCGAAGAAAGTCGGCAATTCCTTCTCGGCCTCTTGAGTGACCGTAACATCGTTTGTTCACCTCCGCATACAAACGCCCGTATGCTCGACAAGCTCGTCGGAGTCTACATCGAATCGCGCATTACAAACCCGACATACATCATCCACCACCCTAAGCTCATGTCTCCACTAGCTAAGACGCATCGCGCAATCTCTGGTCTCACGGAACGAGCCGAAGCCTTTGTCTGCGGCCAGGAGATTTGCAACCTATACTCCGAACTCAACGACCCGTTTGAGCAGCGCGAGCGCTTCCTAGAGCAGGCTCGACAGAAGGCTCAAGGTGATGACGAGGCGCAGAACATTGATGAGGGGTTCATCAAGGCGTTGGAGTATGGAATGCCGCCCACGGCTGGGTGCGGGCCGGGACTTGATCGCATCTTGATGTTTTTGACGAACAATTACTCGATCAAGGAGGTTTTGGCGTTTCCGATGATGAGAGAGGAGGAAAAGAAGGGTGTGGCTGGAGCTGCGAATGGTCAGGCGGAAAAGGTGGTCAACAAGGGAGAGCGAGTTCGGGCGCTGAGGGCGCAGATGGCAGCGCTCGAGGCAGAGATCGCAGGGTTAGCCATCGAGAACTGAGAATAATGCTGCGTTGTTAGGTAGTGAGAATTAGCACTCTCCCCTTTGGGATCGATCAGAGATGACTGGAAGTGCGGATTACACGAAGTGAATGAAGATTATTGGCGTAAGATGCTGATCCTTTCATAATTCCATGCCTCGTCTTTTGCCTTCCTTGTAACACTCAGAAAGAGACTGCGACTATGACCATAGTGCAAAACGTCGATCCTCCACTCAATGAAATCCTACCATCCCGAAGCTTGACGCACACCCCTCTTAGTAGGCATGGTCTCCTGCTCTTCAGTTCCTGAAAATCTCATGTTAGCACTTGCTATAGGAAGTACTCTGAATACAAAAAGAAAACGCTGGACAGGATTATATGTTCGTACTCAGTCGGTGGACTACGGGGACAGAGCTTGGTGGCAAGCTGCCGTATTCGGTGATGACCATGTTGATGTACTGTGCGGGTGTAACATCGTAGAGGACCTGGAGATGATGCAGGTTCTTTGCATCGTCGATCCATTTCAGAACGTCTGTGGTATCGGCAGGCGCCTCTTCCGATGACGACTTGTCGTCGCTCTTTGAAGCCGTAAATCGCGACTTGAGAGGAAGGAGCTCGCGGCGCTCAGCCTCGGAGAGAATTTCCTCAGCAGGGGCGACTTCGTTTCCAACGATGGAGTCCAGTGCTACCTTCTCGGTGAATTTCACTGATTGGCAGAGTACGATGACGGGTAATGAGTGGGAGTAGGCAAGCATGGAAACCAGAGCTGTGCCAACGCGCGAGTAGAGGCGACCGTTCGACATCATCGCGTGGGCACCCAGGAAGACCTTCGTCGCGTCCTTGACAGCATGCGAAGCTCCTGTGATGAGATAGTAGCGTACTGAGATGCCGTGATTTGCGAGTTTCCGAGCTAGCTGCTTGCCCTCGAATAATGGCTTTGAGTCCACGACGATGACCGTGAAGGGTTTGCCGGACTGGTGAGCATGAATGATGGTTTGTTCGACTATGGAGGATGCTGCGTATATAAGAATGACATCACCGGCTTGGATCTTCGTGGCTGCGAGATCGCGGATGAGTCTGTCAGCTGCCGTGACACGTTCGCGGATGAATATGTCGATCTCCTCGATCAGGTCTCGCTTTGCCTCATTCTCCGGGGTTGAAGGATCTATCTTGATGATGACTGGAAAATGTCAGTATCTCGTCGGACGTTTTCTGATAAACTCCGATGCCAGGCCGCGTCTATTTCGTTATTACAGTACGAAACTCCGACTTACTGTCCTTGAGCCACCGGATAGCATTTCCCATACTGATGCTAAGCGGTCGACAGCTCTTCAAGAACTCAATCTGAGGACCAAGATGATGGCTGGTCAGATGTCGGGCTAAACTATTTCCTGGGGGTGTTTGATAGGCCTCGATTACTGTCTTGAACACCAAAAGCATTGCCACCATACGCGCCGTACTACCACAGATGGCATAGCTGCTATACTGCAGGCCAAGCGCAAGAACTGCAGGATGTACATCCTTCGACGCGCCGACAAGAGATTGCTGCTTTGGTTGGCTGTAGAGATGACCAAAGAACAAGCCAGTCTGTTTTGGTTCTTTATCTTTCTTCGTCTTTCTCTCTAGGTCTTTCAGGACTGGTGTGTTCGCTTGCGATGAACGCCGCCATAATGGCTGTGGTCTTGACTTGTCGTCTTTTGGTGTCTGCTTCGACTCTTTTTGCTGTTTCTGGCTGTCCTTTGGAGGTCCTTGCTGTTGGTTTGGTGCGCCGGCCGCAGCCTTGGCTTGGGCTCGCTTTGCTTGCTTCTCGGCCGCCTTTTGCTTTTTCATCTCCGCTGGCGAGAGCTTTTTGGGTCCGTCTGTGGCATCGCCATTTGGTGTTGCAGGTGCGCCGTCTTGGGGCGGTACTACTGCCGCAGCGGGTGTTGGCGCTGGCTCTGCAGCGGATGTCTCAGACATGACGATGCGACTCCTCTGTTCTTGTCGTCCCTTTGGAATTGGAATGTGGCCAGTCAGGTGTAAAACGATCAAGCGTGGTGGGGCAAACTCGAGTGTCGTGGCGTGAACTCGGTCCCAAATCGCCTATCTCAAAAGCCTGCAGATTTTCGTGGATCGATTTTATTAGGTGGAGTAGTGCAGCGCGTGTTTGGTCAAGTGTCGCTGGGCAGGCGGAAATTTGATAGAGACTCGTGAATTGAGTCAGAAGTTTGGTCGCTGCTTCTGGTTAGTGCAGAAACGGAAATGTCCCGCAATGATCCCCCCGCTCCCTGCGTCATTGGGCAGGCATCCATCGCGCCTTCTCCAACAGCGCAGACATCTTGTTTACTCACACGTCGTCATTACCAGCTGGAGCAGGCTCCATTACTTCACCCCTGAACAACGACACCACCTTGAAAACACCTCTACTATACATTCGACTCGCCGAAAAAGGTGTCTAGACGCCTCGCAACACCAAAATGGCCGACACCATCAGCTCCATCACCGACCTTCCCCTCGACATCCTCGTACTCGTATTCCCATACCTCGATGCCAAGAGCTTCCTCGCCCTCTGCAGCACGTGCAAAGCCTTCCAGCAACCGTCGATCCGATTAGACCCTGCGTACTGGAGTTACCTCGCCCGAACGACCTTCCGCGTACCGAACCAACCAGTCGTACAACATGACGGCGACCGCTGGCAGAAGATGTATCGTCGCATGCTCACCCAGAGCCGCGTATACACATGGGGTCATAACTCGCACAACCGCTTGGGGCATGCTTCAGACCCGGAGGACCACACACATGGCCGGACGCCTCGAATGAGAGGAATGAGAGCTGGTATGATGCGGCCAGGCAGGCGCATGTATAACGCCCATCAAGCCTTTCCGACGGAGATGGATAAGACACGAGAACTAGGAGTCATTGCCGATATGCAATGTGGTGGCTGGTCCACGACGTTGCTCACCTCCAAAGGAACTCTGTACACTGCTGGCGCCCTTGATGGCCAAAGGATACTCATTGCTAGCGGGCCTCTGCAACCACTCCGCTTCCCAGAAGGCTATCCCTCAAATGCCTCCGAGGCCCAATACGAAGAGCCGACTGTCGCCATCCGGCAGTTCTCCTCCGGTCGCGCACACATACTTGGACTCTCCGACAGCGGCCGAATGTGGTCGTGGTACGATGTCAAGAAGCCTGCGCTTCAAGTCAAATTCACTACTCTGCAGCTGAACGAACTCTCCTTGAACGAAAAGTCGAACGCGACCTCCAACTTCGGACAAGTAAAGCAAGTGGTAGCAGGATGGAGCCGTAGCTCGGCCTATGTTTATGGCGTTGGCATTGTCGTCTGGGACCCTGTTGAGCGAGATCATGGCGATGAAGGCACAGACACTATGCTTGTCCTGGAACATGCCGAAATTCCCAAGACCGGCTACCAGTATGTCAAGGGCAGCCGCGATTCTGATGAACAGAGAATTTTGCGTCAAGAGGTCGGAGCAGTACTGAATCATGTCATACTGGAGCACTTTGTGCTGTTCAGTACAGACCTGGGCAAAGTGTTCTGTGGCCGATTCGAGGAAAAGAATTGTGTCGAGGATATTGTTGAGCTCCAAACTCTGCGTCACGAGCAGGGGGGTCCTCTTGACGTTCAGGGCTCTTTCCGCAATTTTGCCATTTTCAGGGACAATGAAGTGATCACCGGCGACCAGAACTACCTCGAATCATGCTGGAGCAATCGCCATAGTCCAGGGGATGTGCAGGGGCTGAAGAAGATTCCAGCCTTGCAGAACAGCAACGTTATCTCGATCGCTTTCGGTGACTACCACTATCTGGCACTCCACTCGGACGGCAAAATAACTTCATACGGCACCGAGAATTCGGCCTGTGGCGCGCTCGGCTTAGGCTCGAACGGTGACAGCCTAGTCGGAAATGCGCGAGGTGTTATGTATGACCGGTTCAACGCCAACGGGCAACTGCTTCCTCACGCTTACACACGCGGTCGTCAGATCTGGTTTGATGCGAGGAAGAACGAGTGGCTCAAGCAAGCGGTTCACGACGACGCACACGCAGAAGAGAGCCAGGAGCGCAGGGAGATGTTCAGGACCGACCCCAACGTCCAAGGCGAAGTCAGTGAGTGGTTCGAACAGGAAGGTAGAGCCTGGGATCAGGACCAGGGTGAAGACGGCCTTGGTGCCTATTTCGCTCTTCGGGTGAGTGCTGCAGGATGGCACTCGGGCGCTTTGGTCTTGGTCAACGAAGAGCTGGCCAAGAAGGAACCTACATACAACCGCGAGGATGTACATTTTCCTAGACTCAAGCTCTCAGATGGCAGAGAACTGCCCGGCCAGAAGGACTTTGATGAGTGGAGAGAGGGACGACCAGATTTCCAGCTCAACGCCTAGGCTAGAAGACTGAATGATGATCTGAGGTATTTACTTTAGCTCCTACTATCAGCTATACAAACACTGCATGCCGCCATTGCATCATCGCAATACAACGATTGCAATGAGGCGCACTTTCGTACCCCGTTATCTTGGCAGAGATCTACGCGTCACCGTTCAGGCTGGTAAAAATCGATCTGATGCATGCATGCACTGCCAACATGGTGGCAACACAGCATACTATCTTTCCACGAATGAACGAGGCGGTAGCTGACCGGTTGGAAGCGGGCTGCACGTTGTGTGATATGTCGCTCAGCCTCGAGTAACCCCACAATTTGTGCGATCATCCTACACCAGCCTGACAAGGTCATCAAACTAAAGCTTCGTTACTTCCAATATGGCGTCTGCTGCCTCCTGTCTCTTCGATCTTCTACTCGTCCTTCCGAAACTACTGGAGATTACGTGTCTGCTGCTCAAAGTCACTGCTACGACTCTTCTGCGTCGCTTGAACGGTCGACACAATGCAGAACTGGTTCATCTTCCTAGCATGGCCTCTATCACTTTCAACGAGCCGTGTGCAACCTGTCAGGGTATCGTCGATATTATCAGCCATCCGGGATGGCACAAAGATCTTGTCCATCACGAATCACTAGCATCTCTAGAGAACTCTTCCGAGCAGTTCTGCGGGATACGTTCGGAAAATCTCGGATACATACAAAGGGAGTTCGCTGGTTACTTGGAGACATTGTTCCCAATCAAATGCGAGTCTGATACTTCGTCAGCAAGCTGGTAAAGCTCTTTTGAGTGGACGCTGACGTCGGATGGTGTGAATGACTTTAGTCTGGGGTTTACATTCGAGATCATTAAGAAGCTTCGAAGTAAGCCTTGGCTAGAAGCATGTATCAATTGGATTAATTACTCACTTTCAAACACAGGCGAACACGCGGCGTACAAACCCGCTTCGTCGATATCTTCTCCCGAGAGCTGGAATCTGATATAACGCTGGACGGATGAGTGTACTCAAAATCATGTTCGGTGCAACGCAACTATTCCCGGACGCTGGTTCCCGTCGCGGGTGCTGGATGTCGGCATTTCCAATGACGATCGCGTACGATTAGTGCATCGTAATGACATCTCTTCTGGACAGCCTTACGCAACTCTTTCTCATTGTTGGGGAACCTCTTATATGCCAAAAGCGGACCGCTCGAATTTACATCAATTGGTGGCAGGCATTGATTCATCATACTTCATGAAAACGTTCTTGGAAGCAATTAGCATCACTCGAAAATTGGGCCTTCGTTATCTCTGGATTGATTCTTCGTGTATCATACAGGACGACAAGGACGATTGGAACAATGAAGCCAGTCTCATGAGCCTTGTGTATAGGTACTGCTTCATCAATATAGCTGCCACAGGGTCACCGAACCCCACCGGAGGTTGCTTCTGGGACAGAAACCCACGAGCTGTATTGCCAACCGAGTTTTATATATATCCTGGGTCGGTTGCAAAGGAATGCAACGAAGAGGTACCTTACCGTATGCGAACCTAACGTGTGGGCTCAGAAGATCACACATGAACCGCTAAATCAACGTGCCTGGGTACTTCAGGAGCGTATTCTTTCGCCACGTGTTCTTCACTTCGGCCGAGAGCAGCTTTTCTGGGAATGCAGGCAATTTGTTGCCTGCGAGACATACCACCAAGGTCTCCCCGATAGTGTGCGTGGGCACACATCCATCGATATCAAAAGACTACAACTCGGCGACGAGACAAGAGACGACCGCTGGCCAGCAAAATACAATTCGCAAATTCCACCGGGTATCAGCCCTTCGAGAAGACTCTTGAACGCTATCAAAGCAACGTTTGCGCCTGTTTGAATTCAGCAGGTTACGATGCACGCTGCTATGAAGTCCGCGTCGGTTTTGCAGGATTGGGATGCGATTGTTGAATTGTACACCGCGTCCCAAATCACCTTTGATTCTGACAAACTCCCAGCTGTGGCAGGTCTTGCTAGCAGTGTGTCCGTTGTTGAACCGGGCGAACCTGGGGACGGCTATCTCGCAGGCCTGTGGCAGTCTTCTTTGCCTGCATACTTCCTATGGGAAACTACGAAAAACGAATTGTCGCGCGCCTTAACAACGCGTCCGGGACAACTGATCGCGCCGACATGGTCCTGGGCTTCAGTCAGAGGCAAGATCTCACTCACAGCTTGTCAACACAACTACAACTCCAACGACTACCTAACGGTTCTCCAGGAGGCTGTAATGAATAACCATTACGGTTATCGCTTCCATAGAGTGTTTAATGAGTACGTCAAACGTTTTGGCCCATTAGCCTCGGTACGTTGGACAGTCAACCACAAAACCCACTCCTCACTTGAGCTCAAGACCGGCAAGATAACCTAGATCTTCCCACAACAACTCGGCAGCCATGTTCCGGTATCAGTTACACCGGACAGCTCGTCTGTTTCTGAAATCTTTTTTGACACAGCGGTAGACGGCACGCCATCTCTAGAAAGGTCAGAATGCACCGATATCACACCAGAGGACCAGGTACTCACGCTCCTACCCATTATTGGGGTCAAGAAGAGAATCGCGCACGAAAATGAAACAGTCATTGGATTGGTATTGATACCAGCCTGGCATGGGACGGGAAAATACGAAAGAGTCGGCATTTTCTATACCATGAGATTGCAGGTCGGGCGAATTCTTGCAAACATGCCCCGGCGATCTGTCACGATTATTTGAGCTCATTTGTCTATGGAACTTCACTCAGTTATGTGACCACCTGCCCAATCTAGAAGCGTTAGTGTAAGGGCTAGTCACGTGCTCACGTGGCGACGGCATCGCCGTGATGAGTAGACTAGGACAGCTGGACGTTGCGTAAGATCGACAGGACCACCACCATTGATGCATCCCCATCGTTACATTCAGGGGGCTCGGTCACGCTTTCGCGCGTCTGATGATGACCCGGTGTTCCTGCTTCGAAGCCGCCGGTGTTGATCTCGGATTCGCTAGACGTAGATCTTCTCGCATCAACGGCGTCTCCGAGATTGAGGCAACTGTTCGCGAGAGGCGTGCTCGATCTACGCAAGGATTGCAGAGTACTAGAATGTGGATACTGGTGCAGCTGCTTGAAGCCTGAAATCGCGAGGACAGTCGAAGCCTGGGGGAGGTAATATTGTACGCGGCCAGTCAAAGCTGCCGATCTGTCGATAGGGAAGTTCGAGTTCATGGATGCAAGTGATTGCGTCTCGGTAGTTCCAACGCCGCACTCCATACACTCGGTATCTTCCAGGTTCTATCCAAACCCTCCAGCTGACAGACAGCCAACCTCGCCGTTGTTCGATGCGCGCTCGCTACCGAGAACCTGTTTTTGAGGTTTGCCCAGCTTCTGTAATATCGCGTGGTGTTGTAGAGATCGCACGAAGTACTCCAGATCGCGGACATTCCACGAATGGCAGCAGGCGACGCGACGGATAAGCTCACGTTTCGACAGCCACATGCAGGACATGAGTTTGGTAAAGGTCGAGACGTGATAACAGCCCACCAAGCCAGCATCGCGTACCAGCCGCCTCCTACGCGATGTGGTTCTTTGGGGTTGAAAAGGGTACCGCCCCGCAAAAAAGCACATGTGTGGCGGTTGTTTCCCTGAATATACTGATGCTCGGGCGTGTTGCTATTCTGCTTCAACTGCGAGTCTTTGTTTAGCCGCTTCTCTTACATATTGCTTAAGTTGTTTCCCGGCGTATCATGAGCGCCTGTCCTTCGGTTGGCGTTCCTGCAGAAGCTGAAACCGATCCGTCACGGGACGCCTTACTCACCCACCACACCTCAGTCTAACGCCCGTCATGGCGCAACTGCATCGTTCCAACTGGCGGCCCCTACATCCGTGCAAAGGCCTCGCCAGACGTGTTCAGCCAGCTCGCCGTTGTTCTTGCGCGCAGGATCAGATCTCGGGTCACCCCTGCCGATTCGGCCAGTGAACCAGTGGCGTTAGCCACAACAAACGCCACCATCGCAAACTCAGCTGAGATACCACCAGCCAAGACACGAGGACACTGGTCGTGCTGCTGAGGCCACGCACCAAACCATGCCTACCCCAGCAGAATCCGTGATGTATGCCTTCCACAGGCGCTATTCGTCACAGCTGAACACGATCAGTTTGTTGTCTTTTGCTTGATTTGCGCATCGTGGGCTTACGCTTCACTTTGCCCACCAGCTTTCGTCACCAGGACTACGCCGCGCTAGCTCGCCGATATCTCGATGTTTCAACCGCATCTGGGCGTGCTGATGTCGCCGTCGAAGCATATACGTAGACCAGGATGGCGCGTTCCGCAGAGATTGATGCCCCAGGAACGAACCTGACTCTCACATGCGATATCCTTATTTATACATCGACCCCGGTGCCAGTCCTACAGGAGCGAGACAATAACCGTACCCGAGTATTATTAGCTGCCTACTATACAACGGAGGATTCCGACCCTAGTGCTTATGCTAACAGTTACATCCGTTCTTACTCGACGTAAGTTGTATGAAAGCGGTTGCTTCCCCGTCTTCCTGACTGACGCAGTGGCTAGTTCATCTAGGACCTGCATCATCCCACGCTTCTCATAGTCTGAGTGGATCCCACCAAGCCTTACCTGTCTTCCGTCGGCGTCATTTTGTACCTATGCCTCCACTTCTCAAACCAACGAATTTGCTCGATACAGAAAGGCGGCTCCCGCTCGTCAGTCTACGGCATCTTTTTGAAGTGTTCTTATTGTTGGCGCTTTTTGTCACAGTTTTGAGATCGATACTCCTTGCACGAAGACGAAGAACGATGACTAGTTCCGACATGGGTCAAGGTGACTTGCCCATCAATCAAGAGAAGAAGTTGGCCATTCATCAAAGAAAAGATTCATATCAAGAGGAGGCTCATCTTGAAGGGGAGAAGATAGAGAGTCTCAGCACTACTTTGGAAGAGGTTTCAAGCACAGAACGACAGAACGATGTCTTCCTTCGTCGGCCATCGCTCGACCAGCAACCGAACCAGTACCTCCAGTCGCTCCAAAAAGAGACCCTCCAGCCCGTACTATCTCCGATCTATCCTTGGATATCACCGCCGCAAAATCTACCAGGACCATACGACGCGCCCTACTATCCAGTCCCGTTACCGACCATCAAGACCGAAGAGTCACTCCAGGATAGAAACCAGTCGACTACCATCAAGACCGAACCACCCTCGGCAGACGTACCCGAGGAACTATCAACTATCTCGTATACCCGCCGCGTCTCGCCAAACAGTATGCCAGACCAAGAATCACTTCTAGAAGGAACAGTCACGGTCTCAACCAAAGGCTGGCGGCGCACTCAATGGACCGTCACCGCAGGTTGAGCCCCATCTGCCACCTCTTCACCGTATGTTCAAACCAAGCTAGGAAAACGTCGGAAAGCAAGTGCGATCGTACGCTCGCACAACATGCCTTCTTCCGTACAACGGCACCTACCTCCCACGACAACGCACACTGCCTGGACACAAGCCACAATCGCTCGATCGCGGTCGCATGACCTCAGCACATGTGGATACTGAGGCTCAACGTTAAAGTGCTGAAGTGGTCCAGTTTGAGCATGGAGTGTTGTGGCTTGCGTAGTTTCCACGCTTACTAGCTGAGGAAAGTGGAGTGAAAGTGGGGCGGGTAGGCGACACTTGTCGACACGATGTATTGTTACTATTTACGAGGCTTAAGCCACAGCCGGCATGGGTAGATCCGGTTGCTTGTCATGTTTTTCTTGCTTTTGTTGGTTCCATGGTGGGTATTTGTCATGTTGGTACCGGTACTTCGAGACGAAGGGTTCGGCGGATGTACCCGATGGTCTTCATGTCTTGGTGTAGTTTAGTAGTTGTTTTGCAGTCCAGACAACCGTCATTTCCTGGGTTTTCTTCATATCATTGATCGGAACCAAGGTGCACAACACTTCCCAAATATGTATAACCACTCCGGCTCAAACTTCATATGCCGAGCGCATACCAAAGTCCCCGAGCGTCTAAACGACGTGTTCACTAGTTCCCGCGCCACGAACTTAGTAGTCGTATTTTCGTATTGGAAGTCCCTGGGGATCGAATGACGTGATCTCGATAGCTTTACTACGGTGCGTTCTAAGCGCCAGACAAATATGTCCATCTAAGCTTCGCCAAACGAATCATCTGTGACCTAAGCGCCAAAAGCAAATTGTAAACATCTATCTGCAGGATTCGTAACGATGTACACCTGAGCAGCGTGAAGAGTACGTACTGCATGCGACACAGTCAGCTTCAAGTCCTATGTAGACGTCACGTTAGCGGTCGATCCGCGTCGCTTGTAAGAACCGTACTCGGACAGGAAGGAACATGGTAGATCTCATTCGTCTACAATTGCCCGGTCTGAGACACTGCGTTGTCGATCAGCGCAGCGCGTAATCGAGGAGTATTGTGGGGAGCTGAAGTTGAAACACAGCCGTGGGCCCACGTGCGTGTGGCGGGCTGCGTCGGGCTTACTGACGATGCCGGTAACTAAACTGATCTTGGACAGGGAATGTATAGAGTTACAGATGGTGTGTCGGTAGTATACTCAATTGCGAATGCATGATGCGTTCACGCTCTCCAATGTAGGTATCTCGTCCCAAATCAAACCAAACGCCCAAATAAATCCTCCCACATATTCTCGTTACGCCAGTGTACAGCAAGCCACATATGTTCCAACCCAAATCACGCTATACAGTCTACCTCTTGCCCTTCCAATCATACCTCTCACTAACAGTATAAAACCTAATCAAACTTCGAGCCCCAACCTCGTCGCCCGTCCTAAACAGCTGCGCAACATCCACATTGAGCGGACTGTCCGGCTCAGCACTAGTAAGCAACTGGTGTATACTCGTCAGAGTCGAAGAGATAGTATACGCGGGTGTCCAAGCGGTCTTGAGCAAATCGAGGCAGATCTCGCCCGTCTTGAAATCGACGTTGGGGTGGCAGATAGGTGTTACGAAGCGGATGGTAGGTGGGGTGAGGGGGTAGGTGGAGGGGATCGCGATGGAAAGGAGCCAGCAGCCGTCTAGGAAGTGTTAGCAAGTGAATGTGGTGATGCTGTAGGCGGTGTAGGCAAAGTATGCGCCGGGTTGTGTGTACCTTCATATGCCGTTCCCTCTACACCCTTCATGACTGCTCTCCATTGCATCACATCGTCATCCGTAGGTCCGAGTTCGTAAAGCGCGTCGTTGGAGTCGTGCTGGTATGTTTGCAGTTCGGTCATGAGGCGCTTGATGGGCGATGCGTTGCGCGAGGAGCCTGCCATGGTTTCTATATACGTCCGAGATGGGGATTGATATGGATAGTGAGGTTATAATGGGTGGAGACGATGCGCTGTATGTCTATGGCGGTGAAAGTGCGAGTGGAGGCTGGCGGACAGCTCAATTGTCGCATGGCTGAGCTGGCCGCGGTGATGCGCCGAGGTCTGAAGCTTGAGCCACAGTCTGGGCTGAGCGCCATCCCCACCAAAACTTTTGGAGATGGCATATCGTCACTGAGGTGCAGAGGCGCATCTTAGAGCACGCACCTCTTCTTACAACTTCTGCGCATTAGAATCCTTCAAATCGACGCGTTTACTGGCTTAGTCAGCATCCTGATCCCATCGCACACCTCCTCCTACCACCTACACAGTCAACAGTACGCGGAGTCGAACTCTTCATACACGACGCGCGCATACAAATCGGGACACATAATCATGGTCGCACCTACAGTTACCCTCACGCATCTGAACCGCGCCGACGGCTCTGCGACATACACCCACAATGGCTACTCAATCATTGGCGCAGTCAATGGCCCAATTGAAGTACAGCGGCGCGACGAATTACCCGAGGAAGCAGCGATCGAGGTGAACGTCAGACCCGCTATGGGTGTTGGAAGTATGTTCCCCTTTCTGGCTGGTTACGGATTGGTACACTGACAGAATACAAGGCCCGAGAGAAAGACATCTCGAAACCCTCGTACACAACACACTGCGTAGCATCATTCTGACCCGAGCGATACCACGAACACTTGTACAAATCACACTCCAAGTCAGGAGTTTACCGGAAGAAGATAGCACAGCCGGCGTCAACACTGTATGTCCAGTCGCAACGCCGTTTCCCGTGACCATCAATCGCTAACAATCCCAGTCTCTGACCCTCCTCCCACACCTTCTCCACACCGCACTCCTCGCCCTCCTCTCCGCATCAATACCCCTCTGCACAGTCCTCACTTCCGTAATGATCGCGCAACCCGCCTCTCCATCTACGAACTCCTTCCCACCCCTACTCTCGCCCACCGGGAACGAACTACTACGCGCGAAGCCTATACGATCTGTACATGTCTTCGCATTCGGTGGTGACAGGAAGATGTTGCTGAGCGAAAGCGAGGGAAAATTCAGCTACGAGGAGTGGAATGAGGCCTGTGAAATGGCAGAGGATGCATGCTGCGGAGAGGAAGACGAAGAGGAGGAGGGAGGTGTGCGGTTGGAGGCTGAAGGCGAGGCTATGGACGTCGACGCACAGGTCGAGGGAGAGAATTTGGAGAAGTGGTTGAGGAGTGTGGTAAGGAGGAAGGTAGAATATGAGCAGCGGTGGAAGAGCGCTACCTGAAGTCTGGTCGCAGGTATGCAGATACGATGACGATTGCAAGACGGAGGCTGAGGCCCTCGCGCTTGGAATCCTCATTAGCCAGCGTGGCAGGAGTGAGACAACACCAGTGACTCCAGAGTATGGTCATACATCCCAGAGAGGCCATCACTAAGCGCCTCACTTTCTTTGGCTTCGAGGTTACTCAGAGTTGCCAAGCCGCTGTGAGTCTGGAGCTGAGCACAGTGTGTCCAGGTATCATAACGCGAACATGAGTCTGCGTAATTTGAACGCAGCGTTGCATCAGCCATAGATGACGGCACAAAATCCAAGGCCAAATCAACGCTGGAAGCACTAGTTCGACAAGCAACGATTTCTTTGCGGTGATGTGTGCGTGACTCAAGAGTATGAAACAGGTGTGACGAGTTGCGTTGGTGAGAAGTGGTGACTGGTGCGAATGGCGAGCTTTGTACAAATACTGCTGTGTGTTTGTCTTTTGTTGTGCGAAAAATGCTATAGATACAAGAACGCTCAAAGCGCTAACGATGCGAGACGTATAAATGAAAGCTTGATGTAGACATCAAGTGTTGTAAGATGGTACAAGATGATGGTAGCGAATGGCTCCGCCGTATATCCGTCGTTCTCAGTCATAAATCGTAAGTCGTCGAGTGGTTGCTCGTCGTAGAAGGATTTTCGTTGTATGATGGCTTGTTTGTCGTGTCCCAGCGCTATGCAAAACCCCTAAAAGAACGTCCGTAAACCTAAATGAGAATGGTTAAACTGACTCGACCTTCTCCGTGATGAGTTTCTTCTCATGTTTCGCCTGCTCGGCCAGCACTCTTCCTAGAGCACCCTGTGCGTCCCATTCGGGGATTTCCCACATTGTTTTGTTCTGCGACTTCTTCTTATCGGTAACCAACCGGAAGTCTTCACTACATGCCTTCGCCTCCAGGAGCCACTCGTGCCAGGCGGGAGTATTAGGACAGGCATCACTCCGTTTAATCCATTCAATGTCTTTGCTGACACAAATAACCCTCCACAGAGCTTGAGTGAACGTGTCGTTCTCCGAAGGGTATCCTTTCTTGTCCATGCTGGAGTCGGAGAGGCATTCGTTTACGACCTTGTAACACGAGGTATCCCAGTGCAATTTGCTGTGCAAGGCAGCGACGATCCAGTACGAAGCGCCCAGCAGCATGTAGGAGCCAGCCCACGCAATCTGCACTTGGATCTGAGCATTGGCGAGGCAGATGACGCCCCCCATAAGCATCATGGTGCCCACCAAACTCAGTATTCGGTATACCGGACCGTGCGTTAAGAGGTAGTTGATGTTCTCCGGTGCGAAGTAGAGCTCTCGCGCCACGTCCTCCTCACAACGCACAACCAGAAAGGACCCCTTTGGATATCGAATAACAACGTCTCCTCGCGGCACCGGCCCCTTTTTGTACCTCCGCGAAGGTAATTCCAGTTCCCACTTGTTGCCCAATCCAATCAGACTGGAAAGAAGCGAGAGGAGTACCGTCGCCACCACCGACATGCCATCGTCTTGCCATATCGACAGCGCAAGGAGGAGAGCAGAGAGGGCGAATCCGATGAGAAGTACGACTGTGAGTGGGCCAAAGGTCTTGGCTTTGAGCGATCGGTCGTGGACGCGTTTGATCTCGACAACCCGGACGGAGAAGGGCTTCAGGTTGTTGGCGTCACTGGTAGTCTGTTAGTATGACACGGTTATGCTATGGTTGTAGATTGGTACGTGTGATGTCTAGTGCATTGTTGACTCCGGTCCACGGTAGACGTGTGGGGAAGTACCTCGTGGCAGCTGGTGCCTACCGAATTTGACCGAGAAGATGCACTTACCAGACGATGTTTCCAATATGATTGATGTTATCCCTGTGATTCCCCGAAACGATGCCGGTTACGTGACCCGGGAATGGCTCTAGTTGAACTGGTCTTGTCGGCCTCATCAGGGCTTGAGGTGCCGGGATCAATCGTGGGAGGAATATCCATCTCGAAAGCGTCGAAACCTGAGCATTGGCGAGCACGGAACCCTCGCCCAAGATGGCAAGGAAACCAACGATATCTAGTTGTAGTTCATTGAGTGATATCTTCCCGTTCTTATCTGCGGGCAGCCAATACATGTCGCTAAGATGCACACGATCTTCAAAACTCAGCGCGAACTGATGACCGAAGCTGAATGTGATGGGAACGATGCATAAATCTGAATCGACGCGCTATAATGCAGTGACAGAAGGGCCGCAAGCGTTTATACCACAGAGCCAGGATTGAGGCAAAAAAAAAAAAAAGGCATGTATGATGGTGACGAAGCCCCAGCGTGGACAGCGTGGAGCAGTAAAAGGCGCGCGTAGAAGCTGGGGGCCAAAACTTGCGTGCATCGCCCACCAGATCTGCGTGTGGCACCTCATTCCACTCCGGTCAGAGAGGCCCAGGCGCTGTCTCGAGGACACGGGAGTTTGTGCACTCCCACAGCCCCCATGGATTGGGGCTTGTGCAGCTATTGGGTGCCTCAGGCTGAAGAAGTGAGGGGCAACATGGCTGACAGGGCCAGTGGCTAGGCTCCAGGGTTATCCGGCGTATGGCAGAATGCATGAGGCTTTTGCATAGCCTCCTTCATCGTGTGAGCGATGGGCAGTTCTGCCCAGCTTCAGCTTGACTTCCAACTTCTTTCTAGTAACTGATCCGCTTGTCGCAACGACATCGCGAAAGTTTGGATCGCTGCGCCCCGACTGCGAGTGGAGCTTGAAGTCGTCTGTGATCGCCATCTTCGCCTGCTGCTCGCAACACCAGAACAGGCGCACGCACCAGGCTGACATCCCCGTGACACGATCCGATAGCGACAACTGTACCAAACGTCGAGGTTTGCGTTGAAAAGACGTCAAAAGTGGTGTCGCATTCACTCGAGCTGTCAAGAGAAGGAAGAATTGAACGCGAAAAAAGCGTGCGCTGATGTATGTGGTTGCTCCTTCCTTCTGTCTTGCGTGTCCTCAGGCACGCGATAGTGCTGGTGGCATCGCTCCCTCCCAGTCATTAGAATATATGAGCGCAGGAAACGTCATCGTCTAGTCAGGGCAAACATCGCCGTTTTATTCTTCTCCTCAAACTTTCTTTTGATCCTGCCGCTTCAACATATCTACTTGGTCGCGGCCATCGCTCCAGGCATCAGTTATTTCCCAGCCTCGCGCATTTCTTTAGCCGCGGGGTATGAGGCGCAGCGAAGAAACCACAGCCGCGACTACCTTGTAAAAGTCCAACACTAATCCAGTTGGCTATGTGCAATAGGCCGACAAGCGGGACAGTGGTACTTGAATTTGGTACACCATATCAATCGCCTGGTTAGAGCACTATCTAGTCAAGGGGTGTGCCTTTGAAGCAACCTCGTTTCACAGGATCTAAGGATTGTGTTGGATATCTTCAATCATACACAGCCCAGACCGGTCAATCGAGAAAGGTCACCGAGAGCGGTGTGAACCAGCCGTGTCGCATCATATCATTGTACCTGCGGTCTTATCGCAGGTGGCATGAGCAGCCGGTGATAGACGCGTCTTCATTCCATCGTCATCGGCATGCCCACTGACGCCGAGTCCAAAACTTCGAGTGAGTCCCACAGAACCCGGCCGGGGTTGTTGGCAAAGTGTGGTATTGTCATTCCCACCTTGTGAGTCTCCAGCCAGAATCCAGTCCATTATGTGAGTCTGTGCTAACGGATACAGCTTTGTACGTGACAGACACGGCTCTCCAGAGGACCCAAACCGGCCAGTTATGACTGTAGCTGACTCACCAAAGAAGAGAAAAAGGGCCCTCAGCCCGCAACCTACTAGGAAGATACCACTACATACAGGAGAGCCGAAGACACTCAAAATGTCTTCCCCAAACTCTGTGACCGAGAAGGAACGGGAGCTGGAAGCTAAGCAGAAAGAAGCAAAAGCATTATTCGATGGTACACTCAACAAGAAGGAAAAGGACACGAACATGTACGACAAAAAGAGAAGAGCCCTTATTGACGCTGAGAAAGACACTGCGTGGGACCTAGCTGTAAGACCCAGGGGCTCCTCCAGGTCTCAGGATGCCAAAACAGAGGAAAGGGCTGCTACCATCATCAGAGCGATTCGGGAATATGAGCGGGTTGTTACCTTCGGCAATCGACCGTCAGAAGCCCTGCCATTAGAAGAAGATCGCGACATGGGTGGTCAATATCTTACCAACAAGGACCGCATAGACAACGAAAGCAAGCTGTACCAGATCGCCAAGATGGTTCCGAAGGGCGCTCTATTACATCTTCACTTTAACGCCGAATTGCATCCTGAGTTACTTCTTGTACGAGCGCGCAAGATGGAGAACATGTTTATCCGCAGTATCATACCAATCACAAAGGAGGAGCATCTAGGACAAACGGAAATGGTTTTCAGTGTTGTCGATCCAAAGACCGTGAATCCAGATGTCAATATCTTCTCAGAGTCATATCCTACATTAGAAGGATCGTTGGGAGTTAAACACCCTGACTATCTAAAGACTGTCTGGATGCCATGGTCGAAATTCAAGGAAGAATTTGGAAGAAAGTTCCCGGGCTTATACGAAGATCAAGAGCCAGAGACATTCCAAGCAGGAACCCCACATCAATCACATCACTGCGGAGAGCGAAGGCCTGCCAAACTAGAGCCCGCTGAGAACTGGCTTAGGTCGAAGATGGTGCTCAGCCATGACGAAGCCTATGGACCTACGCAGACGGTCAATGGGTATGTGGTTCTCTTACACCGTCGCGGCATCCACTAACGTCTACACAGAGTATGGGCCCGGTTCAATCAAGCTACCAGGGCTTTCAAGGGCTTACTAAACTATGAGAGCGTCTACAAAGAATACATAAGTGATGCCATTGACCGCATGATTGAAGAGAAGGTCATGTACGCTGAGCTTCGACCGATGCTTCTGGACAAGGAAATTCCTGCCGACAGCGGCATTTGGGAAGAACGCATCGAGAACGCTGGACAGATGCAACTCATTGTAAATGGAGTGGAGAAGAAACTGCAAGAGCTTCGGAAGAAAGGAAACATTGACAAGTTTCCCTTCGGACTCAAGATCATATACTGTACGCCACGATCAATACCTCCGGCATTGATGCAGAAGGAGATGAGGCATTGCATTGATCTCAAGTTGCAGTTTCCGAACCTGATCTGTGGTAAGCAACACTTCAAACCTGCAGCACGGCATTTCCTAACATACGTAGGTTTCGATCTTGTAGGCGCCGAAGACCGGCCTAACCACATTGGGTTTTATAAGAAAGAGCTCGATGCGTTCCGGGAAACATGCGAGAAACTGGACCTAGACATACCTTTCATGTTCCATGCCGGTGAGACGCTGCTTGACACTGGTGGCTCTTCCGATCCAGAGAACTCCAACCTCTATGACGCAGTGGTATTGAAGTCGAAGCGCATCGGCCACGGCTTCGCGCTCATGAAACACCCCCATCTCGTCGAGAAGTTCAAGAAGACGAAGACCAGCGACGGTATATGCATTGAGCTTTGCCCCATTTCGAACGAGCTTCTGCATCTTTGCAGAAATGTGAAAGAACACCCATACCCAGAACTACTGGCTGCAGGTATACCTTGTACGGTCAACTCGGACAACCCGTCACTCTTCAGGTAAGGGATATCGCCCACGTCATCTCCTTGAAAGAGATCAATACTAACAGAACATGTAGCAACTCGATGTCACATGAATTCTACCAGATCATGGTCGGCGATCCTACCATGTCGCTCTACAGCTGGAAGCAACTCGCAAAATGGAGCCTTGACTACAGTTGCCTCTCCGTTACAGAGAAGAAAGAAGGACATGAAATTCTTAATAAGAGCTGGAGAGAGTTCTGCCGGACTGTGGTTCGAGACTATGGTCCTCTAATGGAAGATGAATCTTCCGTCAACATCGACCCCTACAGGGCCGAGGCATCATATTCTAAACGCGATAGGATCCATCCGATTATCGAGAAGGCGATCGCAGACAAGAAGACTGAAGACAAGAAGAATCCAAACAACAAGGATTTAGACCTGGCCGAGATAGGCAGAGAGAAAGCAAAGCAGTGGAACGAGTCTTTGGCCGAAGGCAACATCCTGAAGCGAAAATCTTCTTCACATTGAGACGTGCTAGCTATAGACTGGCAATAAGGGATTGCCATAGCTCAGCGACACAATCAAGTTAAAATCCGTCATGGAGCTGGCCGGCTGGCTGGTTTTCGCGTGTCTGCTTTTGGAATACAGATGCGACGCATCCATTACATGATGACTTGTTTGGACTAGATTATGGCCGTCAAGTAGATTCCCAAGGCTACGGCCAACCCAATACAATATTTTCGACTCTCCAAGGTCTTCATTAAGCCGCGTCCCCGACACCACCTAGAACCCTCTTATCACTGCCCGTGACCGTCTGCCCTTTCGCCTGCGCGAAGTTCGCGCTCCGCTCGTGCGCGGGGTTGGGGCTGTAAAACTCATCGACGATAGGATGAATCATGACCGTCTGCTTCGAGATAGTAAGCGTACTATTTGTCGGGACCGTGACCCAGTTATCTGTCCTCGTTAGTACTACGACTCCACATCAATAAAGCAATGGGAAAGGACATACCCCTCTCAAACGTCAACGGCTCACTAGCCACAAGTACGATATCGCTCCCCTTGTCCCTACGTTCCATAACGTAGTCTCTTTCTCTCTCCTCATCGTCGACAGATACACCAGCATCGGAGTCCTGAGATTGAGCGTTGAGTTCGCGCCAACTCGTTCCACTGCTGAAGAACAGACTAGCTGCTTCATCTGTCTTGCTACTCACGTACCGCGAGCACACCACGCTAACACCATCGGTAACAGCGAAGTTGAGCAAACTCCTGCTATCCTCCTCACCAACACCTTGTTCGCCCACGACGTCTTTGATGAAGCCGTTGAGCCGCTCAATTGTCTTCAGTATCGCTTTGCGCAGCACCGTGTGTCCAAAGCCTACACCTGGTTCAACATCTTTATCAGGTGAGATGCCAGCTTTATCGAGACAGTCGAGAAAGGTAGCGAACGCCCACTCGCTATCGGTACTCCCGCCTACGACGTTGAACCACTTCTCGTCCAGACTCATAGCCAGTCTACGCTTGATCTGTTTCCAGCACCCAATACCGCCGTTGTGCATGAACATGAGGCTTTTGTAGCTGAAAGGGTGGCAGTTGCTGTCGCTGAGGTTCCCCTCGGTTGTAGCACGGACGTGGGCGAAGATGAGGCTCGACGTGGTTTTTGACGCGATGCGCGAGAGGTTTATGCAGTTCCATGCTGGGATCGTGGAGGTGAAGACGCAGGGCGTGGGACCGAGCGACGGGCAGGTGTAGTAGCCTATGCCGAAACCGTCGCCGTTGTGTGGGCGCCGTCTGTCCTGGTGGTAGTTAGTGGGAGGTGTGATGTAGGTGGTTGACGGTAACGTACTAGGCGGAGGCGCGAGTCGAAGGATTGTGTCAGGATAGAGTGTGAAGGGTTTAGGATGAGCTCAGAGAGGAGGATCTCATCCTTGCCTTTGTAGACCTGTCGGTATTAGCTGTGGGCTGCGCGGGTCTATGGTGCTCTGCTTACCATGAACCTACACATGTTGGGTATCTGTTATTGTGTAATCGAACTTCAGCGTCTCATATCAAGTAAAAGCAGTGATCCTGGTGCCGGATGTGTGGAATGGTAGTTGTGTCAAGATGATGGTGCGCTGGCTGCGAGTTCGGGGCGGCGGTGTGTTCGCGATGATTGCGCCATCGGTCCAGGGCATTGCTTGAGATATCATTGGATTCTGCACAGATTGCAGAGACGTCGTGTATGCGCGCATGCGATATCACGGATTTCATCCTGAGACACGCGACATGCTATCACGAAGCGAGACAGCAAAGATAGCTAACCCCACGCGTGGTTCGCGGAGGCATGCCGGGGCGGGGTGATCAGGGTTCCGCGGATGACGCACGTGTTACTTTCCCAGTTAGCGGCAATGTTAGTTCAACAATCACATGCAACTTCAATCATGTCGACCAGGCCATGTTGTAAGCCGATTACTCGGCGATTTATTCAGCTATCTGGCTGGCGCGGCTGGACTGCGAGCGCATGTTGCCCTTGCACCCAATCGTGTAGAGCGCCATTCCAGAGCAGACCGCCCAGTCCAACCATTCCAATCTTCAGACAAGCTAGACAAACACGCAACGCCGGGGATATGATGCGGTTATTGAACATGGGTGGGGTACAAGACGGTGTATCTTTAAGGCTTCATTGAAATCATGGCGAAGTGATAGCTGGAAAGGATGGGGGTATTGCAAAGGAAACACAAAGGTCCTCGCAATCATAGCACTTCCGTGGATCATGTATCATATCGTGTATGATCTCCGTGTTCGTCCAGGATACTGCAAACACTACTAGTCGTGCTCTCGTGGCTGGCTAGCGTGGTGGAAGGGCTGCACTGAAATGCAACGTTTCAACTTCGGACTCGTCGCGGACCTGGACCCGCTTACATGTCCATGGAGTCACCTCCATTGGCAAAGTTGAAGTTCTGTTGTTGCTGCTGACCAGCGGCGCCGAAGCCGAATTGACCGTCCTGGTTGACCTGGGGTCCGGCCTCGCCCATGTTCTCCGCCTCACCCTCCTCGTCGGCGAAGTACTTCTCGATGATGTTGTAGGCCTTCATGTAAATCTCCTCGTTGGCGTTGTTCTGGCACTCGTGGATCTTCTCCATGCCGCCGACCTCTTCGATGAAGAGAGCGTAGCGGTTGATGGGCTCGCCGCCAGCACCACCCTCGCTGGCCTCCTTGTCCATCTCGCCGACCTTGAGAATGTTCTCAAGACCATCAAGGGCAACCTGTATAATCTTGTTGTCGGGGCAGGCGAGGAGATCGCAGAGGGGCTTGATGCAGCCGCTTTGGACGAGGTAGCGGATCTGAGCAGGCTTCTGCAGACCACCGCTGGTGGCGTTGGAGATGGCCCAGCAGGCCTCCTTGCGCGTCTTGAAGTCGCCGTTCTGGAGGAGGTGGATCAGAGGGGGGATGATGTTAGCATCGATGACGGCCTGGATCTGGGTGGAGTTGCCGGCGGTAATGTTGGAGATGGTCCAGCAAGCCTCCTTGCGGATTCCGTCCTTGGTGGAGCTGAGAAGGGACAGCAGCGCAGGGAGCGAGCCGCAGTTGATGATAACCTGCGTCTGGACGTCGTCGCCAGTCACAATGTTGCCGACGGAGCGCAGGGCGGGGGTCTGGACGGAGGTCGAGGCGTGCATGAGCAGCTCTACGAGACGGCGGGGGATGCCGGCCTCGATGACGGCCTGGATCTTGTCGTTGGAGCCATCGGAGAGGTACGAGATGGCCCAGCAGGCGTCGATGAGGACCTCGTCGTCGAGCGAGTATACGAGCTTGGCGAGCACGGGCAGGGCAGGCTGGATCTGCTGGACAATTAGTACTTCTAGTTAAGTGGGGCAGCAGCAGAACTCACAGTTTGCCAGTCGGGCTGAGGGGTCTTGCCGCGGCAGAAGTTGCTCAGGGTCCAGGTGGCATTGCGCAGCATGCTGAGCTTGCGGCTGTCGCCCAGCAGGGCAAGCAGCGGGCGGAGAGCACCGGCCTGCAGGACAAAGTCGCGGCATGCGGGGCTGTCACCGGCGATGTTACCCAGGGCCCAGACGGCCTGCTCCCGGACGTCTGGCTCGTGGCTGCTGAGCAGCTCGACAAAGATGGGCACGGCGCCCGCCTCGATGACGACCTGTGTCTGTTGCGCCGAGCCCGACGCGATGTTGGTGAGGGCCCAGGCAGCCTCGAACTGCACCAGCGTGTGCGGGGAGCGCAGGAACTCGACGAAGCGGCTCACGACGCCAGTCTCGATAACGCGCTCGATCGGGGGGTTGCGCTCCTTGGACAGCAGCTTGCGGAACTTGGTTGTCGCCTGGATCTGCTCGTCGATCTGTTCTGAGAAGACGCCCTTTACCATCTGGGGGAGCTCCTCGTTGAGCTACATCGCGGTATGTCAGCCTGCTATTCTGTGTATATAGATACTGGGGGCACGGGATGGTGGGGTATGCTACGCACCTGGCTCTCGATGTTGCCGCCCTCATCGTCGCTGTCGGGGGCAGCGCCGAGCGAGGCGCCCGGCTGGTCCCGTCCAGCGATACCGCGGCGTTTTGCGAGGTTTTCCTCACGCTTCGCCCGGCGGATCTCGACCTGTTGCTCTTCACGGCGGCGGCGGAGTTCGTCTGGCTTGAAGGCGCTCTTCGCCTTGAACGTCGTGCGACGGTGCTCGGGGATGTACTTGTCGGCCATTCTAGCGACTCTGGTGGGCGTGCAGTGTGGTGAGTCGGACAAGATTTGGGTGCGGCTGTTTGTTTGTAAAAGGGAGTAAACTTTCCTACCAGAGGGGTGATTTTGAAAGCGGAAGCGGCGAAGCGGGTATTGGCGCTAGTAGCTTGGCTCGAGCGCTCTACCTAAGCAACCACCACGACGCGTCGCGACTGTTGCAGTGATATGCCCCCGCCACCCTGCAGCTGTTTGTCACACCTGCACGCCTGTATTGCGAGACCAATACTACAGACAAAGGCCTAGTCTCAGCCACTTCACTTCTCCTGCAATTGCTTCTCCTTTGACGGCCTTGCAGGTCACGCTAACCGCTTTCGGCCATTTCCAGCTGCAATGCCGCTGCAGCTGCCCAACGGCTTCACGGCTATCAAAGATGCCACCGAGGCGAAATCAACTGTTAGTCTAATCGGCGTGTTGGTCAGTCTTGAATTCCCCAAAGCAACGCGAGGCAAGGACTTGGCCCTGGACTTCACTATTCAAGATGACTTCACGTCTGGTGAGGTCGGAGGTGAATCAAGCATCACCTGCCGATTGTTCAGACCAAGCGAAGACAAGTTTCCTAAGATCTCGGGAATTGGCGATGTCGTTATACTCCGAAAGTGGCAGCTGCAGCAATACCAGTTTCGCATGGACGCCGTTGGTTCTCGGACTTCCCACATGGTCGTCTTCCCAAGCAACAGGATTCCCGTTCCGGAGCTGAGCGAGGCGTTTCAGGCCGGCAGTCAGAAGCTGCCTCACGCATTGACTGGGGGTTCTCCCCCGACGATTCCAGAGCAGATGGCTGTCATACACCTAAAACATGTATCCAGTGGCGCAGCACCACAAGTGAAGCAGCATGCAACTATTAGTGCTTCCAAAGCCAAGACAGCAAGAAAGAAGTCTTTAATCAAGGATTTGCAACTCGATACCTTCTACGATGTCTGTGCACAGGTTGTCAACATCTACTATTACCAGTTAGGTGACCGAGTCGACTTGAAAGTGACCGACTATACTCCGAATGAACAAATGTTCTATTACCCAGATCCAGACTTGGAAAAAGACTTCCCGGTCGGAGATAGGCCCTGGAAGGGGCCATCTGGTTACATGGTCCTCAATATTACCGTCTACGGAGCAAATGCGACTTGGATACGGGAAAACCTTGGACAGGATGACTTCGTTTTCGTAAGAAACATGCGAGTCAAGCTGGCTACAAATGGCAAGTTGGAGGGTGCTTTACATGAAGATAAAATGAACGGTTCAAAAGTCGATATTCTTCTTTTGAAGAACGAGGGCGAGATTAAAGCAATTAACAAACGGCGAGAAGAGTACGAAATGAAACGCGAGAGCAAAACAGCTTTCCAGGCGTTGCAGAATGAACCGAAGCACCCTTCTGCCAAATCTGCACGCGAGAAAAGAGAGGCCAAGAAGCTGAAGCAGCGAGCAGGCAAGCTGGCCGAAGTGGAAGAGCTCGAGCGAGCAGAACGAGAATGGGCAAAAGGTCGCGGTGGTATTAACACAAACGGTAAGATCGCCCCAGCCTCCTTCTCTTCTATACTGACTTCCCTCAGTCACCGCCGCTTTCCCCCATATGAAACTGTCCACAATCTCCGAGATCATACATAACCCTCACCGGACGGTGACGACAACAGAAAAGTACACTACATTTGAGCTCCCCTTCATTAACTGCAGACATCGATCCCGCGTGCGCATAGTCGATGTTTATCCTCCTGAAGTCAAGCTCTTCGCGCATAGTACAAGAGACAGGAAGTGGAACAAGCATCCCAAGCGCCAGAGCTCGACTGGTGTCCATTCGAACGAGAAGTGGGAATGGGGATTCGTTCTCTTACTCGAAGATGCCAACGTCCCTCGCGATACAGTGTCCGAGAAATTGCGCGTGGTCGTCAACAACGAAGCTGCGCATTTTCTGCTAAAAATGAATGCTGTTGAGTGAGTAAGCCTGCTCCTTCACGATCACTACCCTGCTAACACTCTCGTAGTCTCACGAATCAGCCCAAGGTTCTCAAGAAACTTGAGGAGAAGCTCTTCATCTTGTGGGGTAACCTGATGGAGCTCAAGACCGAGCTGAGAGATCGAGGAAACGATTTGCCACTACCGCCGGGAGACAACCGCTTACAGAACAAGGCTTTTGACGCTTGTATTGAAGAGTATGGCTGCGATGTGCCCGTGACAAAGGACCAACATCCATTTGGCTATCAGCGCATGTATAAGCTCTCGCAGACGACGATTGTGGAATAAGCCCCTTCTTTACGACACTTCGGTGCACCTGGATACCTTGTATGCCTCTCACCTTATATGATACCCTCTGTGTGAATGTACTCAGTTTCTCCGTTGGCAAAGCGTAAAGGATGCGCAAGGCCTGGATATCCACGTGGCGATCACAAAGGATGACCGAGACGGGAAACCTGGCAGGCGAGACGTGTCCACTTTCCCCGGCCGCAACGGTGCGATAATCTACACGGAAAGATGGAAAGATTGACTGTCATAGATTTTGGACCTGGACTTCATCTGCACACTTTTTCGAATGTCGCTAGGATCATGGCTCACTGCAGATGCAGCCGGGGTATACATGAAATTGTACGTAACCGGCCAACGAACCAATCAGCCATGTCATCCTTCACATGTGTAAACAAGCAGTTGCTCCTGCCCTACAATACAATGACCTTGTTGCGTGTGCTGATCTTGGAGGGCCTAGTATCGTATTCGTCAGATTGCGTGATCCGACGTGCTTGTAGCGAAAGGTCACCCATCAGGCACCGCACCATCATAGCGCCGAGTTCGGCCTATCACTACAGAACTACAGAATATTTGAATCTGCGAGACAACTACATCAGTCTTGTAGCCCACTACCGAATGTCAATTAGTAGACTTGAGTCGTTACAGTACTTACCAAGACCGATTCTGTGTAAAAGCTGGAAATAGCACTCGAGAGTGTATACTCAGTGCGACATCTCGGTACCGAACATCTACATACAGCAGAATCCTCGAGTAGTCCCTGGAAGAGCCGCGTAGATCATGGCTCTTGAGTTCACCTCAACGATGATACAGACTCCCGGCGCCAACATTGCTGTTACGACTCGTCCATCACCACGCGAGGTCAACGCCGCGAAACTACCACCGATACCATCCATTTCGGACTCATCAACACAACCCCATAGCGTCCTCCTTCTCGACCCAAGATACATAACCGACGATTTCGACAAATTGCGTTTCGAGGCCGTGGCACATGAACAACTCATCATTGGCAACGACCAATTTCTGCAGACTGCAGGCCGTAGCTCTAAGCCGCTGGCATCGGGACCAGAGATCACCAAAACTGTCTCTGAAACCGCGCAGCCATTCTCCGCACTTCTCATCTCCTCCCCGTACAACACCCCAGGCCACTACCTCGACCTCTCCTCTCCGCATCTGACTACCCCGTCCCGACTCCTCGCACTAGCTCTTACAGTGCTCAAACCGGCGACCTCTACCTACGCAACCTCACCTTATAGCCAGGCCCTGAACTTCGACTCCGTCCTAACCGCTCTCCGCGATCTAACCCAAAGGGGAAGCTTCACCTGGAAAGAGACCAGCTTCTATGTCGTGGTCTTCCGCTCACAGCTCAAAGAAGGCATCGATGAAGAGTATCTGTACCGACTCGATGAAGAATCTCATTGGGAGGCGTGTGAGAGTGGGGGGTTGTTAAAGTATTGGTTTGGCAAGGCAGATGGGGAAAGGAGAAATCTTGCCACCTGTATGTTTTCGTTCCCTACTTTCCGCTAGCCAGAGTGAGGTCGATTGGGACGGGCTGTGCTGACAATGGTGATAGGCTTCTGGCATAGCAAGGAAGATGCGTACAGGGGAGGGTTGGGACCGTGGCATCGGAAGGCGAGAGCTGCGGGACGCGAGCTGTACGAGAGTATCGTGTTTAGTACGTACAGATTCACGGTGATGAATGGAGCGGAGGCGTATGAGTTTGAGGAGTGGGTCAAGTGAGGTGGGGTGGCTAGTGCGATGGATATAGGCAAGATTTGTGGAAGTGTTCGATCATGCAAGGACGGAAGAACGTGGTAGGACCTGAGAAGACGACAAAGGCAGATTCAAAGGTGAAGAGGGAATACATGGGAAAGAAAGTAGAGAAATGTGTAGCTGAAAGAAATAGTGCAACGGTAGTGGAAATGTACAGCATTCAATAGCCCAAAATGATCTATACCCTACAGTACAATGCATCTTCCGCATGCAAAGCTCGAATTACATAGAATAGTTCCGATCCATCTCGTCGTTCGCAGAGAGTAGTTGGTTTATGGTCGGATAACGCGGAGGCCGTCTTTGGGGGGTGATGCTGCGCGCTTAAAGGACTAACTTTCTGTCAGTATCTCGTTTCCTATGCCGGTTCCAAGACTGATATGTATCATACGTTGTCACACTCTTCCCATGCCCTTCCAGCACCAAAACCGAGACCGACAAATGCGGGCCATGCGCGGCGCTTGAAGAGGAGTACGGAGAAGACGACGCCGAATGACAGGCCGAGGCCGGAGCGGATGAGCATTGAGGAGAGGCAACGGTCCCACTGGGATTATGTTAGCATTGCTGTCCGGTAGCGTTCCAACATTGTTATCTCCGCGTGTGATGGAGTGAAAGTGGGCAGTAGTCGCGTGAGGCGGGCCAAGATTGTCATTGATCGACTAGTCCGCTTCTGGCGTATTTTGATGCCTCTTTCAAGATGTACAGATGTCTGTGCCAAGCCTCAAAGGCCTCGTTCGTGGGGATTGTACCTTTTCGTTGAGGAGAGCTTCGCTCATGGGACGTGTGGTGCGCGAGATGGGAGCGACGGGCTGGGGGGTGTTGTCGGCCATGGCGAGCGTGTGTTCGAGTGCAATTGGGTGGTTCAACGGCGCACTCGGTGTGCTGGGGGTGATGAACAGCGGTTCGACGTGGTGTTGATGGGCGCTGGGCGGAGCTCGAAGCGGAACTTTGACGTCGCCGGCACTTGGCAGGCACGACTAGGATGGCTTGGTCCGTGCCCAAACTTTTTCCGCATACCAGGCCTTTGCGATCGGCTCCAGACCTTGCATTCACAACGGGGAACGAGGTGACAAGATGGTGCCGATTAAGCCAGTAAGTGTTCTCGATGTTTACGGGCATATATATAGCTGACATCACCGCAGGCCTCCAAGAACGACCCTGCGTCGACCCGACCGCGGCTGCAAGCCATCAACCAGGACTTCTCCGACCTCGACGAACAAATCCGCCAAGCTGCACATATCATAGGTCTTCCCGAAGATTGGAGTATCATACAGGACCAAGACACACGATCTGAAATCATTCGACGGCTCGTGCGCGCAAGAGCGGAATGGGTTCTGCGCTGGATTCTCGACAAGTTGAAAGACGAGACAGAAACCGGACGGACGGCGCGAACAAATGCCAGCGCGTGGCAGCTTCTTGACTGGATGATACATGTCTTGCCCGTCTCCCGAAGTGCACCGCATCTGCGAGACGCCGCCTTTCCTAGTATTCTGGAGAGAACCCTCGTTGAGAACTTCGACGCGGACGCAGTCTCACAGTCAGCGGCCACTTCAGAAGATGTTCAGATGAAAGATGACTCCGAGTCGAGCGCGACGGTCCGCGAAGGAGGCAAACCATCCAAGAAGCGCAAACGAGGAACGGCTGAAGCATCATCAACAGCATCGACAGTAGCTGGCCCTGTAAACCTAGACTGCCTTTTCGGCGTGATCAGGACTGTAGTAGACTCTATTGCTCACTTAGCCGGAAGCGACAAAAGCGACGACACTACCCAGGCTGAGCTTATGAAGATGGTTCTGAGGACGGACAGCGCAGAAGCCTCGCGCATCCTCAGGTTTTGGCTTACTGCTGTCCGGATGTTGTGCGCGACCCCTTCTTCCACTCCCGAGGATACTACTTTGGACGAGTACCTGAACCTGTCGCTTGCACTTGAGATGTGGGACCTGCGAACCGCTGAGGTCAAAGACGAGACTGGGGCATCTGCCGAGGAGTTCAACACCGAGTGCCTCGTACCTATTTTGACACTCCTGGAAGTTCTCAAAAAGATGCGTAGCGATGGTACAACGAGATGCTCTCAGAGAACCTTTGATCGCGCAATCGCAGCGCTCGACAAGCTTTTGGCGAGACACCTGCTCGCACCCTCAAGAGCAGCTTTCTTTGCAGACGTCAGTGTCGCTACAGGCTCTAACGATATTGGTCCGAATGCCCGAGATACCACGGTCCTTGCAAGTAACCTAGAACCGCTCCGCGCAAAGCTTCTCCAGGCTGCGCAGATCGAAGATGGTGGCGACGCACTACCAACAGAACTCGCATCTCTTTTCAACACAGTCCCTCATATGCTCGATCTAGCAATCCGCGCCTCTCCATCACGGACGCCCAGAAGCAGGGCAATGGAGAAGCCTTGGATACAGGCTGTCTTCTCAGCGCTTGCTGAGTGTGCTGGATGCTCGCTAATCACACCTCCGGAGTTCATCACACGGCCCACGGCCGTCACTGCGCTTAGTGGCGCTATTCATGTTCTGCAGGCGCATGAAGTAAGCCTTTCCGCAGACCTTGTCAAGAAGATCTTCTGGTATCACTGCGGTGTAAAGTACCCTGAACGTCAGGAGAAGCACGTGCATTGGTCCCTCATCGCATCTCTGATTGAGCTCGACTCATCAGTTTTTGTGGAGTCGAAGTTGGGAGCCAAAGTCATGCAAGAGCGTCAGACTGACCTTACTGAGTTCTTGTTCGAGAGAATAACGGCTTCAGAACTGGAGGGTACAGGCTTTGCCGACAAGCCGACAGCCATTGGCTCTAAGGAAAGACATCGAATTCCATCCATTGGCGAAGCTAGTGCTCCGTTAGGACGCGCTGAAATTCTGGAGAGGATCATCAATCCACTGATGCTGGCGTTTGTGCGCCACCGGAATCTACTTGGCTTCATCCGGAGATGGGATGAGCAGTTGGTCAAGAGCTACAGGCACGGCAAGCGCAAGTCTCTCAAGGACGGACAGGAAATCATTTGGGAAGATCGCGCCCTGCACAGTGCTTTGGCGGAATCTCTCGAACCAACTTTGACGCAGAACCAAATAACATCATTGATCCAGGAGCATGCGGGGCGCCTGGCGCAGCTTGCTGGGGCAATCGAAACCTCCACCGAGGAGAATATCAAGGTTAGGAAACTCGCCGCTTACAAGAATGCAGCAAGCAGCGCCATTCTACTGCCGGCTCTTCTTCAATCAGTTCAGTCTGAGAACACGATCGAAGCACTTAAACCTGATCTTCATGCTTTGTTTCTCACATACAAGACATGGGTTCAGGAACGCAAGTACAGCCCCTACACCCAGCCCCACCTCTCCTGGTTCACATTGTGCCAGCTATTAGACAAGTTGTGGCCCGTCGAGCTTCACGCATCATCCGCGTTACAACATGAGCTACTACACCCGCTGCTGGAACAAGCTTTGAAAGTCAAGTCAGCAGGACGTAAAGACATTGGTGAAGGTGCAGATGCAACTACACGAGCTGCTGCAACACTCTTCTGGCTCAACACTTGTGATCGCCTACAGACACTGCCTGGCTCAGAGGAGATCATTCGCAGTGGCTTAGCCAAGGCGATCAACAGCTTTACCTCCAGTCAGCTAGATTCCGACGCACAGCAGACGATGATACAGGTATTCTGCGCATACTCTGTCAGTCTCCTCGAGCACGCAGATAAGGATACATGCCGCCAATCGCTGCATGCTCTACTATCGCAACTTCCTCAGTTCGATCGCGTTACCAGGGATTTTGTCTGTTGTTCACTTTCTCAGTCCATCATCGAGCATGGAAACTCTGCCATACAAGACGCATACTGTGCAGCTCTTGTGGAGGCTATCGGGCAAGGAGTCGGAAACAAGATGCCTGCTGTGGTCGGCGAAGCAATACTTCATATTCAACCCTCGGCTTTGTCCCGCGAGCAAAGACAATCCATACTAGACCGCACGACCGAATTCCTTGACCTCGGACAGAGCGACACAGTAGTACCCTTAAGCGTCATGGCACATCTCCAATATGTTCCAAATGCAAAGGCCAAAGTTTCTACCGACGCAGATGTCATATTCGACGTCGCGGAACAACTGCATCGCCAAAACCTTGAAACGGATGCAGCATTGCAGCTACTGCGAGAGCTTGTCCAAAGAACCCTTGGACATATCATCCCAAACCAGTCTCAAGCCCAAAACAAGGAATTCTTCATCGCCTACGCAGGACGGCTGCTATCCATTGCAAAAGCCACAAACAAGTGCACGCTAGCGAGGCTCTCAGTCTTGCGAGCGACGTCGGTTGCCCAGAAGCAGAACTCATTACTTCACATTGAGCGCTATGTCGACCTGCTCAAGCAATGTCTTGGTAGTGAGGATATTGCACTACTTCAAGGGTCTTTGGACGCTTTCAACGAGCTGTCCATAGACGCATTGAAAGAAGTGAAACACCTTGACCGCGTGCAGGCGTGGCTCCGCACATGGCTCAAAGATGCCATTGACATCGACCAATACATCAATTCATTGATTCTCATCCCGAGCGAAGTCGTAGACTACTTCGCACGAGTCTACACATTGATCGCCAAATATGAGCTCTACCCAGATGTCAAGTGGCTGATCAGCCTGGCGCTTACCGTCATCAGAAGTGGCTCGGTTCGTGTACAGGATGATGTGTATGCAACACTGCGCGATACGCTCGGCCCGCTTGCCTTCTATGAGAAGCTGGACTTGGTAACAACACTGACTGTTGATCAAAAGCAGCCAAACCTTGCTGCGTCCTACCGCATCCTCGACGACCTTATCAAGACCATGGATGACCAGCAGGAATCTAACGCCGAGCTCAAGCAGAAGCAGCTTGCACTGTTGCCAAGGATATGCGTTCTGCTTACCGAGAGCTCCGACTTCGAATCTTTCAACGCTCTGCTCAGCTGCATTGACACAATTCTGAACGACAAACCTTCGCTTGCTTCACAACACAGCATCGAATGCGTTTTCAGCGTGCTCGTGAAGCTCACATCACGAAGCAGCCCCGTACTGTCACCCCAGTATGCTCCTGAGATCTTCTCAAGACTTTGTCATACGAGTCGCCTCACCCTGCTCGTACACCGTGGCCGCCTAGGCGGACGCTTCCACCTCCTCCTACCACTTCTGCAAGGCCTGCTGTTCTGCCTCTTTATTCCGAATGCTAGCCGCAGTGGCGCTCTACCTTCGTGGCTACGTACCGTCACAGCTACGGAGCCAGTGCGCCTCACACCCACAAACGCAGCGCAGTTCCCGCGTCTTCTCTCGACCCTGTGCAACCCACCGCAGTCCTCTATCACAAAGGCACACCAACATCATCAGTCACGTAACTCCAAAGATCTCAATGACCCCATCAAGGCAGCCCGTGATAAGGCTAGCAAATTCCTGTACCCTCTCCTCGCATCGTTCTGCCGCTACCAGCTCAACGGACGATTAGATCAGGAGGTGAGGGAGAAGATGTTGTCAGGTATCTGGGAAGTTATCGGCACAGCAAGCTTACATAGGGACGGGCTAGATGCTATGTTCGCCGGTCTAGGCAGGAGTGAGAGAGACGTCTGGAAGAGTCTCTGGGAGCAGTGGGAAGGTGCGCATGGGAGGAGGCAGGTCGTTGGTCACGGAGAGTAGGACAATATGAGCGCGGGCATATAATAGAAGATCGCGCTGAATGAGTGTCAGTTGAACCGTGCTACTACCTTGTTTGTGGTTATTGCAAACGCTTCGCCTATTGTCCGTCCATCTAGTCCACGATTTCGTACCGCACCCATGCCAAGAAGTCCGCCTTCACTTCGCCCTCATTGCCTTGCTATTGTCGTCGCAGTATTCTGGTCTCGCTATTCTAGAAGCGCTCACTTAGTTATTGTTATCGTATACACAGCAGACCAGCATTTCAGTATGGCCCTGAGCTCTCATATATCAAGCAGTCCTAGCCTCTACTATTTCCTCCCAGCAACCCCCACTACCAACTTCTCTTACCAGTCCCGATTCCAAGCCACTTCTTCATACATTCTCCAAATCTCTTCTCACAACAGCCATCATGACCTCTGACATTACCGAGCAAGCCATTTCTGGAAGCGCTGCCGCTTTTCCTCCAATTTCCGGCATCTGCACCTGCGGCACCGCAACATCACACACCTACCTCACACCCATAATCGGGTGCGTCAACCGCCGATGCCGCCCCCGGTACTACCATCTCAACTGTGTAGGGCTGGAAGATCGTCCTGTGCATTGGCCTTGTCCTTCCTGCTCGTCCTCACACAAGCGCAAGTCAGATAACTCTGACGACGACATGCCGCGCAAGAGGTGCAAGACATCTGAGCTCGTACACTTTGCCGCCGACTTTCCCCCTGCTGTCGTCGAACAACTGCCCGCTGAGGGCTCTGGTGCCGACAACGACGCAGAGAGTGAGGAGAATGAGGGGGCTGGTGACGATGTAGTCGCCGGGCTTCCTGCTGTTGGTGCCAGTGGAGACACACCAATCCTGATTGCCGACGACGACGATGGTTCCGCCTCTGCTTGTGACGGCGGCTTTCCAGGTGGCGGCTACAATACGCCAGAACTAGAGCACTACTGTATCCGAGCCTGTCGGCGCAAGACCGATGGAATGGTTGCATGCGATGGGAAGGATTGCATAGGTGAGTGGTTCCATTTTGCCTGCGTTGGGATGACATCGAAGACAGTTCCCGATGGGGAGTGGTTTTGCGATGATTGTGCTTGGGAGTGAGAAGTGGTGTTGATTTGCATCACTGGAAAGTCACAGACTGTTTTATGGGTTTTTATCATTAGCTAGTTATGTCGCCAACGCAAGAAGTCAAACACCACCAGCCTGCATAGTCATAACCGATTCTCTCGTTAACGCCAGACTCCGCGCTAAGTCCAGCAGATTTCCAAAGCACAAGAAAGTCAGAAACACCCCTACTACTCACTCTAGTGGTCCAGGTATATGGTAAAGGTCTGCATAGGCACTTCTGTAGGACCAGTGTAGACGTAGTTCTCGTCAATCGTAAAAGTGCTCATCGGCTCTGCCGTAACAGCAGGGCCCTTGACACTGGTGACAGCAGTCAGGGGACTGATAGTACCTTTGCTTGCCTTGGACTCAGACTTGGCCATGATCCTGGTGACGAGGCTGCGCTTGCCAGGGTAGTCGTTGAAGGGGTAGGTACGGGACTCAGTGTCGTCAATGGTGATGGTCGTGGTCTCTGCGGGCAAGATGTTGGGGATAGTGGTAGTCACGATCACTACGCCAGAGGTGTCAAAGAGGGTGGTAGTCGTAGTACTGACGTATGTAGGTTCTCCTTCCACAGTGACGGTGACGCAATCAGCAGGCGCAGTGTACGGCTCGGCGCGCTTGTCGTAGTAGGAGGTGACGGTCGTGTAGATGACAGACTGGACTTGAGAGGGTTGTACGCCGGTACTCTTGGATCTGGTGACAGTGACAGTGCCGGCGTGAGCAGTCGGGTTTGCCGAACGGGTGACAATGACAGTATCAGCGTAAGACGTGGGGTTTGCCGACCGAGTAACGGTAACAACACCAGCTAGGGTTCCAACAGCCACAGGCTTGGTCTTTGAAGAACGATGGCGTGTAACAGTAGTAGTCATGTTGACTGTTTGATCGCCGTTGACAGTAGTAGTGGCGATTTGTCTCCGTGAGTTAAGCCTGGTGAAGGTCTTGTGCATGTGGTGGGTAGTGGTGAAAGTCACGGTGACTTGCTTAACAAAGACTTTGTTGTATGCTGCGTAAATTCATTAGTTATGAGTTGGTGCGTAAATGTATAGGCGAAGAACCTACCGTTGGAGCTGCGGATAGTAATCTTGAAGGCCTCACCATTGGCATCGGAGGGGCCAATGTGCTGACCGAAGTTTGTGCAAGAAGATGCCTCCTCCGGCAGGGAGTAGAGCGCACATTGGGTGACGGCAATGGGAGCAGGGTTGGTGCAGGCAGGTCCAGGAATCTGGGACGGGTTACGCTGGATGTAGATGTTGACTACATAGAAGGAGACGATCAGCTTTGCTATAGGATAATGTGATGCCGAAGGGTATAACTTACAGGAGTCGCAGCCTTCATGATTGTTGCAGAGTTCGGCGCAAGCCTCCTGGTTGTATGAGTCCAGTTGAACGTACAGCATGTACCTATTGGACGAGAAGGCACAGTTTGCGTTTTTCATGATGGCAGTGTAGCCGGCAGGAATCGGGGCCGTCAAGGCCAACACGTCGTAATTCTCGTCGTCTGTGAAAGCCGAGACAGCGTTGGAAGATGGCTCCGGGGCAGTGCTGTCGCCGAGAGGGGCACAGAGGGGTTCGGAACGGGGGCCAGATGTGGCAACGATGGCGGAGGCGGCAGAGGGGGCAACAGATGGGAGGACAGCGGCGAAGACCGCACCGAAGAAGAAGAAGAACATGATGATGATGGAAGGGGATTTCATCATCTTGTATGTTGCTTGACCCTTAGGTCAGAATGAAGGATGAGAAAAGGTTGTTGGAGAAGAAACTCCGAATCTTGAGGATGCAAAGATGTTGGTCGTTGCTGTGTTAGAATGAGGAAGTCAGCTTTTTATACCAACGGATGAGCTTTCACATCAAGCAGGAGGCACTGATCATATCGCACAAAGGTGACATAGCGTCACAAACTACGTCTTGGTTATGATGAGGTATATTCGATGTATTGAGCCCAGAAGGAGGGTTTGTATTACATGGTGATGCTTTACCCCGCTCTATACATCCATTGAGATGCTTTGAAGCTCTGTTATCCACCACATTCTTCTCTCGAAATTCGGAATGGGTGCTTCATATGGTATACCATTGTCATCGTGGGCGATGATCGACGCCGATAACGGGCTAGATCCGAGCATATGAGATGAGTATACGGCCGAGAATGCGCAATTGAATCTTTTGGCCCTGTTGAAAAGGGTCTCGCGATTTGAAGAACGGCGTGAATCATCAAATGACACGCGATTGTCGAAGGGCTTTGTAAAGAAGGGTCTATGTGTGATGAGGCGTACGCGTCCAGAGCTGCCGGCTGTCCGGCGTCGGAGAGCGCTAGCGTGCCGGATGGGCAGGAGCCGCCCTTCCACGTGAGGGACCCTTTCACACTCAGGCACGCTTTCTGAATCATTTTCTCATAGGTTGTTCCTGCACTTGCTTAGCTGAAAGGGGCTGTGTACCCCGCTTCCCAACGAAACGACCTCAGCTCAGCTCAGGTGACGTAAGGCTACGACCAACAGCATCCACAGCAACCATCGTTTTTACATCACCCTGGCCTGCGTTATAGCTGTGATCGCTACCATGATGCCTGCGTCGGGTCTTACTTCTGGATCTGGGCTTCCACGAAGTATAATTTTCAACACTTTGGCGCGAAGAGACGGATTTCGCGCCTCTACTTTAGAATCGTCCCTGAACGACGAATCCACATACATTCCCAGCGTGGACGATCGTGACATCCGCATCATGAACACCACCATACTCGCCGATCTCCATGGTATCTCTGCCATCCCGCAACTCTACCAAATGCTCTTCCACCGTACCCGCGAATTCGCCGCGACCGTGCACAAGCTGGTGGACGTCGCGCCAGCATCGTGGGCAGAGGCGGCATGCTTACTGGTGAATTGGGGCGTCAACGTTTTGCGACATAAGGAGGTCGGACTGGAGCGTTTCTTACACAGTCAACGCGAGAGTCTGTATTGGATCCTGGATGATGCGCTGTTGATGATTTGTGTGGATCAATGGGACCCACCATCCTCGGATTCTACCCAACCGCGCACATCTTCATCATCGACCCCCAAACTCATTCCATGGGACAAAGCTACGGCGCCAGTGACACTAGCGTTATCAAGGGTTCAAGATCTGCTCCCGTTATGGGCTGGGCAAGATCTGCAAGACTGGGGGAAATGGGGATTGGAACGCTCGTACACTCAGGCTCCATACATGACCGCTGGCTGGTTCCGCCGATCCACAAAGTTCCTGCACGAAAGCAGCAGGATATACGAAATTTGGAGGACTATGAGACGATGGGGCGGTGGCCAGCTTCCTGCTGAGCTGGCGAGTGTCATTATGGAGGATGTAGCAAAGTCTGAGAATCTTCCCATGGGTGACCTGCGGTTGCATTATTTCCCCAAGGGCAAGTCGAGAGCGCAGCTGATATGAGCGGCTATCGTATTCACTCTGCCTAGAGCGTACTCTACATCGGTGCGCCTCCTTCCAGTCCTACATCTCTGGTGCCTTGGGCTTTTGCTGAAGCCAAGATAGCCAGCACATCCTCCTTCCCGCCCATACCCTCCATCGCTCCGAAAACGTCGGTCATAGTGCTTTCCGCCACCTTCTCGATATCAACTTGCTTCGTAAGACCCACTTCATCCAGCGTATTCGGTAACCCAAGGCTTCTCACAAATTTCCCTACCGCATCTGCAAGGCTTGGCTCATCGCTTTTAAGGACCTTGTTCCAGATACCCAGCACGCGCTGCTGTATCGCTCTCTGTTTCTCCGACTTGGAAGCATTGTAGCGTAGGACAGGGGCTAGCATGACGCAGGACGTGACGCCGTGCATAACGCCACATACACTTCCGAGCTGGTGCCCAATGGCATGCGAAAGCCCCATCGGAACGTTCCATAGGATGAGACCCATCATCGCATTCCTGGACCCTATCTGACAATTCCCGATGCCATCAAGCAGCTCAGGTCGGTTGCTGTTACTTTCGCCCTCTGTGTAGTTTCTCAGCCCCGTGAGCAGGACTGCAAGCGCGTCTTCCATATGGTAGAAGACCTGGTCGGTGCATTTATCGTTGAGCATCTGTTCAAAAATATAGTGTCGGTACATGATCCACCTGGGAAGGCTCTGAGAATGGTACATACCGTTTCGACGCAGTGATCCACCGCGCGCATCCCACTCGACAGCCACAGTTTCCTAGGCGATGTGGACGCGACTTCAGGATCCAAAAGGATGAGTTCTGGTGCTGCGTGCTCGCTTGCAAAGTGCTGCTTCTTTTTTGTTTGGGGGTTCGTTGCAGATGAGTTGTTATTCCACTCGCTTGCTGATAGACTTGTGGGTACAAGGATGAGTTTGGTCGTTGGGTCCTTCAGATCGACTGCACTACCCTTCTCTTGGTCTACCAAGCCTTCCATTGCCTCTACCGTGAGGTTACCTGGAGCAAGATTTGCGTGCATCAAGCGAGCGATCTTGCATGCATCTGAGTAGCTGCTACTTCCTATACTGATCAAACAATCCGCCTCCTTTTCGTGAAACAGTCTCGTGATTTCCAGTATATCTTCGTAAGGAGAGTGAGCGCCCACCCCCGACTTCATCCCCACGACCAATGGTCCCAATTCCTCCTTGAGTCTCTTGACGATGTTCGTATTCTCCCCAAGTGCTTTGGAGTGCACTATGAGGATGCGCTGGCAGTTCCACGTACCAATCGCGTTGGCACTATCGTCTAGGTACTTGGAGTTGAGCATGGCATTGTGACCCTTGCGAGCGAGTGTTGGAAGTTGCTGAATAGTTCGCGTTTTGCAACAGTAGTCGCTGTAACTGCTACTACTGCGTCTATTCCAGCCCGTGCTGTAAGAGGGCATACTGGCGAAGATGATATGTAAAAAAATCCTGATGTTGCAACGAATAGCTAAAGTAGTATTTGAATGATACTGGAGCTGAAATTTGTTTAAGAGTCGCATGTTGTTCCCTGACGACTCTCTTACCTCATACCTGCTCAACCCCACCGTCATGAGGTGCAATCCCCCACTTGTCGCGACGGTGCTCACAAAGCATGAAGCCTGCATTGAATATTAATCACGTACTTCAACGCCTTCTGCGTCTTTGGATTGGTTGTTCGCCTTCGATCGAGATACACTGCTTGCTGGTCTTGCAGATTGCTCCGTAAATGGTAATCCGGCCTCCTGTACGAAGCGGCTCATTACAACGAACCCCGGCCAAGTACATGAAAAACATCCTGAGACCATATATAGAGTGAGATGGCGACATGCTCATACGACCTCAGGTTGTGTATCTCCAGGCCCCAGTCGTAGCCGTAGCTCCAGCAAGCTGCGAAGGCTCGCGACGTCGGGTAGCGCCACTATTGTGATTGCAGATCCTCTGGTAGAAGAATAACTGATTGCGCTGGTTTCGCCGAGATCACAAAAGCTGCGAGTGGCGCAACTGTGGTAATTGGGCTGGCAGAGATTACCAGAAAGCATTGGCGATGCAATGTCTCGTTGAGGATCAGACACGTCGAGTGGGGAAGCCGCGAGCAAGACGCGCTAAAACGCGATGGGCCGGCCTTTCCTGCATATGCTACAACGCCGCGTCCGTCTCGACAGCAAACACATACACTCTTTATATCCTTCTTCCGATGATCTTCAGGTTTTGCATCATCAGCACAAAATTTTTGCATGTTAAGCCGGGCTCCGCGGATAGCTCACACGACGGCCCATGACACTTTTACCGCTGCACTATCTTCCTGTCGGCCGACAATGCTGAGTACTGCGTCAAATTACAATAGCTTGAGAATAGCGTCTCATTCTCTTCGCTGATATGAGCCATTGGGTAACACTGGAAAGGATGCTATGGATTTTGACGATCACATAAGCGACAACGAGCCCTTTTGAGAAGGTTATGAAATACACACTTACTCACAACAACTATAACATGACTGCTACCCCCCAAGATTCGAAACAAGCAAAATAAAGTATAAAATCCATGAATTATGGCTCACGAGCCTCGCAGATCTCTATTCCAAGGTTCGGTCGAGTTGGGCTTTTATTGCAGCTAAAGTGCTCGCACTGCTAGATGGCCACACTCCTAACGGACTCCACGATCATCTCCACTCATCACCAATCATTATCACCAGTGGTATTCCGCTCGCGATATATTAGGTTTGGAGCATTGCGCCATTTTACCACCCATATGATGGGGTTGCAAACTATCATCGATGAATCTACAGAAAGGCGCGATAGTACCTAGGTACGAGTTGAGAGATCCAATTTGATGCTGGAATCCATCGATCAGGGCATCGAAATCTAGCGCTTGTTCTCAGATACACTCGAAATAAGCCATCCGTCGCGCCGCCTCTTGATATTAGCTACTATATCCCAAGCCGTACGCCCCTGACATTCCGCTACGACACCACCACCAAACCGAGGAAGCAGGAACATTTCATCTCGCCAAAACGTCTAACAGCCCCTTCTCCCATATCTACGCGTCACCTCACTCTTATTCACCGCGGAGCAACAGTATTAACTCCTAGCGTGCGGCGTTGTCATACTTCGCTTAGCACCCCGCATCCATCGAGTCTTGACATCACGCTCGACGACCCGCCATCTCGGATCAAGACGACCATCTCTGCCAGCCTCTCCACATGCTGATGTCAGGCACGGTCCTGCAATGCACCCCAGACCGCGCTAACGTGGGCCGGACGCAATCCGAACGTTTGCTGGCCTGTAAAAGGCTTGTTTTCAAGGTTTCGCTGCAGACTCCGCTGCGTTTCAAGCTTTCGCCAATTTTATGACCGGTAGTAGCTGTGTATTGCCGCGATGAAGGCGTGGAGCAGCTAACGGCACGATTTATCCGTTGGCACATCAGAGATGGGCTTGTTGAATGTATCGAGGCGGTCGGCATACAGAAGCGAGGGCATGCTGGCACTGTTGTTGCGGCGGAGGAATGAGCCGTGTTGGCTCGGCTGGAGGCGTCCATGGGATGGGTGTTGTTGGTGGAGGAAGCGAAGGATATGACAGTCACTGATGTCACTTGGGTGACAAGCTGAGGGGCGTCTATTGGGATGATGGCTAATGTGCTGTTTACCATCCCGATGTGGTGTGTGTTGATCATCGAATTGGTATAAGAGATGAAAGGGTAGCCTCTGTCACCTGCAGTCAAGCATCCGCATCTTCAACACCTTCACTCACCCGACACCAACCGCCAGAATACAAGATGCTATCCAAGTCTTTCTCCCTTCTCGCCTTTGGCGCCCTGGCATACGCCCAGGAGCAAGTCCAAGAGGGCGCTCCTGCTCCTGTTGTCCTCGCGACTGCAAAGTCTGGTGTCATTCCCGCAACTCCAACCGCCACCCCATTCACTGGCGTCGACACGATCCAGGGAGCCATCGTCTCTCCCCTCCCGCCTGCGCCCGGTTACCTCCCAGGTGAGACCGGTGGTCTCCTGGGCACGGCGACGGCGTCTTCCAACCAACCCTCGGCCACCTATCGTGCTACCATGCCAGAGGTGCAATACAACCCCTTCGTCGGCAGCACCGTCTCTGGTTCTATCCAAGCTGTGGGCGGCGCTGGCGGTGTCAACTTCACCGTCGACCTGACCGGCCTACCCGACCAAGCGCAATTTGGCCCCTTCGCCTGGCACATCCACGCCATGCCCGTCCCCGCCGATGGAAACTGCACAGCAACTATGGGCCACTTGGACCCCACGAACCGTGGCGAGCTCGTCATGTGCGACTCTGCGCAGCCTGAGACCTGCCAGGTTGGTGACTTGGCTGGCAAGCACGGCGGCAAGATCATGACAGAAGGAAGCTTCTCTACTAGCTTTGTCGACCCGTACCTCAGTGTTGAGCAGGGCAGTGCTGGATTCTTCGGTGGATTGGCGTTTGTCTTGCACACTGGCAACACCACGAGGATTACTTGCGCGAATTTTGAGCTTGTGCAGGGTGGCAACGGTACTTCTCCCAATGGCACCATGGGCATGCCCAGCCCCACCAGCAGCAATCCAGCTGAGTACACTGGTGCTGCGGCCAAGCTTGGCGGAGGTGCTGCTGCTCTTGCGGCCGGTGTCTTTGCCGCGATGATGCTGTAATTAGTGGTATCGTTTGATCATCTCAGTGAAAATCCCATACCAACAATGTAATATATGTCTGATGCAAACGAATTTACGACAATGCCTAAAATTATTACATGTGTAGTTCTCAAAATGGTGCAAGAGCATTGCGCCATATTGTACAAGAAAGAACTTAACAAGTGCACTGCGATTCATATCAGCATGAAAAGCTAAATAGACAGAAGTCTATAGTGATGCATATTCTAGGTATCTCCATTACACGATAGCCTCCCCAACCACACCGTCGTCTGTCTTACTGCCCCATGCTTGGTGAACCGTGCTTTTGCACTCCCTGTCACAACTGAGCAGCTTACATACCCAGTATCTGGGACCACTGCCGAGCCTTCGACCACATCCCAAGACTGCACAAGTCTTCCACCTTCGTCCATCGCTCTTCAATCCCTTCTTCAGCAACCTCATGGCGCTTTCTGCCTTTCGCACGGCAAGCTCTTCACTGTCCAACTGACAGCAAACACGACAGAGTTGCCTATCAGTCAGAGATAGACTCGTTACGTGCGTGTAGTACGCGTGTCTGTTGAAAGATCCCCAGAATGCTTTTCGTCGTTGAGTAAAAGCGGGCTTCGGAGCGCAGGCGCAGGTCGGGTTTCCGTCCGATCGACTTCTCATAAAGCGAGAATCGCGAACGACATGGGTACGGTAGCACGATGCGCAGTACGGGACGCAATTGTGGAGATGGTGAAACACAGTCGCTTGGGGAATGCGACAAGTCTCTTCACATCCGTAGCATATCTGATTCGTGCAGCCCCAGCAGGTGTCCTTCTCGTCAGGGTCACACGTGTAGCGCCTGAAGATGTCAAGTCGGCGCGAGGCATCGTTTGAAGGTAGGACTGATTCGCGGACTGATTTGGAGACGGTTGATAAGCTGACGAGATCGGCGAAGTGCAGGTGTTTGGCGACCATGATCAACATGTCGTAAACTCCGAGAAACTGTGATAGCTCGGTTTGAGTACCGCCGCTACCCTGATATGGTCCAAGAGTATCACCGCCCTTTCTCACGTGCTTTATGCGCTCTGTCAACATCATTTCGATCTTTTGCTCCGCTCCTATTGTAGTCTTCGTGGCGTACCGACGAGCTGATCGCACAGGGGCTTTGAAGTCCATGGGTAGGCAACGGAAGAACAAAACCGGGATGTAGACCACGACGCCAAACACTATTAGCGCTGGCCACTTGAACATGCAAGAGATGCAGGACCCGGTCATTTTGAGGACCTCTTTTGCCATGTCAAGAATAGACTCGTCATTCTTTCTGAACTCTAGAATAGCACCGGGGATCGCAACGATGCCGATGAAAGACGCAAGAGCGTAGAAAAAGCTTTAGCAGTCAGCAAGACCCGTCTATCCACGAAGATACAGCTTACGTTAGCGCAATACCATATTGTGCCTCTTTTACGAATTCCAAGCACATGGCAGTTGAACTTGCCGTTGTCGCGTTTAATCGTCCGGCAGCAGCAAAGAAGCTCTCATTCGTGCCAGCGGGTCGCTGCGATTCGAGGCCCACTTTATCATGACAAGTTGCCAGATTAAGAGGTATGTATCCAACCTGGTAGTTTGTAGCAATTGCTAGAAAGACGGTAATCGTAGTGTCCACGGCAGTGAAAGGTAAATTCAGGGGAGGGAAACACATCAGTGCAGGCCACCAACAGAGCAGGTTCCAGAGCCACAGGATTGTGCTCCATTTGTCCGCAAGTCTTTCGCCAGCTAGAATAGATGTACCATAGGTACCGTCGTGAAGTTCGGGATTGATGCTGATCAACTTGAGGTGGTCTCCCGTGTAGCTCCAGTAGATTATTGTGGGTGCGAATAGGACAAAGCGAATACCACCAATGAGGAAGCTCATGCTTGACCAAAAGTGTAGAACCATGATGAGGAGTGAGCAAAGGATATGTTGATGAGGCTTTGGTGAGTGTAGTTGCAAATCCTTGGTCTGAGATTCACCATATTTCAATCATCAAAGCGACTGCGAGTTATAAGGCAGCGGATGGTGCCTGGCGCACAAGGCTGAGCGGCTGAGTATCTGAAAGACCTCGGGATGCAAGCCACTGCCGGCAGTTTCTTCCAAAGATGTGCATGAAACTTCAGGAAAGAGGTTTGGCGTTGGAGGCTTATACTGCGAAGCTCTGATCGTCGCGAAGAAGAGGCCGCGGTCAGCCATAACGGCATAGTCGGAAGGCTGCCAAGGTCCGGTGAACAGCAACATCGTGACAGGCAAGGCTATGATTTGGTCATTTGCACGCATGCTCGTATTCGTCATCCCTTGCGAGCGACATCGCAACAGCCTTACTCTCATTCGGATGTGCGAGGCATTCCACGCATGGCGAGTAGTGACCTTGGGAATGCGAGTCGCGAATGACGTAGTTGCGCCTGCGGGTCCAAGCCGGTGCAGAGTTCTCAGTGGCTTTGACCGCACGTTGCCCGTCACGATGCCGCTGTCATTTTGCTAGCAGAAACTATGCGCATATTCAAGGGTGTAGTAGACGGTTGTCGACAAGGTAAGGGTGTCGCGCAAGATGAGCTGTTGAGTTGTGGTAGTGATCCCCTGCCCAGGCTAGTAGTGCACGGCTCGAACCGCCGCCGGTGGGTCGCGATTTCCATGGCAACGGCGGGTGTTTATCGATGCCACCAGGCTCTCCCACGCCAACTGTCGGCCAGCTCGAGAAGGTCCAAGCCTGAATCTTGCGGCCCACATAGGCGTAGAATATTGCTTACTCCGCACTTTGGACCTCTTAGCTGCATGTATGTAACCCCCCCTCCCGACTTCCCCTACCGCCTCCTGCACCTCCAACGCTTGATCTCAACAACATCTGGACTGCATCCTCAGTCGCAGCATATATTAACACGAGTTGATAGAGCTGTCGCTACGACTTTTGCACCGGTAAATTCAGATCAGTTCCACAATGGAGGCACTACTCTCCCTCGCATTCGACAACATAGCGTCCAAGGACACGCAGAAGATTCGCAAAGGGTTGCGCCAGATCGAGGGCATGCTGGCGCAAATATGTCTTTCAAGCGGCAAGCCACGAAACTCACCACCGGGTCACCGACGGAACGCCTCTGCGCTCAATCTGGGAGATCAACAACAACCCACGCCGAAGAAGCTGGGACAGTTATCAGACGATCTTGCCTTTCGAGAGTTCTTTCGGTTGCAAGAGGGATTCGAGTGGAATGGTGAGTTTCAAAGTAGGATACATGCGGCTACATACTAACAATGTATAGTTGTAACACGAGTAGCCGACTGTCTGGATCGACTGCTGGGTATGGGAAGCAGTAAGGGTAAGAGGCCCGACTGGAACATGCCGAGCATCAGCTAACCGACTATCGATAGACGGCCAAAATGACATCCTCATCCTCTCCTCGTTATCGAACATTCAAGGTCTTCTCCTGCTGCACCCGCCATCGCGCATCATCTTCGGTCGCGAAGTCTACATGAACGTTCTCCTCGACCTGCTCGATCCCTACAACTGCCCCGCCATCCAATCCCAAGCCCTCCTCGTCCTAGTCACCGCGCTTCTTGCGACACCACAAAACACGCGAGTGTTTGAGCATATGGACGGCCTACTCACCGTGACCAGTCTGTTCAAGGACGAAGAGACTACACAAAGCGTCAAAGTCAAGCTTCTGGAATTCCTATACTTTTATCTCATGCCCGAGATTCCAGTACCTGGCCCGCAACGGAGTCCCAGCAAGCTGACCAATGCTTTCGAGCGGCGAGGTAGCACTGCGACTGGCGACGATGGCGGAGGTGCGGCCAGGAAGCACATTCGATCGCAAGAAGAGAAGCAAAATATGCTGGGACGCTACCTCCCCAACGTGGATGATCTTGTCGAGGACCTCCAAGAGACCGCGCCTTTCAACAGCGTCGCGTGCTGAGACACCACCAGCACCACCACAGTCATCACCCTTGGTGGCAACACACATTTCCTTTGTCCGCCAATTTGGTCTGTCCAAACACTGTTACTACTATACCTTTCCTTACGCTTTTGTTCTGTTCAGCGAGGCGTCACGGAAACTCGGGATTATTGTAACCATGCGTCTCCTACTTCTCAGCTAGCGCTGGTCTCCTTTTGTATTTGGCATTTTTGCAAATTGGAAAGACTCTTGGCTTCATTGCGTATCGCAGCCGATATATTCGCTGTACATCATTTTATCATGCATTGCATGATACTCGGGCGTCTCTGGTAGGCCATTGTTCGTCGCCAAAGGGTCGTTAGGACGGACTACACTCCAATCCGACTCTCATTAAATTAAATAATAACAGAATGTTGCAGCTGACATAGCATTTTCGACGTTGAGCGTTGCGTTGAGCCATTGTGGGTTGAGACCAGTGAGGTGGGCAAGATCTATGGGGTGCGCTGCTCGCTTACATGCATTTCAACACGATATGCTGATGCACGATGTTCCCTGTTTTGTGCGCCTTGTATGACGAGAGGACAGGAGCAGTAAATGTTAATGTCATGCTTAATATATTATGTCCACGCTATGACGAACCAGGAAGCTGACAAAGACAGTGGGTTATTTCTAGGTCCTGTACTCATTACCTGTACGACTGGTCTCTCTCAAAGGATCCATGTAGTGATGATTAACCAATATCGTCAGCCTCGAGTCTGCAGACTACTGCCAGGCAGAGCCAGTCGCAGAGAAAGAACATTCGCATTCGGACTACTGCCATACGTCTGCTGTACAACACGAACGAACTACTGTGTCCACTTTGGAAAGCTATACCACATCGGATCTCGAATGCGCCCAATGCTTCCACCTTCCAGCTTTCACGGACAAGATAATCAGTAGGTGATGTTGAATCGCTAGTGCATGCTTCTGCACTGTTAGTAGGGCCCTAAAACTGGCGACATACGTGAATACAGCGGCCAGGTATAAAACATCATCTCTCCTCTTTCCACACACCCAGCACCAAGCTCTACAGATTCCTTCGATCCCCTTCAGACCAGCACCACCACCACCCACAATGCAGTTCCTCTACGCTCTTCTCCCCCTCATCCCCATCGCAGCCGCAAACGGCCGAATCCGCTTCACCTCCTTCGACCACCCTGGCTGCGCAGGTTTCGAAGAGACCTACGACCTCAATCCCGCACCAGTGAAGGGAAATTTTCCAGGTAAGGCCCAACACTCGAGCAGTGATTACATGTTCTAACAACTTGCAAGGACCCCGCGGATCTATCAATATGATAGTTACGTCTGCAGGATGCCACCTTACGCTTTACACGGGCCCCAACCAGTCGTCGCCAAATGGCGGTCCTATTAGATTCGACACTGGTGCTGCGGTTTGCTGGTCGAACGGGGGTGGGTTTGAGGATTATCTTAGTTTTGGGTATTACTGCGATTAGATGGTGCTGGGAAGAAGAGATGAGGAGGCGGATGGGTGGAGGTCGTAGTATTGCTGAGCCGCTCTTTTCTCAGTAGATCGGGGTTTGGAAAAGGAGGAGCATGGAGTAGCGGAAGTTGAAAATGTGACATGAAATGCTACTGCGACATGGACTGGTTTGCTTTTGACTTGAGACTTCATGTAGACTGCTTGAAAATACTCACCCTGTGGCCTGATTATACTGAGCTTGGAGTATACTGTAGCATCTCTAGCAGACCAGGGTTGTCGCTGTAAGATTGTGGCACTGGTAGAGACTGTTCTTCGGCTTTCGTTGATATTGAGAATATTACATGTTACGAATCGTGTCGAGTGCCCCATGTTTTCTGCGCGAGTGTGTTCGTGCGCCCGTGCTTTCCAATATGGTTCCCGCAAACTCCTGGTCAATGTTGAAGCAAGTGAGTCGCAAGCATACCTGGGCACTGTAATCTGCTGCTATAGTTTGTGAGAACCCTGGGAGAACGATGTGCAGAGGAAGGCCGTGCAGCATGATGGCGATAGAGTTCTATACGTGAACGCTATACAAAGAAACTGTTTCACTACAGTATACGGAGCGTCTAGGGGCAGACGGACGCGACAAGGTGCCCAGGTGTGGAAGACGTCTTCGTCAAGATCGTAGACTGAAGCACCGCGCAGCTGCGGCGAAGATTGTGCAGTTCAGGAACGATGGGTGCTCAAGCACTCTCGCGCGTAGACGTATCGGCACCGGCAACACGCGAAGCTCCGTACCCACTACGGGAGATTATCTTGATCGAAGTCGAAGATTATGCGCATGTTACTAAAGCGGCATAGTGCCGGTACTCGGCGGAAGCTAAGCCTGTGGACGACGGTCGCGTGTTCGTGTGAGACGCTCCACGATATCTCACAACCAACACGACTTCAGCGCGCGAAGGCGCCAATTTTCGCACATGATGCACGTATTACAGCTAGAACAGAATCTTGCTGGTCGCCGCATTCTTCACGTCCTCGGGCGCAATAAGACTTGGGACCCAGCATTGCTGTCAAAACTCTGAGATGTCAATGACGTAACTCGCAGCAAATAGAGTGCGAGCACGCGACACTAAGCAAGCAGTCACATCGGAAGGCCGGCTCCTTCTGCACCCAGCAGGGCCACGCCGCACCAAATGCCATGGCAGCGCAGCTTCGTCCGAACGTCCGCTGTCCTGTCCGTGGCTGCTGTGGCTGTTTAGTCACCCTACGCATGCCGTGCGTTCCGCTGACTTCACTATGTGCCATGTGCCCTGGCTTTAGTGTGAGATGTAGTCCTCGGCATCGGCCAGCCTTCTTGCCTGTTCCTTGATGCGAAGACTTCTGGGCTTGTCATAACTGACCCTTTTGTTCTTGAAACACCCACGAGTTCCTCACCTCTACCTTTTGCAAGTCAAAGCAGTAGGTACGATACAGTGCTGCGTCAGGGCCTCCGCGCATAGAGTCCCGGATCGACCGGCTAGCCAAACACTACCGCCATCCCTACAAATATACTCGGTTCCTCTGGGTAACCGTATTGAACTTGGAATTTCGGGAAGCATACCTATTGCTCAAACATCGCACGACCACCCATACCGCCTACACGACGCCGCCTCGCGCGTAGTCCACCACCATGGGCGCAGGAGCCTTCATAGAACCGCTTGTGGTAGTCACCCTACTCTTCGGAGGTACATGGGTAAACCGAAACACTGAATACCGCCTTATTGGTCGGCGGAGAGTATACCAAAACTCGCCGCGCTCAACTTCCCCAGATTCCGGTCGATCTAGTCCGTCGTCCAGCGCATCGCTTCTCGCCAATGTCGACGAGGAGCCCAAATGGAGGAAACGAGAGGTGGTGGTTCTGGGTATGAAGAAGGAGGTCATGAGCCCGAATACCAAGAGGTTTCAGGATTACTTCCTTAGTCGATTGCTGAAGAAGTTCCCCTTCCTTGTGGAGGCCTGGTATTGGGCGCTTATCTACTGGGTAAGTGAAGTCGCGAGTCTTGTACCTTTTATCTGCAAAAATGCTGAGTTTCTTTCAGGTGTACCAACTAGGTCGCGCATTCTCCGCAGTAACAATGGTCGAAGGCACCGTTAACGTCGCTCGCCGCCACGCCCTCCAAATCATCCACCTCGAACAGAAACTACACATCTTCCTTGAACTCGACGTTCAAGCATGGTTCCTGAAACACCCCTTCCTCCTCCACTGGACAAACCGTACATATTCCTTCATCCATATCCCAGGCACAATTCTGTTCCTGGTATGGCTCTTCTACTATACCACTACGCGCAACCGAATCGATCTTCCACTCCACAACAAGCCAATGGGCGAGGCAGATGGTAGCCCAGCAGGTCCAATGCTGTATGCTGCCAGGCGCAGAACGATGGCTACGTGCAATCTGATTGCATTCATCGTTTTCACCCTGTGGCCATGCATGCCACCGCGTCTTCTGTCCGACCCCGAAGTTCCCGGTTCCATAGGCAAAGAAGCGCGTAGCTACGGCTTCGTCGACACTGTTCACGGCGCCGAGGGCGAAAGCAGTGTATGGACGCAGAACAAGTTCTGTAACCAATATGCCGCCATGCCTTCGCTGCATTTCGGGTACTCGCTCCTCATCGGCCTCACCATAATGTCGATTCCCCTGGCTCCTCAGCACAGCCGATCCCGCACCGTTGCTCTCACCATGGGTCTGCGCATGCGTCTCCCGTCGGCCCGCCGTATGCTCTGCATCTTCTTGGGCGTTGCTTACCCTACTATTATCCTGATCGCCATTGTTGCTACGGCAAACCACTTCATCCTCGATGCCGTGGCGGGCGCCATGGTCTGTGGACTTGCATGGACAGGGAACCGGGTGTTGTTGAACCTGCTACCACTGGAGGACTACTTCCTATGGTGTGTACGCATTCACAAGCCTGCGCGCAAGGCTGTTCACTGGGACGGTGACGAGGACGAGAGTGACTATAGCCATAAGAGGTTTGGCGCTAAGGGCGTCATAGTCGACTAAGGGTTGTGAATGTAAGAGTGTGGAGGTAATACATCGGTAATGTCAAGCATTGGGTATCGGCGTCTGACCTGGGTCGGGTACTTGGGTAATGAGGGCGGCATGTTCATTTATGACTCTCTCTCTCTTCATTTTTCTTGGGGTAAACAGAATAGTTCGATACCCTTGGCTAATAAATATGTTCTTATTCGATATTTGTTTGTTTGGAAACCAGTGTCATGAGGGAAGTGTGGTACCTTATAACACTGATTGGTTTTAGTCTCATTGATCATCTTCGTACCACCCTAGGTAGTCATATTCCCATCACATGTGACGACGCCCTTTAGCCAACCTCTGCCGCGACCCCTCGTGCAACCTCCAGAAACACAGCTGTCATGCTCTCTGCCCGGTTCGAAAGAACGAGGACCCAGGCTACCCCCTCAGAGCGGAGTGCCCGTGAGCTGACTTCTCCATCCCATAATGAACGAGCAATTCATGATTTTAGTCTACAACCGCGTAGCCGTTAGCAAAACAAATTCTCAGACACAGACACACACGATGAATGAAATCCACTTACCCTTCCCCTCACCCCTCCGCCATTACAATCCAGCGGCGGTGCACTCCACAAACTCGTCCTGCACTCGCCACAACTCTTCCACGTCTCGCTGTCGTTCCAATCGCACTTGAAATCATCACCGTTATCATACGAGAATTGCAGGATACTACTTCCGTAGTCAAACGGTCCGATGAGGAAGGTGTATGGGTACCCCTTGATGCCGTGATCAACGGTGACAGTAGTGCCCTCGGCCAGAGTGTATGCCCACACGTAATCCTTATTGTTGTATACACCGCGGGCTTGGATAGTGTTGTCGGAGAGGCAGTTCTCGATGACCTGGAAGTAGAAGGGGAGGATGATGATGGCTTCGGGGTCGCCAGGGCGCGCGCTTCTGAAAGGGAGGGAAGTGAAGTTAGCATGTGTCTCACATTAGTTTGTACGTGGATGTGACTTGCTCGGTCACTGTGGGGACTTTGACGCGGTCTTCATTGTTGTCTTCAGTAGTTGCAGTTGATTCTGAGGTGGTGACGGTGGGGTTTGCGTCGGCGTCTGAGTAGAGGAGTATCTCGGTATTGTCAATGCCGAGGGCGACGATGTGGGATGGCGACGTGGGCTGCCGAGGTGCAACGACTGCGGCGGCAATGGCATTGAGGGCCAGCGACAAGACGATGAGGAGCTTCATGATGGGAAGGGAGGCTGCCGTGCTGTGGTATTTTGAGGGCTTTGAAGCACCTGCGGCAGGGATACTACAACTGTTGTTGGGAGTGGATAGCGAGCGCAGATGAGCATGGAAACAGAGTGAAAATCACCAGAGTATATATGCGTAAGGATATGTCAGATGCTCACGCGGAAACCGTATGTGAATGGGGATAGAAGAAATGCGCGTGGACCGTTGACTAGCAAACGGTCGTGGTCGTGGATTAGGTAGTATATTGCCGGTACAACATGGCGGAAGAAAGCCATTGGTGCCCATCAGATTCAGGCACACGCTGCTGCAGGGACCGAACAGTTCTGGTTCCACTCGTGAAAGTGATGGAGCTTAGTCGACAAACGAAAAGAGGACTGGAGTCCATGTCTTACATGGGAAATATTACAAAGAGTATACATAATATTGTTGTGTACATTCAACGGCACTTAGGGTATAGTTTTAAAGAGAGTACAAGCAACCACCAACGCCAAATGCGCAATGCACAGAATGCAGGTAGTGATCTAGCAACAGGACTGACATGCTGTGGTAAGAAATGATGCTATGAAAAGAGACACAAGAAAATACTCATTAACGTCTGCTGCTCCTAGTGTTGTTGCGGCTAGGCCTGTCGTCCCGACGCGATCGTTGGGGCTGGTTGTCGTATCGTCCGCCCATCTCTTCGTCTTGGACACGTCCGCCACCGTAGGTACGTTGAGGGTGGCGAACATCGTCATGCTCGTCCTCAAAGGTGTTGCGTCGCTCATCAATCTCATCGTCAAAGTCGACGTAGACAGAAGCAGGGCGCGGTCGTCGTTCTCTGGGGAGCTTGGAATCTCTGTCTGCGAGCTCCTTGGGCTTGTAGAGCTTATCGAGGTGCTCTTCGAGGAGGCGAACGTTCTTGCCGTTGGCCTTAACAGCTGCATCGGCAAGATCGCCAATGAAGGGAACAAGGCCGATGAGGAAGTCAAAGGCGACGTTGAATAGCATCATGATAAGAACGCTGGCTGGTAGTCCGCCTTCAACTTTGCACATGTTGCGAACGAGGTTCAAGGCCAAGGCGGAACCTGCGGCGTCGCCCACGGCTGGGGCAAGGCCAATGACAGAAGACCAGCCAAATCGGATTCCCATAAAGGTAAAGAGAGCGTAGTCGAGCCTGTATGCGGACTTGCGGGCTTTGGCTAGGACAACGCAATCATTCTCGGGAATATAGCTGGGAATGTCCTTCTTGACTTTCTTCATCTTGTGGGGCCTCTTTGGGTCTGGCTGCAATGCGTAATAGGGGTCCTGGAGTATACAATGAGTTTGCGCACATCAGAGCGATCAGAATTTGACTTACGTAGGGTCCGGACACGTCCTTGGACTTGTACTTTTCCATCTCCTTGCCCAACGCCTTCTTCATGGCGTACTTAGCGACCATGCCTGCCATGATGGGTGGTGTTGCTGAGGTAATTCGTGATGTAAGGGGAGTTGTATGAACACAGATATACGAGACCGTCCCAGAGGCCTTATATGTTCCTGTTGTTCGAACGGTGTCGCTTTACAGTGCGCGGTGGTGCGGCTGTCTCAAAGCGCGCGTTTTGTGTGGTTGGCCGACGGCGCTTCTCCTTGGAAAATGTGAAACGGGCGCGTCGCTGCCCTATGTATAGCTGGCGGGCGACTGGCAACGAACAAAGTATGATTTGTGCTGTGAAGAACAAGAAGGAGCGACAGAAGCGAAGACGACGGGCCTACTTATCGCATTGAGGTGCGCTGGCGGTGAGTCGCTGTAGCTGCCCAGGTCCAGGTGCCCTGATTCTGTGACGCGATCCCAGACAGGAACGTCATGGCCTGGGTCGGTCGCTCCTTCTTTCGCCTGCGCGCACAGCCACAGCCGCCACACCTGTGTCGATCGCTCTTGCCGGCAGCCACAAGGCAACTCTCCGATAGGCCTTGGACAACACATCAACAACACGTCCACCCGCTACCCCCACATTCTTCGACGTTCTTTGCGGCTGTGCAGCCTGGCAGCAAACAATCTCTCTCTCATCTAGACCCTCTCGCTACTACCCGCCGTCCGCGACGCGCGATAGCTGGCTGACTGGCGCCCGAGTGCTCCCCACCACCCTCTGCGACGCAAGCTCTCCGCGGCATGCTCGACACGGGCCAAACATACACCCACCATGACAAACACAAACAGAACATTAGTTGACTGGCTGGACGACCTCTGCGTGCGCTTCATCGTCAACCTGCCCAATGAAGAACTCCAGTCGGTGGAGCGAATATGCTTCCAGATCGAGGAAGCCCAATGGTTCTACGAAGACTTCATCCGTCCGCTCGACCCCAACAACCTGCCCTCGATGCACCTGCGCAAGTTCTCCCAGCTCATGTTCCAGCACTGCCCGCTCTTCTCCGCCTACTCGGAGGAGCTGCACCAGCAGGCCTACGAACAGTTCCTCGCCTACAAGACCCGCGTCCCGGTGCGCGGCGCCATCATGCTCAACGAGGACATGACACACGCCGTGCTGGTCAAGGGATGGAAGAAGGGCGCGAAATGGAGTTTTCCGCGCGGAAAGATCAACAAGGAAGAGACGGATCTCGACTGCGCCGTGCGCGAAGTCTGGGAGGAGACCGGCTACGATCTGCGCGAGGCTGATTTGGTCGAGCCCGACGAGCACATGAAGAAGATCACCGTCACGATGCGCGAACAAAGTATGATGCTATACGTCTTCCGCGGTGTACCCATGGATACATACTTCGAGCCGCGGACGAGGAAGGAAATCTCCAAGATCGATTGGTACAAGCTCACAGATCTGCCTACTCTGAGGCGGAAGAACCAGGTGCAGCAACAACAGGGAAACGGAAATGATCTGATCAAGGAGAGCAACTTCTACATGGTTGCGCCGTTCTTGGGGCCTCTGAGGCAATGGATAAAGCAGCAGCACAGGCTTGGGAGGCAGAGGCAACGGCACAGTGCGCATGTGGCTACGGCACCAGTGGCAGGGACTGATGATGAAGACGTTCAGAACACGCTCTACGAGACTACGGTCAATCAAGCAGCACCTCTCACCGACGCCCAGGTCGCCGACAACTTTGCGGAGATGGTGGCCCGGTTAGGTCGCGGACACCGTCCGAGCGACTCCTTACCCGAGTTATCAAACGAGCATCAGGCACCACAACAGAGTCAAGACCCAGCGGAGGCACTCAAGCGTCTACTCAGCGTGGGCATGCAACCACCGCCGGTGGAGGCCCCCAGCCAACCACCACCCCAAGGAAACCCGCTCTTGGCTCTATTTAAGCAGGGCAACAACCAGCATGCAGGAAACCAACAACCTCGGACGCCCTTTGAGCAGATGATGCCTCCACCCATGCAGCCGTCAAGTCCCCATGGCCAGCATGGTCCACGGCCACCGCAGATGGGCAACATGGGGCCACCACCACCCTTCTTCTCACCACACCAGGGCATGCCTTTCCGAGGGCACCCAGGCCACATGAACGGAATGCAACCACCACCGCCACATATGTCGCCTCATTTCATGCATCAACAACCGCAGCCGCAGCAGCAGCAGCAGCAGTCAATGTTTCCACCTCAGCCACCAAACATGCAGCAAGCGTTTGATCAGCGCAATCCGCGGCCCCAATTCCAAGAGATGGGTGATTCACAGTTCGCAGGCGGAAATGGAAGACCAGCGATACCATCTGCGTCCAACTTGCCCGCACCAAACCTGAATGCGCATGCACTCGGATTGCTGAATTCGTTCAAGAATGAGAATCAGCAACCTACTTTCCCACCGTCGCCTCAAACTACAATCGCCGCTCCGTTGCACCGAAGCTCGCAAACGACGCCTAGGATACAGCATCCGCTACCTCAACACAGGCCGCATGGCCTTGTATCGCCACAAGCTCAATTCGTTCCTAGTCCGCCGCAGTTTCAGTCACCTCCCATCAGCTCGAGCTTCGAGCCTGAACAGCCAAAGCCAAGAAACGCTCATCAAGATTCATTATTGAATCTGTTCCGACCCACCCCACCACTGGCAAGCCCGGATCCCGCACCTGCAGAGCTGTCTGCGCTCCCAACAACACCAGGCTATGTGTCCGCGCAACCTGTCGCAGACCTGTCTAGACAGCCCAATGCCGCTCTTCTTGCCGTCTTCAATGCTCCGCCTAGTAAGACCAATATGACGTCCGCTACTGTGAGCGGGCCAGTAAACGCGCCAGACTTCGATACCATGAAGAAGAACAGGCAGCCGACGAACAGCAGTTCACGCGGACCCTCGCCAGCCACAAACATGCCTTTCATGCCTCAGCAGATACTCAAACGTGGGCCGCAAGCTTCGCCTCAACCTGCACCACCGGCCGAGGTCTCTGGATCACCGCGAATTGCTTTCCAGCCCCAGATTCTGAAGAGACCCCAACAACAGTCAAAATCGCCAGGGCCAGCAGGTATGTTTATCCCCCTGCGCCTGCCTATTTTTGACCGAATGGCAGAGCCCGCAGATGAGACTAACAGTTCTTTAGGTCCAGGAGAGAAGACTACCCCGCATGCACAAGGCTTGCTAGACATGTTCAAGGGATCCTCACCGAAACCTCCACCAACCCTACCAGCAGTATTGCCGTCTCGATCACCCGTCCCTCCGCCCATCTCTGGCATGGACCGTCGCGAATCCGTTCCCTCGGAGCAGAAGAACGCATTGCTCTCGCTCTTCGGCAACAAACCGTCTCCATCTCCAAAACCCCAGATGCAGAGCCCAATACCACCGGCCCGATCACCTCTCCCGCCGACTCCCAAGACGTCCATGTCCGGCCTTGTCAGCCCTGTCAGTCCGCTGCCAGCAAACGGCAGTGTGAGTGCAACTAGTCCAGAAGGAATGGCGAACAGAAGTCGCATCAGCAGCATTGGAGACGGGAAAGCGCCTAGCATCGTAATACCGCCAACAAGTCATCCAGCCGACACAGGCATCAGTCTAGATCAGAACGATGGTGTCAGTCTAGCCGGGTTGGGTGCCAGTCAAGCCAGAGCAGGAAGCGCAAGCGGAGGCAGGAGTCCCGTCGATAAGAGTTTCTTGCTGGGCTTCTTGGAAGATGTGGCTAGACGTGGGCGCTAAACGGTATTCTCTGTTCCATTATTGCATGGTCTTGGGCGTTTGTGCATTTTAGGGCGGATTATGAGTTATTCAGGATTAGCTGGCCGGACAGCTATTAGGATTATGCGTCCAGATCAATCGGGTTATGATCTATTGAGATGGCCTGGACATTATTTGCTTAGTGGAAGTGTGTACGGTTAGCAAAACACGAGTAAGAATCCATAGGACGCTCTCAAACTCTACGGGATAATCTCCGAACAATCCCTCTCTCACACCTTGTCTCTCTTGGCCTCCGCCAAATGTATCTGCTACCCGCATCTCATCTAACAACTCCAACGCAAGCGCTCAACTTTCCCGTCCGCGGCCTTGTCGTCCGCACCGCAGTCCCATCCCGCGGACTCCATTTCCGCATTCCATGGCAATCATCTCATGAACCCCAGACACACCTGAAACGCGTCCCCGCTTTGTCAACCTACCGACCGGACGTCATGCTATTCTATGCTAACGCCCTCTATGTCAGCACAAAGCGTCTCAGCTAGTCAAATACCCTCGGCATATCGGTTACCGGTTATCTGATCGGCGTGACGTCCCTGCCACTACCCTGGTCTTCGGCTTGGTAAATGCGAGATCGTGCCAAGTCGGAGGTTATGAGCTTATTTTTCGGGAGGTGGGGGGTGGGTGGAAGTGAAGGTGATCCGGGTGCCTGTATTAGGAGTATGTACACTGACACACGAGCCTGATGTATGCTGTCATCGTGCTATTTGTGACGATGGTGGGGATTTAGTTGGGATGGGCTACGTCACGCATACACGGATTCACTTGAGCACAGATACGGGGAACGAAACATGGCAATGGGTTCTTCAGATGAAGAAGGAAACCCGAATTTGTTGGTTATTACTAAGTAGATGGCGAGAGGAAGATGGCTCTACGGGATATTTGGATAGCTCAAGCTGATAAAGGACAAAAGATTGCAATGTACAAAAGGATAGATAGATAGCGCAGAAGACTTCGGTCTTTGGAACAGGGTTGAGTGGAAACAAGAAGTTTGTTATAGTTGACTGGTTCCTTCCTGGGTTCCGGTGGTGAACTGCTTGTCTGTTTGTTTGCCGTCCTGTTTTGCCCCAAGCTCCAAGTTCCCCCTACTGCCGCGCTCGGAAATGCAAGAAACCATGCTGATGCTGGAGAAGTGACGACGCTGACGGGGTACTGGTAAGGAAATATGACTTGATTGTACAGGTTAGACACGAAGTGGTTAAGCACAACGGCGCTCATAGTGCGACATTGTCTCGTCCCCTGTCCAAGATCTCAGAGGGGACAGCACTGCGTGTGCTGAAGCGCACTTCAGTGCCCGGATGTGCCTTGAAGATGGGGGCCGTCGTCTGCGTGTCGTGTCTCTGGTGCTTGATGTCCCTTCCTACTAGACCGCTCTTGCTGCCATTGCGGCTCAGACCCGCAGCACTCGGTTGCCTGGTTATGCCACTTGCGTTCTTGGGAACGGAGGATGGTAGGGCCGGCATCTCGGGAACCTCATCTTCAGAGTATGTGGTGGACTGCGTCATGCGGAATTGCTGCTTGAGACGTTGTTCCTCGACGCGGTTGGACTGCTGGTTCACCCAAGAGTCGACAGTGCGGAAACGAGGAACGGAGGATCGCGTCGTCATGAAGCTATCACGGCCAAGGGGCTGGGTGGCAGTGTCGCGAGTAGGGTCGTGCGGAGTTTGAGGGGCTTGGGAGTTTGTCCAGCTGAATCGGCTAGCCATGCCACCACTGGCAGCAGCGGCTGCCGCCGACGCACCACCGAAACCGGGTCGTTGGGAGATTGAAGGACGGTTTGATAAAAATTGACGGAATGATGGAGGAGGAGGGAGGTTTCTAGTCTGCTCCTGGGGTTCAGGGTAGCGCAGCGACTCTTCGTCACCATCCAAGGACCTAGTGTTGCGAGTCGAGTTACTTTGCCGTCGACCCTCTATGGGCAGAAGAGGTGATGAAGGCGTTGCACTATCGTTTCGACGATGCGAGTTTGCACGCGACGGTGTGTCATCGTAGAAGCTCATGTTTCCATCCCGAGTTGGGGGCTGGTTGAAGCTGTCACTTCGCTCGAGGTCTCGCAATCGTTTCTGCGAAGAGAGCGAACTAGATCGTACAGGTGCGACCGTCGGTTGAGGCGCGCGGAACGAATCTTTCATGCCATACGCGTATTCATCATCATCAAACTGCTTCTTATCCTGGCCGTATCTTGATGGTGGAGGTGGGGAACTGCGACGGAGCTGCTGCTTGCCTTGCTGAATTACGTCCTTGAATGTAAGGCCTCGTTTCTTCATTGTGTACATGGCGAGAACGACCATGACAATGATGATAGTCGCACCTAGAACATGTCAGTGTACGTTTAAAGGAACACGACGACTTCAACGTACCAATTGAACCAGCAGCAATGAGCAGGTGCTCAGTCGTCTGAGAGATGGGCCGGTCATGATGGGGTTTGGGTGGTGGCATGGCGATAACGATGGTCTCGGTAGGGTCACTCTCGGCCAAAGCAGGTGCCGTAGCCTCTGGCTCCAGACCACTGAGAGTCATTGTAATCAACATCTGCTCTTGTTAGTCAAGTCCATATTTCGGCGAGATGCCGCTTACTGCTGCAGTTCCGGACGGTCTCGTAAGCGAAGGTGTTGTCATAGACGTCATGGTCGGGTTCTCGGGGTAATCGTCGTCGTCAGAGTCGCTGTCGTAGTCTCCATCTGTAGGGCTTGGCTCCTGACGTCTTGCTCGTGATAGTCGGTTCAGTGTGGGCGTAGGCTCGTCTGCGACCAACTCAATCTCATTCTCCACACCGTCTCTTTCCACTACGACATAATCCACCTTGTCGTAAACTCCACGGCGCCATGGAGCGGGCATTGCGTTCGGTATGCGATGGCGTCAAATGGGGAAACCCCTCTCAATCTTCCAGCCTCTCGATTTCTCCACCAGACATAATCCGCAAACTCGTCCAGCGATGTAAGGTCGTCGTGATTGAAAGTAGTGTTTGAGTCGAAAGCCTGTAGGACCGCGACCAGCGTAGTCGGTAGGAGAGGGTGGCGAGCGAATGTATGTAAGTGATTAGCAACAAGCCGGCCTGCGGAACGAAGGACAGAAGGGAAAGCAAAGTCAGCAAAGGTGCAACGAAAGGCTGGGCGAACGCTCAAGACGAGACACGTTCATGCGAATAGCGGGAGGGGTGGGATATGAGCACGCATGAATGACACTAGTAGTGAGTCGCTGCTGGTCCCATGTCGGTTTGGGGAGACGCGAAGATGTGGATGCGCCGCTATGATCATTACGGAGTGTTTAGCAGCAATTGCGATGCCGGCAGTGATCCAAATGGCGAGATTTCATAACCCTGAGTGCGCTTAATTACCCTCAATGGGGTAAGATGTGCCATGATCGAGAACAAAATGCTCGTGCAAGGTTTGGGGGGCTGTCTTAAAGTCGTCTCAGGGCGCCATGGTCAGGTTTCAGCTCCCGTTTCCGGGGACGATCAAACGCCACAGGGGTCGCGTCGTGAGACCGACGACCGATGTACAGATATTGGATGTGTAAAGCCCAATGTGAGGTTCAGGAGAGCTTAATCCTTTTGATAATTCCCCGCATATTACAAGAGGCTCTAGGATTCGGCGAAATGCGCAGGGTGTCGTACAGCCTGCAGATGACGACAAGCCACACTTGGTCCGCGGGCTGCAGAGCCTGCTGCGCCTCGGATGGCGTGGAATGCTCTTGGGCTCCACAATGTGCCTTTTCCGGTAGCGCGATGCGGCGGTGCTGGGGACCAGGCTCTTGCGAAAACCCGGCCGAGGCCAATCTCTTGGGTGGACAAGAGGCACACAGTGTTTCGCAAGAAGGTTTGGTGGGTTGCGGAAGAGAGTGTTTCCTGAGGCTAGGCAAGCCTGCCTTGCTGCGATCGCTCTCCAGGATGGTCAGTACATCTCAATTGGAAACAATAAAAGGCAAGTCGCATTACGTCAACATGGGCAGCGCTCGAAAAGCGCATCGCTAAGAATTGCACGACGGATGATGCGGCGTTGAGTCGTGGGCGGTTCGCTCGCGCCGAACTGGCCGTGGCTGCCGGACGAGCTTGACCTCTGGGTGGCTGAGGCTGAGTGCAGCCCGAGTTCGCTGAGTGTGCGGTGCTCCGCCCCCAAAGACGCGATGGATTTGTTCAGTCATCGGATCTGGTAGTCAGCAGATCTTGTTGGGTGCTGCGGCAGTAGGCGGGCAGTATAAGACTCTGATGTTCGTGTTGTGACGCTCTTGTCTCATTCACACATCAACGCGTATCCCGTATCCCGTACTCGCCCCCAATCTTACGTCAACCACCCCTCAATCGACCCCTCATCAGCGCAACACCAGCGTCTAATCACCTTTCCTGACCTACAAACACACAAGCATCATGTCTGGCCCGTACGATCAATACAACCAGGGTTACCAGCAATACCCGCCTCAAGGCCAATACCCTCCCCAACAACAAGGCTGGGGACCACAAGGTGGTTACCAGCAACAAGGCCACCCGCCTCAACAAGGCCAGGGCTACTACGACCAGCAACAGCAGGGCTACCAGCAGCAAGGCTATAACCAGCAGTATGGTGCGCCTACTCACGGCGGCTTCCAGCATGGGCAGCAAGTAGCGCCATACGACCAGCAACAGCAAGGGTAAGAGAGGATGCTTTGCGACGCAGCAATTTGTGTACTGATTCGATCACAGATACGGCCAGCAACAACAATATCCTCCACAAGGCCAATACCCTGGTCAAGCGCCATCAGGACAGTTCCCGCAGCAAGGCGCATATGCCGCAGACCAGTACCCACAGGGCCACAATGCCTACGGCCAGCCGCAGCAAGGACAGCAGTACGGCGCCACAGACCCCAATATGCAGGCTGAAGGCGACCGAGGCCTCATGGGTGCTCTAGGTGGCGGTGCAGCTGGCTACTTCGGAGGCAACAAGATGGGCGGTCACGGCATTATTGGTGCCATAGCAGGTTCCATCCTTGGCTCAAAGTTGGAGGACAAGCACAAGAAGCCCAAGCACGGCAACGGCTACCACTAGAAGGGCAAGACAAGAACGAAGTCTTTGGGTTAATGTCTTTTGTTTTAGTTTAGTAATGGGTGGCTTGCTCTCTTTCACGGCGCTTTGAATGACCGTTACGACTTTGGGGTGTTGGGTATGCGCATTAGGCATCTCTAGAATGAACGGTAGTCACGAATCAATACATTTCTGATAGACGCTACGATCTCTCCACTTGCACATCAAAGCGAAACAGTCTTGGACGCTCCAGCGTAAACGTCATGTCTAGAACTGTGGCCTTGTGGACGGGAAATTACATCGAGCGGGCGTTGAAACACGCCAATGTGCGAAACAACCTCACTCAGCCAGGCTGCATATTTGGGGCATTTTCCAACGGCCCGATAGTCGAGCAGCCCCAGCCGGCGTATATTGTTTGATGGACGCGCAACAATCTCGACATGGTGTATCGACTTCAGCCATTGTTCGGTGGATGTTTCCGATCTGCGCGTTCATGGTGAGATGGTGGTTGTAAACACGCAAGGCATAGAACATCTTGGCTTCCGCTCGGTATTGGAAACAACGGAGATTCTGATGGCATCTGAGATGCTGGGTGTCCGAAGGTCCGAGGGTGTTGAAGGGTCGGATCGTGTTGTCCTTCAGCCACGTGACGGTTTTTGGGAAAACCTCGGGAGTTGACACGCTTAGGAAGGAGCTATGGTTTATCAACTCGCCAAGGGACTACCGTGTGACTACGTGCCTTCTGTTAACGATAATCGGCTCCCTTGACGCATCGGTTAGTGTATCTTACTCCCGTTGCACACGTGCACTGCCATCAGCCTGTTGTTTGTGCCATAGGAAGATTTAACAACATGTAGGACCAGTTCAGTGTATGCGAAAAGTACTGCCATGCAATATCCACACTCCGCACGGCGTCGCCGAACCCACCTGTGGTGATGCGAGCCGTCGGACAGCTCGAAGAGGTATACGAGTCCGGAAGAATTTGAGGCTGGCGAAGTCGGCCTGCGCGGTGTCTTTCAGCGCGCAAGAGGCATGTACAAGCGCATGACCATGCGAGTTCTTGCCAACGGTAGTGGGATTGGCAAGCCGAAGTTCACAGCTGAGCCTTGAGGCAGGGAAGCTGGCGGGTGAGGTATGTTATAAGCAACCCGACGGTTTACTCGATGACATCGAGTAAACTGGATACGGCGGCCGCTGAGTGGCTGGGGCGGCGCCCCGTTAATACCCCACATTGCCTTTATCTCCCTACCGCAGAAGCGCTATTCCTTCCCTGCCATAGCACCCCAACTAACCATCCCAAGCGAACGCAGAGACGCAACCTCGAGCCATCATGGCGTCGGATGCTGCGAGATAGAGAGTTTCTCCGGGCCCAGGGACGTGGTGACATGTTTCTATCGAGTCAAAGAGGAGCGAAATCTCTGTCCGCAGGGCTCCTATCGCGGAGATAGCTGTGCAGACGTGCATGGTCCCCAAGACATCTGTACACACCCTGGACGGGCACGCGATACCGTTGTTACGATGGCGCTGCGTCATCCGCGGAAATCCACCCACTTGTCTTGCCATCCTTCGCACGCCCAGAACCCAAATTCTGCAAAGTCTGCATCTTCATCCTCGGAGACTATGCAGGGTGCAGATGCGAATCACTCAGGCTGGTCGTCGGGATGTTTAGTGGCGCAATTGCAGCGACCATCTTGGTGGAGCTCACCGCGTGGGCTATCGCAACTTGAAGATAAGGCTACCGGAACGGCCCTACCAGTCAACCACCACAACCATGAAGCGTTCCGATGCGGAGGCACATTAGCATCTAGGCGTGGAGTGGACCCAGGGTAGATCTTGCGGTGCGCGAAGTAGTTCCTGATATTTAAGATGGAGCATGCCCCAGATAGGAGGAGCCTCAGCGGTCATCGTCAACACTCGGTCACGCAGTAGTGCGCCTATCTAGTCCACTCTTTCATAACACACAAGTACTCCCAGACGCCACCCATCGTGGATTCTGAACGTCAGCCACTCCTCCCCCAACAACCCTCACCTAGTCTAGGCGTACCAAGACCTTCACTCGCTTCTGATAGCACCCCACGTCATCCGAGCGGGGATCTTGAATCCTACCAAGCAGCGGCTTCGAGCAGCCGAAGCGAAAGCTTCATAAGGCCTGTTGCAACCTCGACTCATCACCATTCCAGCGACGAGGGATTCTTCTCCTACAGCCTCATCATGGAGAAAGTCAAGAACTCAAAGGTCGCATACTGGGCCGATAAGCTCGCCGTGGAGAGCGAGCCCAACCTCACCACTGCGCAGCTTATGCTCTTCAACCACGACCTGAAGCCTGTTGAGCCCGAGCGTCGTCAATGGGGCGCTTGGAATTTTGTGGGCTTTTGGGTCGGTACGTCAAACATCTCCAAAGTAACGACAGACTTGGGCTAATATTGTGCAGCCGACTCGTTCAACATCAACACTTGGATGATTTCATCCGCAAACATTGTCGACGGTCTTTCATGGTGGCAATCTTGGATATGTGTCTGGGTATGGAAACTAGTATTTGGCCATGCAGGCATTCGCTGACTTCGTGATAGCTTGGCTACTCTATCGCTGCCTGTTTCGTCTGCATGACTGGTCGTATCGGTGCGACATACCACATCTCCTTCCCCGTTGTCAACCGCTCATCCTTCGGTGTCTGGGGAGCGTTATGGCCTGTCTTCAACCGTGCAGCTATGGCTAGTATCTGGTACGGCGTACAAGCATGGATTGGCGGTACTTGTGTTCGTCTGATGATCCGCGCCATCTGGAACAACTGGCGAGACTCTGAGGGTCCCGGTTCAGGTGGCATCACCAACGGTATCCCCAGCTCCGGCACGACCACCGTTGCCTTTGTGTCCTTCTTCCTATTCTGGGCTGGATCGCTACCCTTCATCTACCCGCCAGTACACAAGATCCGCCACCTGTTTACCGTAAAGGCCTATGTTGTTCCGACTGCTGGCGTCGCCTTCTTTATCTGGGCCGTTGTGCGTGCGAAGGGATTGGGCCCGATTGTCCACCAACAAGGTACACTTAGCGGATCTGCGCTTGGTTGGATGATGGTCCGCGGAATCATGAGTGCCATTGCGAACTTCGCTACCTTGATCGTCAACGACCCCGATTTTGCTCGTTTTGCGAAGAAGCCATCGGACGCCTTCCTTCCGCAACTGCTCACTATCCCCATTGGATTTGCCATCACCTCGTTCATCGGTATCATCGTCTCATCGTCATCTACTGTCATCTTTGGCGAGGCCATCTGGGATCCTTTGAAATTGCTAGAGTCTTTCCTGAACGAGGGTGGCTCAGCACAACGTTTCGGTGTCTTCTGCATCGCCGCAGCCTTTGCACTCGCCCAACTCGGAACCAACATCGCAGCGAACTCCATCAGTGCTGGAACTGATATGACAGCACTTGCGCCCCGATGGATAAGTATCAGACGTGGTGGATACATCTGCGCGCTCGTCGGTCTGGTCATGTGCCCGTGGAACCTCCTCTCCGACACCAACAACTTCACAACCTACCTCTCCGCCTACTCTGTCTTCCTCTCCTCCATTGCAGGTGTCATGATCTGCGACTACTACATCGTCCGAAAAGGCTACCTCCAGATCAAAGATCTATACTCCGGGAAGAAGACGGGCCCCTACTACTACACCCTTGGATTCCACTGGCGCGGCTACGCAGCTTACATTGCCGGTATCCTCATCAACGTCGTTGGTTTTGCAGGAGCCATCGGTCGTGATGTGCCTATTGGCGCAAAGCGCATCTACGACCTCAACTTCTTTGCCGGCTTCCTGGTCGCAAGCATTACATACTGGGCGCTTTGCAAGATCAGCCCTATCCCGGCGACCAGCGACGTCTGGATGGAAGTCGGCGATGAGATCACGGACATCAGTGTCGCCTACACCGATAGCGATGCTGATCGTTACGATGAAGAAATCATGCATGGTGGAGACGGAAAGGGGGTTGAAGCGTCGAAGAACTTTTAGGTCATCCGTTGTTATTACGTTGGAGCGCTTATGTTTTTTACTTGCAAAGTTTGGACAGGGTGAGAGATACCAGACCACGCCTTGGGTCACAGTCGTTTTCGCAATGATTTCCCACTTTACTATTTTGCTCTTTGCACTCTTTGTGTCATGTGGAGGTGATGAAACTCGCAAAGTGCTAAGAAAGGCCCGGTGGTAGGCCCACTGCACTGAGCTAGCGTGTCGGCTAGCGCCTCCGCCTGGTGCTTGTGCTGACACCTCCAGTGCACTTTCGCGACTTCCATCACTTTAATCATCGCTTTTATGAGGTCATCGGGGGTCTTTGCTTCGTACTCCATAGATGGCAGGTCGCATTCAAGCCACGCCTCGCTATTACGGAGTGCACCAAGACGCATCCTGCACGCGGCATTCAAACCTCAGACAGGTGCCGGTCATTAGCACGGTTGCGCAGCCAACATGAACTTCGCCTGCGAAGACAATTATGAAGATGCTCTTTATCTTAAACTGTGAGGTTCATTCAGCGAAAATCAATTACAGACCCAAGCCAATACGCCATTGTAAGACTACCGACCGGGTGTTCAGATGATTTGTCGCTGCACCCATTCGCAACGAGCACCTGAAGCGACACCCCCATCAAAATTTCTCTCCACTGCTACCGACGCCTCTTCCGCTTCCCATATGGCTTGCATCTGCATATTCCAGAACATCGTCACTTACACGACAACACATGCGCCATTCACCTTGTGCCTCGTCACGCCGCACATCCCCACCTTCGCGTGCAGATTAAACATCCGGGGTACCGCTCGCGTTCCCATCATCTTCCCGATCTGGCTCGGGACCCAAGAGCCGACATGGAGGCTCACTCGCTAGCGAAGCACGTATAGTGCTGTGCAGCCAATGGTGTTTAACCGGTCCGGGCACAGCATCTTTGCATATTACGTGGATATTGAGGTAGTACTATCGCGTTTGTGTGAAGTGGGCGCGACAAGGCCTGTCAGGAAGAGGTGAGTGGTGGGCTGTGGTAATGTGATCATCAGGGATATTGGAGAGTAGTGGTGGGCGTAGACGTAGGGCGGTGCTGCAACGACGCGAGTATATAAGGCTGGGGTGAAGACGGGATGGAGATCATATCGCACCTCGAAGCATACATCTGTTCGCCTTCAACATGCTGTTCTCAAACGTCTTTCTACCCACGGCGCTACTCGCAGCCCAAGCCGCAGCCCACGGCGCCGTCACCAGCTATGTCATCGACGGAGTGACCTACCCTGGGTAAGCCCTACCTCAACCTCAGCGAGACCATCAATACACGTTTCTAACCTCCATCCCAGATATGAAGGCTTCTCGCCTTCCTCCTCACCCAAGACCATCCAACGCCAATGGCCCGACTACAACCCCACCATGAGTGTCAACGACAAGAAAGTCATGTGCAATGGCGGTACCTCAGCCGACCTCTCCGCCAAGGTAGCAGCCGGCGGAAAGATCCGCGCAAACTGGAAGCAATGGACCCACGAGCAAGGCCCGGTTATGGTCTGGATGTACAAGTGCGCTGGCGACTTTAAGAGCTGTGACGGTTCTGGAAAGAAATGGTTCAAGGTACATACCTTGTCAAGTCTGATACATCCAAGTCTCCTACTAACGACGCTGGCTAGATTGATCAAGAAGGCATGACCGCACCTCCCCTCTCCGGACGCAGCTGGGGCACTGCCAAGGTGCTCAAGAACTTGTACTGGGAGTCCAAGGTCCCCGCATCTCTCGCACCAGGCAACTACCTCGTTCGTCACGAGCTGCTTGCTCTTCACCAGGCCAATTCCCCTCAGTTTTATGCTGAGTGCGCACAAATCGAAGTCACTGGTTCGGGTAGTGCTTCTCCGAGTGGTGATTACTTGGCAAACATCCCGGGATACGCGGCGCAGAGTGATCCGGGGATTATGGTTGATACGTATGGTAGCAAGGCTACTACGTATACTTGCCCGGGACCTAAGGTGTGGTCTGGATAGGTTGTAGGTAGAACGTGTGAGTTGTAAGGAAGGGAAAGGTGGACGGTGGAGGATGAATTCTGATTAGTGGTTTGGTGTGTACATAGCTATGAGTCTCCATCGTGTACTCTATCCAAAACCAATATCTCGGTCCTCTCTACAACCACCCTCTTTTCTCACATGCCAATCCATGTATCACCCCTCTCTTTCCTCTCCCTAATAATCCTCCCCACCTCCATCGCAATCGACTTGAACAAGCCCTTGGCCATTTTCCCTCGTTCGCCCGCTTGTTCCTCAACCAACACCCTATTCTCGTGCACCAGGAGCATGGCATACTGATCATGGCCCCGCATAGAGGTCGATACGTCAATCTTTGCATAGCCCTTCAGAGTAAGATCGGAAGGGAAGCAATTGTTTACGACGAGGAAGGATAGGTTCTCTGAATTTGACGTTAGTGGGTCGTGCTATGAGGACTACAGAGTAGGTAAGATGGCATGATGGGATAGGAGTCCAGTCGAACTAGGTTGGGAGATTGCGCACCTATGCTGCTTTCCAGCCATTTGTCATCATCGTCCTCGTCGTCGTAGATAGGAATGTAACGTGAGAATGCTGACTTGATTTCGACTGCGACTTGCGATCGTGTGAAAGTGGGCTTCGGGAAGGACTTCAGCGCCACGACCAGCGCGTTCAACCTTGACTCCAAGGAGCTTGGAGATGACGGTTGATCGGGATCTGCAGTTGGGCTTGTAGTGAGGGTGATGTCGCCGGGTGTTGAGGGTCTGCCGTTTGTCATGTTGGAGTTTTGATTAGATGTCGTGGTCAGCTTCATGCCTCAGGAACATGTGCCGTGGTTTGGTTTGTAAGTATTCAGCTGGATTATCGAGGTATTGGTGCGGGCGGGGGTGTTCATATATGTTCTTTCTCTCAAAAGGTTAGAAGCGTAGAGTAACTCAGTTATGTGAACCTTGGGACGCTTAGGAGAAGTTCGTGGATTCGCCATACTTCTCATTCGAGACCATATTACTGTTTATGGGTCGTATGAACTGCGGAAGGTGTGATCAGCTTGTCGTCTCTGACGCGTTGAAGACGTGACCTGGGTATCCTCGCTTCCTGAACATATCTCCCAAGGTTCGCATGGCAGCAAATAAATGTGCGGTATTGAACATATTGTATACAAGCACAATGTGAGCTGTCCGTCGATCCTCATTGCAAGAACACACACTCTCCAGCGCAACAGTCCACCACAATGCATCATGATCTTAACCACAATATGCGTCTTGTGCATGCTCCCTCCCGCAACCGTCATCGGATGCATCACCCTATTCATGGGCATTGGAAAAAAAGAGAAAACCTCGAAGTCCACAAAAAGCCCACCGAAGTCGCCATCTACTTCCACCGAGGCAGCTCAGGAAGTCGCAGAGCGCGAAGATACGAGACTATGGCATGCCAACGGTACGTTGGTTCCAGACCCACTTTAATGAGAGCGCACCCAATTAACAAGACACAGATCGCAAATATCTGTCGCTACAAGACATCTCCATTGGATTTAACGAGCTCTTGCTTCGGGTCTCTAAGTCCGATGTTAGCTTGACCGGTGAGTAACTCCCTCCTCGCCATGATCGGCTCATTCATTTCCCTCGCTTTTCGCTCGATCGGCCGATGCTGTCGTATTCAGATGATATGTATATTTACTGACTCCTTGAACAGTAAATATGGCCTGGCTGTATAAGCAAGGCTACTTCCCTCAGCTCGATATCAGATCGGATGTCTATTTTCGTCTGCGGAAGATATGTGGTCGCCCCGCCCGCTACAGCGCTTACGTTATGTATCTTGTCGTTAATGGCAAGATCGTCCTTGAGGGCAGGGGCATAGGGAAGGAGGAGGCTTTTTGTGGTCTGCGTTTGGGGGTTTCGGAGATGATGACTGAAGCTGTGGAAAGGATTTTGGAGTCGGAAGTGGCTTAGGAAGGGGAAGACTGTTGAGAATAGAAATGTGCGAAAGCTCTGCAACGTTAATGCGATGCTGTATGTTCGTCAACACTCTGTAGTCTCTCTCGCAAGTGTGTCGAATTCGATGGCAGGTGCACGGCAAAGTGAAATTTTGGCTGAAGTTTCGCATTTCATGTTGAAGTATGCGCCTAGGTGCCTGTGTCCATACATTCTTCCTCCCTCAAACTCTTTTCCGAACGTCTACTCTTCAGTGAACTCGGCATACTCCTCCTTGGTCATGGTCTTGCCGCTTGGCTCTCCAGATACAGTGATCTTGGCGATCCACGCCTCGCCTTCGGGGTCCTTGTTGACGTTGCCCGGCGTCTGCTCTAGCGCTGAGTTGACTTCCGCGACGGTACCAGAGATGGGTGTGAGGATGTCTGATGCAGACTTGACGGACTCGACAGCACCAATGGCGTCGCCTTCACTAACATCCATTTCGATCTGGGGCAGCTCGATGTAGACGACGTCGCCGAGGGCCTTTGCAGCGTATTCGGAGATACCTAGGGTGCCTACGCGATGTGTCAGTCACAGAGCGCTTGGACAGTAAGGGCGTATGGGGATGTGGGGATGTGGGGGAGGGTGCGCATACATGTCTTGCCGTCCGCAGACATCTCAATCCACTCATGGTCCTCGGTGTACTTCTTCTCCTTCACTGTGCTCAGTCAGCACCCATGCTCGCCTCTCAATTGCTTCTCAGAGCTTCAGATGTGCGTACGTGCGGCGGATACCGAGAATAACCGTTGCTTCTGAGTCGCCTGCTGCCACCTCTGGCAGACGAAAGGTGACGGCCTCCTCGCGGCGGCGGAGGTGAATTGGCGCGCAGCGCGTGCGATTGAAGTCCGGGCAGCCATTTCAGCAGATTGTGTGTGAGTTGTGAAGCTTCAAGTTGCGGGCGCTGGAGAGGTGATAGCACGCGCCAAGACGTTGGTGGAGCTCCTCCGCGATTGCGGAAAGGTTGGCCGCATTCGAACACTTTTCGCGACGGAAGGCACGACGGCAGCAACACCACGGCGCAAACGAGGCAAGATGCTGTATGAGATGATCGGAGTGGTAAGAGGAGTGTCGCATTGATCACAAGAGTATGTGCTAACAAGTGCAGGTACGGCCTGGCCGCCTCTCTGAAGTTAAAGAGTAAATTCGCCCTCCACCATCCCCAGCCAGACACTGACCCGATATGCCCCAGAATCGCCAAAACCGCCGGAAAGATTGTCCTCGATCAACAAGGCGTAGTCCGTGGCGTCTCCAACTGGGGCACCTTCCTCCTCCCCAAGCCAGCGAAGAAGCTGCAAACCACACACCACTACGGCCACCACTTCATCATGCGCTTCGATGCGAGTGCCCGCGCGCAGCACGCTTTACGGCGAACCATGAGTTTGGACCCTCGGTTGATAAGATACAGTGTCGTGAAGATGGGCACCAAGTTCGAGGAGATCAAGGATGTGCCGGGAACAGCCAACTTCAGGTGATGGCATTATGAGCGTTGAACAGAAGAGAGGGATGGTCTACAATGACGGAATGTATCATATGATGTACATGGGTCTCTATCATTATACAGGCTGCATTGCATACGGCGTTTGGGTTATCTGAGGGACGCTATGTCGGTTGAGGTGCGTTGGCACGCACAGGCAAATCAATTGTTCAAAGGACACTTCCTGGGTCAATCTTCGTGCTTCTTGCACTTGCACGCATCGCCAAAGAGACAACGTAGTGCTCTGGGTATTGGGTTTGCTGAGCCTATTGACGATCCTTGTCTCGATCGCGGCTCATGGTCGAGCTGCTCTCGCTACCGCTTCCTCTTGGCGGAATGTGCGGGTCCATGGTTCGTTCCTTCGCTAGTTATCCATCATCACTCAACCACTCCATCAGAACACTCAATCTATCCCGCAACCCGTCACCACTTACAACATTGCCATGATGGGGTTTTTCGATCTGCCCCAAGAGTTACGAGATGAGATTTATACCTACTATGCTGCCCAGGATGGCGGCTATCTCTACAATCAGCGCACGCGCAGGCTATGCACAGCCAACGGCGATCCAATTGATCTCTCATTCATGCAAACCTGCAGTCGGGTAGCCCACGAGTTGAGACCGGTCATCTTCCAAACGAATACCGTCACTTTCCGGACGGGATGGGTCGACCGTGAGACGAGCGACAGAGCCGCGTCCTTTGCAACTGCTCTGGAATGGATCTATACGAAGTCCGCCTACCAACTATACAGGGTTCGTAAAAACATCACCGACGATATGATTGAGCGTGCCGGAGTGAACTTTCCCCAATGTCTCCCGCTGCTTTACCGCCTTCGCGGAGGTCATGCTAGGATTGCACCGACCCCTTTGCAAATGGTGCATGACTGGAGACTCTGGTGTCATTCACCTTCAACTCATCGTAGATTCATCAAGTTCATGCTGGCCCTGGGAAAGGGGACAAAGAGGTGGTGGGAGTTTTGGAAAGATGACGAGGTTCTCGGGCAGCGGCCTGAACAACCGAATGTCGCATCACTGCTCGTTGGGATCCCTGACCCTTGGATGATACCCAACGCAGCAGATATCGCCTCGCTGAAAGAACAATGCATCTGCTGGAGTTCGCCAAAGAGATACAGTCCCATGTATGACGACGGTCCCACCAAACGCTACTTTTCCGCAGCTGCGCTTGCCATACAATTTCTCAATGGTCTGGACCCGAGCATTCTATCCGCTATCCGCAATGTTGTGCTTGATGAAGTCCATGCCAGTGTAGCAAATCCGGAGTGCCATGGCCTGGGTCTGGTTAGCATTATGGAACAGTGTCCCCGCATCAGTATTAGTCGCCAAGTGGATACAAAGACTACCGCCATCACCGGCAACGTCGGTCAGCCCTATTTCGGGCAACTTGTAGATCGCTACAAAGATGGGCAAACCTGGGACATCGACGGAAAGATAGACCGAGTGCGCGTCTCTCAGGCCTTCGCGCGGTGGTTCGAGGAAGCCGTTGCTCTCTCATCGAAATTGTCTCCCGATCGCTTTTCTCTGACCTTTCACTCCAGGAACACGGCAAGTACACTCGCTCTCCTAGAGCAAATGCTCGAGGATGCCAAGTGGCAAAGAGCACTCGAACCGCTCGCTGCGCGTCCTATAAGCCCGCTTAGTCTCATGGATAGTTGCTGCTTCTTCTCCGAATCATTTGCACACGTCATGCGAGAGATACAACAACGCGGAGGCAATGTCCGTTTCGACATAGGCAACTTGAGCGCCTGTGATAGTAGTACGCCAATCCCAGTCGACCAGGAAAGCACGCCGGCCCAAACAGGAGGGCATTGGATTGCAAAATTTCAGGGTACGTATATCGAGCCATTGCCGTATTGCGGCCGCAAGGACTTACTACAGGAATACACGGAGGACGAGGTGCAAGACTAAGAATTGCGCATCACCTGCCATTTTACTAGCTACGGGCGGAACGCGCTGTGCTGACGCGTGCACGAACGCGGAACCCTGAGACCCCGCGTGAGCACGTGATTGGTGCCTGATGCTGGCGCCGCTAGTGGTCCATGACCATTGCGGCCTCCACCGTTCTGCAATCATACCCCACCGACTCTTGCATCGTAGGGAAGCTATCTAGCTACATTGTCGCCATGCAGATCGCCCAAGTCGAAGTGCCCGCCGAGGTTGTCGGGATCATTGCACATCATCTATTCTGCCTCGAAGGTATGCAGGGAACGTGGAAGCTGCGTCTCGTTTGCACCACTTTTGCGAGCGCAATAAAAGACGACATACTTCTTTACCAGACGGAAGAACTACGGTATGCGAATGGGCGCTGGTGTGGTAGCATTATGTCGCATTTAATGCCAGAATGGCTCTACTACCGAGTCAAGAAGCCTGTCGACAGCATGAGCAGCTTGTCGGTACGTACATCTAGCGCTATTGCGTGGGACTTTTCACTCATTCTTTTACTATTCCCATTACTAGGCCAACATCTTGGACATACACTCATACATTTGTCAAGAGCTGGACATTGCCAAAGCCAAGAAGGAGAAGAAGCTTCTCGATGTATGCGCCGCAATGGCAAAAACGATAACTTTCCCTGACCTCTCCCACGCTATACGGTACCCATATTCTACAGAGAGCTATTGTGATTTGCATCATCAATGGTGCGAAACCGCTTTTTATTCAGGGCTCACATCCGAGGAGAGGGTTGCCGCGGCAACAGCACTTGGTGACTACGAGATGTGCGAAGATCTACTACCACAACTCGGAGAACACGACATGGCGGTTCGACATATGAGTCCGCTTCTTGCAGTAGTGGTAACAGACGATCAAGACACCCTACAACTGATCTTGGATCATGCAAAGCGCCGGCAGGGAAAGAGTACTCTTGAGAGTCTCTACATACCTTATGCTTTCAGGCTTGCGATACACCAACACTCTGCCGGTATTGTCGGTCGACTGACAGAGTTTCTGAAGAGGTCGTACCACGATCACAAATGTGTAAGGGATGTGTACGTGCAGAGTCTGCGAGAAGCCATGAAATTCATCCAGCCTCCGAACGCAGAGGTAGTACGCCAGATAGTGCTACACGCTCCATATGGATCGAGTGTCAGCGCAGACGTCTTCCTCTATGCTTGCAAGACCCATAGCCTAGATATTATCAAAGCCCTGTTATCGGAAGGACAAGTAGATGTCAACAAGGGTTCCGCACAGACGCTGCCACTCCATGTCGCTATCAAGACCTCAGACGACGACACTGCCATTATCGGAGCAGTTCTTGACGCTGGCGCCGACATCAACAAGACGGACTACTCGACTACCAAGTCGAGAAAGTACTGCGGGGTACCAGCACAGAACCAGAGTCCGCTGGAGTTCGCCGCCACTCAGTCGATGGCTGCGGTCAAATACTTGCTTCAGCGAGGCGCTGTTGTGCGTCACGTCGACCTTTGGTACACGATATCGGAAGAAGAGCCATACAACGCTTTGCGGGATGCCAGGATGAAGCAGGGTCGAGATAAGGTCCCGACGTTCATAGAGAGTCAGAACAGAATGGAGCAGGATGAGGAGGCATATCTGCAGAGCGAGGAGGATAAGCTTGAGAAGTTGCGAAGAAAGCATTGGATTTGATGTGTTTGCCGGTAAGCCGGGCAGGAAATCTACATGCGTTTACCTGCGTTCCTGCGTCTCGAGTACGATAGGCTTTCTACCTTTACCTGGCCATGTTGTCACCCCTTTTCTAAGTATTTGCATCAAACCAGAATAGTGAAATTATCGTTACATTTCTTTCCATACAACGTGAAGCAATTCGTGGACACATCTGACAAAGGGAAGTAGCATCGAGTCTTACTGTGATGCCAGCACAATATGGCGTTCGATGAATACAACTAATCATGTAGAGGCTAAACGAGTGTATCTAGTTGGTAAGGTTTCAAGCAGGAAAAGACACTCATCCTATCATCGTCGCCAAAGCCCTAGCATGTGAACAACCTAAGGGCTAGTTCATTCCATCTTCACTATGATTCAGATTGTCGCCCCATATCCCGACGCCCCATATGCCTATTACTCTCACGAAGAGCGTTCTGATACCAATCACGCTCAGTGCCGGTAAAGCGTCGTATCGGCACTGCGCAGCTACTTTGCAGCCTCACCAAGAACCTCCGCTGAATCTGCAGCCTCAATGTCGTCCTCGTAGGCGCTGGCTTTGACTTTGTTGAAATTGTTATCAAACACAGCCGCAGCCGCAGCAGCAGCATCGGCGCGTCTACCAAGCACTTCTGCTGAATCTGCAGCCTTAATTTCGTCCTGGTAGGCACTGGACTTGACACCGTTGAAGTTGTTATCAAACACCGCCTCGACAGTGTTGGCTCGCCTGCCAAGCACATCGGCCTGACTAGCAGCCTCAATGTCGTCCTGGTAGGCACTGGACTTGACACCGTTGAAGTTGTTATCAAACACCGCCTCGACAGTGTTGGCTCGCCTGCCAAGCACATCGGCCTGACTAGCAGCCTCAATGTCGTCCTGGTAGGCGCTGGACTTGACATTGAAGTTGCCATTGAATAGCGCTTCAGTAGCATCAACTCGTTTGCCAAGCACATCTCCCGAGCTCGCAGCGTTGACATCGTCCTGATAAGCGCTGCCATCACCAGAGACTAGATCCAAGTATCAGCCATCAATTTTCATATGATGTACAGTGCCGACTTACTGATTGTAAAGGCTTGAGCAGCGGCCCCAGCATTCGGGGTTGGCAAGGCCAACGCCATGCCTGAGAAGGCGATCAGCGCAAGCATGGAGGATTTGAATGGTGCCATTGCTTTTAGCAGGTAGAGGTGAAGATGGAAAGATGATTTGATCTTGATCTGGTGGTGATGAGGATTGATAGTCGGTGGATCGAAAGTCAGACAGTGGGACGCTCCAGATTTTATACTCTTGAAGGGTGCGGAGTTCGAAGTAAAGGTATGGTTACAGGCCTAGTTCAACAAATGCGTAGCCTGAATGATACAAGGATGACGAGCATGGTCCAGCAGATGGCATTGTACCTAGACAAGCCATAGGCTTCACAGCGAGCTGCACAAAGGTTACGCACTGAGCTCAGCACTAACGAGTGTGCCAGGATGTCGGTAGTTAGCTGGCTAAGGATTTGTGGAAAGTCTTAGCAATGCTTGTTCACATGAACTGCTGCATATCGCCTTGGCCGCATGTGAAGCATGCGGGTGGCTTCTGCGAGATATTCATGTTGTGTCACCCATTTTACCTAGGTATAGAGGCATCAGTAGATTGCATGCTAGAGGAAGTCTGAAAGTGGAAATATTCCTTGACTGCCAATGTGTACTTCCAGAGAAGATGGTTTGCGCACCATCGGTACCTAGTGATGTCACACGAGACTGTAACTCGTGCACTTCAGTCTCACCTGGGCCCTTTTCAGTAGAAACAGATACCATTGCTGTAAGGCGCTACCAAAGCGGATCGTTAGTAAACCGAAGAAAGTGTTCTTTGAGGTCGTCCAAATCAATCCCCATTCGGAAAGTGCGGGGTGATCCGCTAGCAGTCCGCTCATGCAGGCACCCTGTCGATCTACGTTTTTCGGCGGTCAAACCTCAGGCCACGAATATTACGTTTTGTACAGCACCACGCAGATCTCTTTGTAAGTCTTACACACCAATGATTGATCATATCGCAATAATGTTCGGCGGTTAGATACCATCAGTTGCGCAACATATCGATCTTCTCTTTCGAGCATTCCAAGGTTATTAGTGGTCGAACCTCAAGCCATAGGTACATGACACCGAGTAATGAGGTGTCAGCCTCTGCATACGAGCACACCACAAAGGCCTTTGGATGTTACACAACATCAGCTGTGCGCTACATTCGTTATCATGCTTCCAAAAAGTATGACTCTCATGTACTCTGCTTTCGCTGATAGACGGAAAGTACTAGATTCAGCTGCTTATGTGAGATTGATATATTGTTTGGATCTTTCTCATTGACTATACACAGGGGCAAGAATGTATGCCTCCCATATACACAGGCAGGTGTGTCGGATTGTTCGCCTTGAATCAATTCTCCCATCTCGTTATGTCTACTTCCACAACATACAAGATGCTCAGTCCAAGCTTTTCCGAGATAGATGGCGAAGCATTGCCGTTTATCGAGGCCAAAGAGGAAGAGAGCACGACTCGCCCTCAGAGGAGACAGCAGAGCATAGCTTGTATTAACCCTTTGGTCGCTCTGCCCTGGCTGCTTGTAATCTTGTGCATTGGCTATATACTGGCTCAAGACGTACGATCACCTAGTGAGCTCGAATGTACAAGATTACTGAATCCATACTGTAAATGTCTACCATGTTCAGTACATATTCACGTCTGGACTAACTTCCAAAAGCCCCGTTGATCGAAGCCGGAGTCATTGAGTACTACGATGCCGACTTCGATAATGAGTTCGCTCACAAAACGGCGTATCGAGGACCACCGACAGTGCAATTGGAGAGCGCCTGGGACCGTCTTTGGCGACGTCAGTAAAAACTCATCGACCGACGTATGGAAGTGACTATGCAATACTGATCAGCTCCAGGCGGCTCAACGGAAGTTCCTACGGACCGCATTGGCAAACTAAATCGCTCGTCGTCGAAACTCGTCCACGCCGGCGGTGATCCATCTAGAGGCTATGTCGCTCTACTTGAGGTCTCACATGAACTTCACTGTCTCGTGAGTCACCGCACAAGATGCAAAAGCCACTTCATTCTACGAATCTAATCACTCGCACTCCGCAGAACATGATCAGGCAGTACACCTGGAAAGACTACTACCGCGAGCACGCAGAAGAATTTCTGAATAGCGAAATTGACCTCAATATCACCGATGCCAGGAATGTCGGTGATCGCATGCACGTCGACCACTGTTTCGAAACACTGCGGCTAGTGCTGATGTGCAACGCTGATGTGACGCCCTCGCTGATCATAAACAATACGAACAAGCCTCATGGCACGAAAGCAGATTTCAATACCTTCCACAAGTGCAGGAACTTTGACAGGATAGTGGACTGGCAAGAGAAGCATGATGCCGACTTGCATGAGGAGCATTAGGGCTTCGTGTCGGCCGAAAAAGTCTTTGGTGATGTGTCTGTTTAGTAGAGTGGGTTTGGTCCTAAAATAGCAGCTTTATAATGTAGGCAGAGAAATGAAGACGTTACTATCATGGTTGCAAAGTCGAGTGATACAGTTGACGATCATGCATGCAGGTCCAGCGCGCTAATCCCAGGGTCCAGGTCCAGATCTCCCCCACAAACGTCGTCATCCGTTCCGCCGACCTAAACAGTCCAACAACCCGGTTGCCTTGCCGCACGCGCGCATGTAGCCACGAAAGGCCACCTTTCAGCCCCTCGGTCTTCTGCTAACACACAATTTCGCCCTGTCCTTTCCCCCACAACATACACACAAGTCCCCGAATTCGCCAAACCTCGTACCAACTCGCGCAAAAGACGCAGAAAAGGATGGAGAAACTCAAGGAAGCCGAGACAGTTGCAGCGCAACGCCTGCGCAAAACATTCAAGTACCCGTCCGAATCCGACGATGAAGATACCGTAGAAGCGGGTATGGATGAACAAGGTACCCTTCGCTCTCCTCCATGCCTAATCCCCGCCTTGCTGACAGAACTACACAGACCGCGCAGCCCTCCTCCAGACCCTCAGCACACACGACACATCCACGACGCACACATATACGCTCTTCCTCCTTGCGCTACCCTTACTCCCCACACTCCTTTACATCCCGCGGCTCTTCGCCCTGTCCACCCTCCCGACCAGTCTAGTCGCTATCGCGAGTCTGCTAGCAACAGCGTATACGTTGTATTTCCTGCCGCTACCGCCGACGCAAATGGAGCCAATCGACGGCGTAGATGTCACGCCCTCAACACTCCAACAACCATCGAAAGGGAAAGGGCAGGCTAAGAAACTAGTAGGTGGATATGGAATCTACAACAAGACACCCGCGTGGGAACAACCAACTGAAAAGAGTGTAAGGCGGCCTGTACCTTACATCTCGGAAAAGGCGGCGGATAAGATAGCGGACTCTGTTGTGCCTGTCAACAGGGCCGTATGTGGGCTATTGGCGTTGTATGAGGTCTGGCAGGCGCGTGGCTGGGGTGAAGGGCTCATGGTGGGAGGCGGCTTTTTGCCGGGTGTAATATGCATGATCATCCTGTGGGCGAGGACGGAGTTGAGGATTATTGACATGGATGCGTTGGAGAAGATGAACAAGGGTGCTGCACAGGGGAAAGTAAATTGAGTATGGGTAGGCTGCGAGTTCTGGAGTTGAATCATGGGACGGTCACGACTTAAGATACCCATCAGGAATGCATAATCAGTCTTCTAGCTATAATAACGGTATCATTAGGTTGTATGTATTGGTGAAGGAATATGTCCGTGATCAATGTCATGTCGTGTCGAATGAAAAAGTCCAACGCTGCGCTGTACTATGCTGAGCTGTACCAAAGATGCCAAACCAACGCCGCGCTCGCTGAAAGTTACAGATTCCAAATTTCTCTTTTTGTGTAGCCAGCACTAGACGTGTCATGGGCTAGCCTTTAGGACTTCAATATCCAAGTCGATGTCTATACGTGTAATATCCTCGAAGAGGTCTGAAGCCGATGGAAGAGGTTCCTAACCACGCTTCCAGAACTGGTACTTTTTCTTTTGTGGCTTTTCGTTGGTTTCGCCGACGACCATGTTGCTGTCCCTGATGCCGCCTGCCTCTGTGCCAGCAGCGTCCATGTGGTACGCCTTTTCGTTTCCTCTCTTCTTGCCCTTCTTGACATCTCTCCTTGATGCGCAGCAGCAGCAAAGCCCCATCTGTACGAGCCAGGCAAAGATGGCGAAAGCACTTGCTACCCACATGAAGGCGAAGAGGGTGGTGCCTATCTCAGCCGATATGTTTAGCTCAGCCACACCACCGATAGTGTTGCGGAAGATGATGAACATGACGGTTGCGATGACCGAGGCGACGGTTACGAAGAGGGCATTGAGGAAGGCGAGGATTGCGACGACGAGGGTAAGCCAGCGTGTGTAGATGGAGATGGGCATGACGAAGATGAGGACGAAGGACAAGACTGTTGCGGTGAGGAAGAGACCGAACATCCAGTTGGAGACAAGATGAATAAGGTCGAGAATGTCGTTGATGTCGGCGGGAAGGTTGACTGTAGACATGCATGTTAGCTACTCTATTTCCAATGCATATTATCTAGAACTTGGAGCCGCAAGGCAACTTACTCGACGCTCCAGCAAGAAGCTCATTGCGCAGGATTTGCACAGGGTTGAACCAGTACAGCGTCTTTGGCTCACTACAGAATGTCACGCCCTCGCCCGCGTACCCCTCGCAGAAACCCCATAGCCCAACTTGATAGAAATCATGCAGTCCCAGCGTTTGCGCGATAGTGTTGATAAGAGCGAAATTCGGTACGCTGGCAGGCACGATATGGCTCAAGTCGAGGCGGATAAAGTACCAATCCCTAATAACGGCCTTGTTGCGTACACCGGAGATGTTGACAAGGATCAGGAAGATGAGTGTGATGAAGAGGAAGAAGGATGTGATCAGCGCCCATATTTTGCGTGTGCGAGTTGCGCGCTTGATTTGTTCTTTGCTGAGTTCAGGGACGACAGTCGCTGGGGCCGTTTGCGTGACGGCGGTGTCGTCCGACTTGCGGCGGCGCGAGAAGATGCCCATGATAAACGACTCGGAGACTTCCAGGCGTTGAAAGGGAGAAGAAGCAAGGCGTGCTGCAGCGGAGGATTGTGAGAGAAGAAAGTGAATAAGCAACGACAAGGCCTCAGACGAACGACGTAGAGAGCGAAGATCCGAAACGTTTCGTCGATTGAATATCCAGGCCAAGAATGCCTTGAATCCGGGGCAACGCAATCTCCTACGCGCGTGCAGCAGCAGCAGTCGTGTATTTTATGGAGCCTGGTCGAAGATCGCAAGCTATGACGTATAGGACCCCTAACAGCAAAACTAGACACCGCAAGAAGGCGCTGGCGACGCGGCGCCCTTCTCACCAACGACACACATCGGCACTAGGCCACGCGCCTAAGACAGCAGAGGGCAAATCATCGGTCTGGAAATTGCGCGCGACTGAAGCACCGGCGTGGCGCACGTTTGCTATGAGCATGGTCTGGCCGGTACGCGCGTGCGTGGCTGGTCATGACGTTGCGCTGGGCACTGTTTACTGGTGATCTTTGGGGGTGGAGTTCACTACTGTGTGGCTGTGCTTGGTCGGCACTGGTGTGGTAAAAATGGAGGACAATGTATGCAAGAGTGAGATTTTCGCGGGTAATAGAGGAGCGGAGTTGATGATCTACGTGGATAATTCTCTCGATGATGGCGCAGGCGGATGCGGAAGGATGCGAAATTGCGCTAGGCTTCGGATCTGCGCGGCCAGACAGCAGAGGGGCATCGCGGAAACCACACTATTGCATAGCTCGACGTTGAGGCTCCTTGCTAGACAAACACGTGTTCAGGCGGCTAACATCACTAGTTGTGTCTACTGCATAACATCACGCGTGGCCGGTCCAATATGCTTGAAGTAATGTCTTTTCTTTCCATTCCTCTATGTGCTCCGCTAGATATTCCACAATCACTCAAGCCCCCACGGTCTCCAAACCACCAAGCTGCCCTCTACGTCTCAACTTCGCCATTTCGCAGCAACGTAGAAGAAAAAAAAATTAGACATTGGTAAACGCCAGCCCATCGCTAAACCGCCCTAAAAACGAGTAATCTGCCGGTCGTTCGTTGCACAACCGCGATGGAGAAAAATAGGAAAGCGTACTAGACAGAGCGTCTGTACAGGTTGTTGCTGTGATGTGAAGATGGAGAGTAGCCAACGCGCGCTGTGTCTATGCCACGATACCAAGGAAATCATCAGGGCCGCTGAAAAGCAGTGTATGGAGAACAAGTTGACATGATATGAGCTTTTAATGTTCGGTCGAGTGTGCGGAAAGCTCAGCCAGCGAGCCGGTATGTCTGTCGTCAAAGATGTGTGCTGAGGAAATCGCGACTAGCTTAGGCGCCCTCTACCATGTTCATCCTGGGTTTTAATTGCACCATGAAGTCATCCTTGGTACCCAGAACCTCCCTTGGTATCCTGCTGACACGGTTGGCTCCGCTGCGAACAGCAAATCGGCCAACTGCCGAGATGCCGGAGTGATTTGATCGGATTGAGCCAGCATCTGAGGCACCACCGCCAGCAGGGTCACGTATACGAGCAGGCGGTGCGAAGTCGAGTGCAGTGAAGGTACCCGACTTGCGCATCAGGTAGGGACTGGGTAGCGCAGGCAGTTCGTCGTAGGATCCGACGAGGGGTGTGTGTGGTCGCACGGCCGGGCTGTACGGCCTGGGAGCTCCAAGAGGGCTGTCAGGTCGTACGCCATTTTGCCTCTCGCGGAACGAGACTGGCGGTGCGAAGTCAGCGGCGTCGAAGACCATGGAGTTTTCGGTAAGCTTGGCGGGTGTTGGGAGAGAAGACAAAGCGGATGGAGGAGGCAGCGGCTTCTTCATTGGCGCAGGCAAGCGTCCGCTCATCGAAGACATGCCACGAGGGGGTGGATATTGTGAGGAAGCCATGGAGCTGTTTGACATGTGCGGGCCACGGGGACCAGTGGCAGTGTTGCTTCGGAACCGGGGAGGAGCACGCGGGGGAGGAGTCATGGCACGACGAGTGATGGGCTCAGCGAAAGGAGCGTTCGGCTGAGCGACAACGAAGGCACCGGTGCGAGGGTCGAAGACAGTGCCGTCTTGGTACTCCGAGCCGTAGTCTTCAACGTAATCGGTGTATTGGTGGCCGCCAGCAGGCTCAGGCTTCGAGTCGTCAAAGTATTCCTTGTAGAAAGATCGGATACGGTTGGCGCGCTCCTCGGGGTTCTCCTGAGGGTCATCGGAAGGCATGGGGCGGAGGCTCATGGACAGACGGTTGGAGCTGTGGCCGAAATCGTCCACTCCAAGACCAACGTTCTGGGGACCAGTCGAGTAGCGAGGCTTAGGGGCAACTATCTTGGGTCCCTCGCTTTCCTTGGGAGATGGCGGTGTGATTTGGAAACCATCTCCGTAGCTCGAAGTGCTGATGATGCTGTGCGTGTTGGTGTTTTCTAATACAACAGCTTGGGACTGAACGCGTGGCAATGTGGGGATGTCGTTGGTGGTCTGGACAGGTGACTTGCTGACTTGCTTCTCGGTGACACCAGGCTCAGGAATGGAGATGGTGGGAACGTCGGTGGGTTTGAAGGCGGCGTATTGGGTGCTGGGCTCACTGGAAGGCGAGGTGACTGACGGAGGCGAAATGGGAGAAGATTTTTCTTCAAATCGTGGGTTCAAAGGACTGAGAGGAATACCAGCCTCAGGGAACTTGCTGTCTGGAGACCGCGAACCGTCAGGGGATAGAGACTCGCCGCGGATGGGGTGCGAGGTAGACATCCTCTGTGCATTTTGAAGAAGGCCAGCCTGAAGACCCCCCTTCTTTGTTCCTGCGCTTGAAGTGGTGTACATAGATCTAGCGTCGTTTCCATATGGGCCGCGGCTTGCGCTACGGATACTCTGGTCGTCCTTCAGATAGGCTACGGGGCCGTAGGGGTCGTGAGGATCGTGTTGTGAACGCGATAGCGAGTGAAATGACTCCCGCGAGCCATGTAGGCCGACAGGCAGAATGTACGGGCTTCCAGTCTCGATCGAGAGACCTCGGTCGTGGCCTCCTGGGATTTCCTTCTCCGACACGCTCATCTCAGGACCTCCCTTCTTGCCGGGCTTGGTGACACCCTCCATGCCCCAGTCGTGCGACTTGTACTTGTCTTTCGAGTCTTCCTCAGCGAGCTTCCTCTTGTTCCTGCGATGTAAGAAGAATAGGACAATCGTGACACCGACGACAGGTACTCTACATGCCATTAGCGCATTCACAGCTGGACAGAAAGACAACTCACATGATAGCCAGTGCGATGGCAATAGTGGGTACTTGGGTTGGCTTGGTGCAGCCAGGATCGCTATCGTTGGTACATGTTGCGCTGGCGCGGGCCACCAGTACGCGTGTGGCTCTTTCAGCCATGTGAAGTGTCTGGCTTGCACTGCTGGGAGAGCCAACGTGGATGTCGCGATGCACATGGTGCATGTGTTGGTGATGTGAGTGCGGCATGGCTCTAGGACCGATGTCGCATATGAGGTCGCAATCGATAGAGCTAGTAATGGATCCCGGGAAGCTCGTCCTTGGTATTGTCGACGTGACGCTACGGTGCAGGTATTAACAACGTGAAGTCGTAACTCAGTCGTGACAGCTAGTCGGCAGAATAGTATATGCGAAACTCGTTCCGGGGTAGTCGAGGAGTGAGCGGACGGCAATAGCCAAGGTGAGCAACACAAGCAAACAAACTTCGGCCCAAAAAAGAATGACTGGGGTAAGATACGATAGAGCTGCGAAGGTTGTTGGTGGTGGTTGCAAAAAGAGCGACAGGCCCACGGAGAGGTGAGTTGAAGGAAAGAAGACGGATGGGCGCGAAAGGTAGATGAGGCGCCGCACAGGAGCCTGATCTCCGGTTCTGGCTGACAGGCCTCCTGATTGGGCAGACGTCTCAAGCCTTGCACGGGTCAGGCCTGTTACGCCGAAGCAGAGAGTGAAGGGCCCGCGTTCGCCCTTGGACGCAGCCACATGTTTGACCTTGAGCCGGGCCGCTGATTGCATTCCACGCCCTCGCCCACCGCCAGCTGCGTCCCGACGTCTTCACTGCTATCGTGTCTCTCTGCATGCAATCGATAGAGCTATCGTCGTATTTTCCCAGCTGCACATCCACCCGTCGCGCTGCACCCGAAGCCCCTACTGACCTGCAGCTTCAGGAGGCAGCTAGGCCGCACCGTTTATTTTGGATCACGCCCCATGCGGAGCCGCTAGCCGTAATGGGCGTCGCTACTGCAGGAACCCTTTCGTGAACTTCCGTCATTCGTCAGTTCCTCTTCAACAACAGATTGTCGACCAGGGCTCCCGTTGTGAGCTCCAGACCATACGACCGCTCAGAAGCGCCCTGGGCCCCTGAACCATACTATGTAGACGCGAACGCCCGTCTCTCCACGCTGCAGTGTCGTGCTACGTTCCCTGAGGCACAACCGCTCAGCGATCTTTTTTTCGCAGCATAGCCACTCTCGTCCTCTGGTCGCCCAGGGCCCGCAAAAACACAATCCTCCCCCTTTCCGATGCTGTGGAGCTCAAGCTGGTCCAGAACAAACCCGCTCCACGCTCTCTTCATTTCCCGATCCCGCAGAGGCCGAGCGTCGGTTGTGCACGACCTGCGACGGCCTTGCGTTCTGCATGTAGGCTACCCCGAGCCCGCTTCCGCTTAACGACCGTCATTTATTGAGATTGTGCTATTCACCCGTCATATTTGTTCTGCTCCCCTTTTGACATGTGAAACTCTTCGCAGCCTTATGAAACTCATAGGCATTGAATGCGCAGACTGTGGTTGCAGTCGTGCATCGCTTTTTGTACGACGACTGTTGAGGCACGAAGGAACAGCCAAATCTGCCTCACCGCCACGATCATCGCACTACGAGACCCCTTCATCACTAAGGAAATTACCCGTCTTTCGCCATCGGAATCGCCATCAAAATCGGCTTCTGGTGTTTGATGAGCGCATGGTTACCGGCATAATGTCTAGGCCTTTACTGCAGCCTTATGTATACGCTTTGTTATCAGGAGATTACTCCATGTGATGTCATTTTGGACGACAGTGCACTTGAGTCATTCATGGTTGACTTTCAGTTTTGAGCCTACTTGTTAGTCAAAGAGTATATTCTCCTTGCGCACGCACACATCGAGAACGACTCTTTGCGAATCTTGAATCATAGATCGGTTGACGGTGGTGTGAACTGTAACCCTAAGCGCCAGAAAGTGGTTTGTACGGCAAGTGTCACATCTCAGACCTCGTGGCGGGCGACCTTCACCTTTCCATGCATCCTGAGATCTACCTATTCCCGGTGGAGTATCTCGTTCTTCCATGTGCGTCCTGTTTTGATGGTAGTAGACTCGAGTCCAGCTAGTTTCCTTTTCCAGTCTCCCGCATACAAATACATATACTATGTAACAATCTGGAGACTGGAGTTTCCCGATGCTCTCGACCTAGGATGGATCGTGACGTTTGGAAAGCAGCCCTCAAGACATGTATCCCCTATGACTCGAGTGTCGGACATATGGACGAGCAACGCCTACAGCCGTAGAAAATTCATATCCTTTCCAGTCCGAGACGAAACAAAGGTAGGCTAGTACATCGGAAAGCGACCAGTGCTGGTATGCCAGTTTCCAGTGATTTCAAAAACTCCATGTTATGGGATCTTCTGTAGGCTGAGGTACACACAGGCCGGAGTCGCACGGTACTCATGAATCTAGAAATACTAGGATGATATCAAGATCGATTTATTCGGGCGTGTGCATTCTGGATTCCATGCAAAGGTTGATTCAATGAAGAATGCTTATTTGTAAGCGAGTCCGTGGATTGCCTCGATAAGCAGGCCTTAGAACCTATGGGGTACGAAAGGACTAGGATACCAGATGCCTTTCCCGCGCATTAAGCGCGCAGTTCTTGAGATAATGAGTAGGGGGTTCTGTGGTATTGGTATTGAGTGTTTCGAAGGAGATGTATTCGCATCATACGCTGCTGGGCGTTCTTTTCCTTGTCGAAACTTTTGACTGGGTCATATCGTAGGCGCCCATGTTCAGCAGAAGTCCAGCGGTGACTGAGATCGGTTGCACAGCGTCTGTGTAGAAGTTGTGGGATGCCTGGAAAGTGAGCCAATGTCTGCTGGATATTGGAAGCGACCCCGTTTGAAGAAGTAGTCAAAGCCAACTCGGTTACAATTTGGTTTCTAGTATGTCATGACTGTATCAATTTAGCATGTATGCTCGAGCAGGTGTGATGCATCCTCTGGTGATGCAGTAGCATTTTTGGTGTTGATTACACGAGCAAACTCCGTCTCGTGAAGTGCGACGCAGTTACTTCCTGCTCATCCGTACACGGATGAGATCATGCTCGCAAAGTCTTCGAAGCCGTCAAAGGATGCTCCGACACAACAATCGATCTGTCCAGGTTCTTGGATGTGGCGTGCACGACTGTCAGATAGTTCGAAAGAGGTGGGCGTCCTCGTGAGTCAAACCGCATGCTCTGGTTAGCGCTAATGATGTCCGCGGACGGATGGTGAAGGGTCCCTCATGACGAAAAAGAAAACATAGCACAGCGAGCCGTGCAGCTGTATATATGCAGCGTGACCTGGGTAAGGATGCACGACGTGGGCCGGCAAGTGTGCGGCAATACAGCGTTAGCGATGGAAGCCGACAGAAGCGATCGTGGGGACAGAACGTGGCTGGCCAGGAGCGGGAAGCACCGAGGAAGCACCGATCCACCATGACGCATTGGCCATCCTCTTCTCACGAGACAAATCACCGTTGAACAACAAAGACGTACATGCAACACGACATTCACCTGTTACCGACTCGCTGCTCACCCTTCACACCCTCTTGCTACTTTCTTTGATTACAATTACCACCACTTCGCTCAAGCTCTGACGTTGGATCCCGAGAAGGGCTTATCCCCAGCCCTGCAACTCGCGATTCCCTTTGGTCCCTGCGCTGCGTAGCTACGCCCCACTGCCACCCCAACTTCTTAAGGGTCCGATCTCCCTACACAAGCCGCACCTGCAACATGTCGCACTTCAGCAATATGGCCGCCCCTCACACGCTATCTCCTAGGAGTGCTACACCAAACTCTGGGAGCCGAACCATAGAAGTTCGACCCCAGCCCGTATTGCGTCTGTCAGCACCTTCCGGTGTGCTTCGTCTACGCGCAGAGCCATCAGAACGTCGACACATTCAATGGGCCGAAGACGTGGTCGATAACGAAGGCATGGGCAAGAAATCTTCCAAAGGTACGATGATCCGGTTCGCGCGATGCTGTTATGGCAAGGACTAACAAACTCGAAGTTTGCTGCATCTACCACAAACCCCGCGCCGCTGACGAGTCTTCTGACGACGACTCCTCGGACTCATCGTCAGACTCAGATTCCGACTCCGAGCCCGACAATAGTACTGCAAGGCCTGCTGGGCGGATGGGCGGAGCGCGCGGTAGACGGCCACATCAACATGCTCATAACGATTGTGAGGACGTCCACGATCACGGCGAGGGTTCTAGTACCCCGCAAAAGCACAAGCGCCAACGGAGGAAGCCAAGCCCAAATGCCTACGAGAAGATGCCGAAGCAGAAGAAGTAAGCTGTGCTCTAGCTGGTAAACTTCCGGTGTCCACTGGGGGTTAGTCAGTACGACTTGAAAACGATTTTCATTGCTTGGAGTTACGGGTGTCCATGTGGCACGTCATGATTTGGACTGCGTCATTGCATAGCGCTGGGATGGACTTGAATAGTCCGCAAATCGTCGCCTTGTGTGGCTGGACGTGAGACATTAGATGCAGATGAGCATTATCTTATAGCATTAGAATTGCACAGGCTAGGCTGGAAGCCTCAATCCCTACCAAACGTCTCCTCATCCTCCTTGTCTCTGATTGGTACAGTTTTCACCGTTCTTCCATGTACACGCTGTTCTGCAGTTGTATAATCAATTGCAGATGACAACAGGTTCGACTGCATTGGCGAGACATCTTTGCTCGCGATGTTTTGCGGAACAAAGTGAACGAAATGCACGTGTAGCCGATCGCGCGCCAATCGTCACTCTTGTCGTCCGCCCGAACTGAAGTGTCAAGCGGTGCGAAATTTCGATCCGAAGATAATGCATGTGCGAGACCCGCTCAGTCCTCCGCAGTCGCTGCATTCGCCTGTTCTATGACCGCCGGCGCGTGTTGTGTAGGAATGCGGACAAGCGTCTGGGGCAACGGTGGTCCATCTTCTGCCTTCTTTTCCGTCTCATCCTCGTCTTTCGGTTTTGGAAGTTTTGCTTTTACGGATTAGTGCTTGCTGGACTTGTGAGAATGGAGAACATACTCGACGCCATGTTTATAGCTCTTAGCACGTTATGCCAGTTTGATAGCACTGCTGCGACCGCTGATCAACCGCAACGTTAGTATGATGTTCCTATTATGCCGGCTGCGAGACCTATCGATCCAACTTTCTGCGTGCAACGCCCGACATACCTTCTGTTCCATCTGACAATGTCGATAGCTTATCAGCGAGCATCTGCATCTGGTCTGCAAGCCCTCCGCTTAGTGCTTGCAGGTCCTTTAAGTTGGCTAATTCGGCTTTCTTTTCTGCAATGCGCGCGAGCAATACGGGGGATTGTTGCTGGGACCCGCCCATGGACTGGTTGCGGAGATGTGAGGGAAGAGGCCGCGTGAAGTTTGACATATTTCTTAATCGATCAACATTCAGTTGACGGTGTCAGATAAGTAGCTGGCGAAGTCGAGGTCGGAAGTAGTAGGGTGTTTTTGCTCGTGTGGATGCGTTGGCAGGAGGGACTCCTTCCCCGGGGGTACACGTGAAAACTGATGTGTTAAGCTTCTTCGAGTTTTACTATTGTGAGATACGTGTGTTACCACCATATTCGATGTTGCCCTACTGCATCGGTGCACGCATTCGTACCCCTCTCGTCACGTGGACGCGCTCTTGGCGCTAGCCTGTCTGAACTTAGCTTTGTTGCTATGTAAACATGCAATGACGAACACAGAAGGAACACCTACCGACGCCCTAGAGTATCAACGCCACGACAACCGCGCAACCGTCTGCAACACTATAATTAATCTCGACATACCTATCTGCGCATATGGCGCGTCTCAACGAGCCGCCGATTGCACCCCAGCCGTCGGCGGAATCCATCGAAGCCCTCAAACGACGCTTTCTGAGGCAAAACCGCGAACTCGCGAAGACGAATTCGATCCAATCTATCCGCATTCGCAGCCTCGAAACCGACTGTTCGCGACTTCTTGCCGAGAATTTGGCATTGCGCGAGCAAGTCTTAAATCTCCACAACACGATTGAGTCGCGTCCGGTACTCGACCAATTTGATGTTGTCAAAACACAGCTTGAGGCCAAGCTATCAGAGCTCAGCAGCCTAGTAGCTGGCCTATCGCAAACAAGAAGCGGAGGTGGGAAAGACAGAGGAAGACGGAAAAGCCAGATGACAGCGAAGAGGAAGAGCGGAGAAGAGCGGCAATGGAGGAGTGGACTGGGTCTTCAGGAGGTTGAGAACGCCATGCTGCCTACTATCACGGAAGACAAATACTATCCTCGCAGGACAATGGGGTACGTCTGGATCGCGTTCCAAGTAGTGACACGTACAGACGCGCATGAAACTAACTTCTTGTAGTGCGGACGAGCTTCAGCAGACCTTAGAAGATCCAGACAGTCAATCCCCTGACATTGGCCCTCCACCAGTTGCCCGATTCGAAGACGAAGATCCCATCGGTTTCGACCCCAGCCCCGCGATAGAAGAACAGCGAGAAGAAGCTGCAGACGATGGTGAACCTGCATTATCGGTGAACCTCGAGACGCGTAAGAAGCGACGCGAGAGCGGGCCCAAGCTCAATATACGTCGTGTATCTCTCTTCGAATCACCGGAAGAGACTGAAGAACCAGTCGCGAAGCCTCTGCGCACTGGGGCCAAGCGGAAGTTCAGCGTTCAAGAGGATGAGGAAGTGAACCAAGCCAAGAGTGATGCTTTCAGGTTCAGCCGCCGGAATGCCCCAGGTGCTTCGGACGTGGAGGCGTCAAATGATGACTCTAGACCTTCTTCACTAGAACGCCCTCCCGTCCTTTCGGCTAGTAAGTACCCCCAAAGCAACAGTGTACACAAATCTGACTTAGTAGAACCCGTCAATACCGATCCAGTCTTGTCGCCAAAGAAGCAACGCTCTTCAGGTCAAGATAAGCCAGACAAGCCAGCACCTAAGGGCCGCAGCCGCCCTCGATTGAATATCACGCGCAACACGACGTCAGACCTCCCGCTTCTACCCATGCCTGAACCTGTGCCTACGGCTGAGATTGTACTTGACTCTCTACCCCCGAAAACGCCCGCCGTGGAAGAGACCTTCTCTCCACCATCTACAGAGCCGTCAACACAACGACCAGACAACAAGGACACACCACCACCAGGAGATCTCAATTCAGTAGATCAGACCGGTCAAGCCGGACGACCGGGTAGACGCGCCCGTCCCCAAGTCAGTTACAAAGAGCCCAGTCTCAATGTGAAGATGCGGCGTCCAGACGCCAAGCTGGTAGACGCGGTGATCGATCGCAGGGCCAGTGTAGATACCCAGAACATACCTTCTACATTGGTCAAGCGTGACGCCGATGGCGAAATCGCGTGGAAGCCAGTATCGACAGTGACTCAACCGAGGGGTGAGGAAGAACCTGAAGCCGGAAGCCCCTTGAGACAGAAGCTTGACCGAAACCAAGATTCTAAAGCATCACCAGCTTCAGTGACTGAGCCAGAAGAACGATCCACGACGTCGAAAGCCATATCTGCGCTCATTACCGAGACTAGCACCGCTAAGAGAAGAGTGGCTACTTCAACTGCAGGACCCGTGTCGGAGCCTCTCAGCTCCAAATCTTCGGATCTTCCTGTTTCAAGCAAAGATACGATAGCTGTGAAACAAGCACCGCAAGAGAAGGATACTTTGGCTGTATTCGACTTCACGGACTCGTCACCTGCTGACACTGGGTCTAACCCACGTGCCCGCGTCAACGAACTTGCCAAAGCAGCAAGAAGTGCACGGCGACACTCCGCTATGCCCACATCTTCCACGTCAACGGTGCCGGACGAGCGCAGAGCTGAAAGGGAAAAGGCGGAGGGAGCGCTTCCTTCCTTGCATAAGCGCACTGGAAGCGGAAACGTGAAAAGTAGTAGTACTATGAGCTTAGCAAGGAGCAATAGTACTAATGGTAATGCTAGAAGTACATCGAGTGCTCGAACGGCAGTGAAAGACAAGAAGCCTTCCACTGTAGGAAGCTTGCCGGCCAATGCTGGCACGAACGACCTCAGGACGAAGGTCGATGGTGTGGAGGACGCAAAAGTACGGGACAGAGAGAGGGAGACGGGCACCCTGAGAGCCGAACGCGCCGCTAGTCGACGGAAAAGTATGATGCTTTAGGGATGGGCGGAGGGTACAATGTAGACATTGGAAGCTTTTTTTCTAGTGTATTGGCGTTCTGAGGGGCATGACATGAGCTCTTTCTCCATAGCGGTGGCGTTTCTTTGCGAATGATACCTGATCTCACGAGATCGTCTCATGTTTAGTGTAATTGGATCGCCTTATGACTATTATGAAGTCTGATGTAACGTTATATTCTGCAAACATTTACTCCGATGTTCTTGTTGGCATGGTCTTTACACATTCGTGGTTCGCTATGTTGCCTCTTGGATGGAATTTCTCGTGGGCCGTTCACGAGTCATTATGCATCATCTACTGCGTATGGGATTACACCTATCGCTTTAGTTAGTGGGAGCAGGGCTATGGAAGAGTCCTTCTGTTAGCAAACTACACGCGGACAAGAGTGAATTGTGGTGATGATGTGAGTGGTTGTATTGTTGTTCAATACATGTCTCCTCCTCCAAACGCGCCTCTTGCCTTCCCTCGACGTGGCGGAACGAGTGTCCAGTCCCTTTGCTTGAAGCAGTCTCTCTCTGAATGCCACATCTAACGGTCCCTGTCCTCGTACCAATCCTTGCTACCGTTGTTGCTGAAGACCCTCTTGAAGCCCTTGGACACAGCGTCAGTGACGCTAAAGTCATTGAAGAGCCATTGGTTGCTGTGTCGGCCATAGTACTTGAACTCCTTGGGCTCCTCGCTCTTCGCACTCCTGCCACTGCCAACGCTGTTTTGGGTGTTCCTGCGGCTGCGCTTGTGAACGCGCGGCTTGCTGAACTCTCCTGGCGCGACGCCGACACTTTCAGCGTGGGTCTTGGAGCTGGGCTCAGCATGCATGACGCGGAGACCAGAGTACTGCGAGTACTGCGAGTCGTTGGTGCCCGTTGTGGACGTTGTTGCTGATTTGGTGAAACGGGGCATGATGCCGCTGTCAATAGAGGTGGATCGGGCACATCGCTGGGACAGAACTGAATCGGAGGTGGTATCTCCATTGGTCTTGGTGGTGAAGTAGCTGTTGGATTGGTGTTCGAACGAATCAAGCCTTGAAGTCAAGTCTTGTGCGTCGATGCGTTGTTTGTTGTAGTCAGTCATCGGCAGGATGGTCGGGGACTGAGTGGTAAATGTGACGACGTTGGGGTCTTGGCTGATAGTAGAGTGTGTTTGATGGTCTCGAATCTTGTCTGACTTTGATGTTGAGGCTAGTGATCTGGAACCAATGCTTGTAGGTGGTGCTAGCATCGAATGTGGCAGTGTATGCTAGGGGTATTAATCAAGTATATATGCTTTCTCTCAGAGCACGCCAAGACTACCTCTCTCACCACAAAATGCAGTCAAGACTTATTCCCGCTTCCAAGCCTCTTGGGTGGAGTCACGGGTTGGACGTAGGGGAAGTCGGCTCGGGACAAACGTTTATCTTGGCCCAACCATAAGCTTCATCCAACGCTAGTAACCCACTTTATCCTGCAGCGTTGACAGTCCTGTTCGGATAAACGCTATCCTACGCCAAATACGAGAACACATGACCTCTAACCCTTGATCGTAACGGTCAGCCTTACGGCTGTATCGGCACGCAAAAAGGCCGTGCTCTAGCCACAGCAAGCCACACCCAATCCTGGTTCAGCAGCAACCTAGTCATTCTTAGCCGCGAATGCATGCTACTGCAGCTATGACATCGTTTCTGACAACCACGGCTAGGCACAGGTCCGATCTTTCCGGCTAGCCATTAAGAGATCTAGCTGTGGCTTGTGAAGAATTTTGACTGACCCAGGCCTTGTGTGGCTTGAAGGGTTGAGGCGCACGAGTCGGTCAAGTCATATGAAGCTGCGTTAAAGGGTCATACTAGCTGGGTCGGGAAGCTCAGCAGGCCCATCAGAAAGTGACGTTGCTGTTGTCTGACACTGTAACCAGAAAGAAACTGTAGTCTTTGGTGAGAGATCGCATCGAAGGATGTCAATGACCGCGAGGGCAGAGCGCTGATCTGCCTTGCGCGAGAGGGTCCACTCTTGATACCTAGGTAGAAAGCCCGGAAGTGTTGGGCACATCTCAAGCAGTCGCCGACCATGTGCTTTCCGTGCTATAAATCAAATTCGGACGCGCGTTAAGATGCATGTAGGATGACGTGCAGGAAACGAAGATAAAAACAGCTTACAACTAGAACAAGCTTGTGCAGGTGACTTTGGAAGGACCCTAAGGCGCTAAGCAAACATGCGTGTAACACAGGAAGAGCAGGAAGCGGCATCTGACAGCAATTGGCTTCGTTTGCAAGGCAGAATGCAACTTCGACCTTTCAAAGTTCACATTCAAAGCTAAGCCTTCACTACGGAAGCACAATATCATATCTTGTGTCAGAGTATAAGAACAACGCCATGCGCCGCATGATCGTAATGGGTATATGGATATCAGAAACACCTGCCAGCGCCGCGCATTGTAATTTCAAGCACCAGTTCATACTCCCGGGACACCCCCTTTGCTCCGAATGCGCCCGTCCTTGACCGAGCCTATTGTGACACCTGCTTCGCCAGTCATCCAACCTGGCATCTTCTCGCCATCTACAATGCCCTCTTCAACCAGTTGTCTGATGCCAGCAAATACATGCGTTCCTTGGAAAGTGACCCGCACATTCGGTACCCAGCCTTCTTCGCTTCGTATTTCCTCGAGATCTTCCGCGGTTCTATCGAGAAGGGACGGACGGCCACGTCGCGCCTGGTGGGAAGTTTGGGCATCGAGGTTCGATGTCTCACCGTCTACTTGTGTCGCAGTGCTGCCACTAACGGGAGACGGGAATGGGTCATCAATGCGAACTTCGACTCGTTCAAGGCCTTGACCATCGTCGGGCTGCGCCGAGCTACCGAACCGGCCAGCGGCTATCTCTTTCCTACGTTTGGCCTCTGAAGACTCTTTGCCGTCCAGTGGTCGCTTGGGCCTGCCTGGCCCAGTCTTGTCGCCTGCATTCTTCTCTTGTCCGTCGCCTTTTTGTGTGGTAATGAAATCTAGTGCATTCTGGCTGAAACTATGATCCTGAAAGATGCTCCAACCACCTGCTGCTGCGTTGCTCTTGCCGGGACCGCGGTACGTGAGGAGCGCATCGAGTGACTTGGTGGTAAAGTTTGTGCTTGTCAATTGGTAACGCGCAGAAGGTCGCGAGAAAGCTTTGGGTATTGCCTGTTGCACGACGTCCCTCAGATGTCGCCCCTCATCCCCGACGACCTGGCCGGTGAGCGTTGCTAGCGACGAGTATACGAAAGGCGAGCCGTTTGGCCAGACGAAGAAGACTGCTTTCGCGCTGTCCGTGCTACTGGACTCTACGGTCAGCGATGCCTCGTTGCTGTAGGGCGAATCGTGTATGTAGACGCGTAGTATGGTTATGGGCGATGTTTTAATCCGTGTCATCAGGTAATGCGCCTTCATGAGTGGCGTCAGTTCTCTTGCGAGATTTGACATGAAGGTTTGCGCTTGGAAACGTGGGAGGTGGTCTGAATCGTTTGTGACTTCCATGTCCGTAACTGGCGATCGCGCACTCGGTATTTTGGTAAGACGCTTGGCTGTCCAGCGCAGGGCATTTGGATGATCGAGGAGGTACTGGATCTCGGACGTTGCCAGCTGGTACATGGATATGCCATGTCGCCAGTCTCCCTCGAGTATGCGGTCGAGCACCTCCCTCCTGCCACCTTTGCGCGCGGCGAGCTGTTTGTACGTCTCTTGGAGCACCTCATAGCTTTGCGCCGGCTCGTATATCTCCTCCTCAGCTTCGTCCTGTATCCGATCGCCGAGGAGGTATGGCTTGCAGAAGTCGCGGTTCTTCTTGCTGAGCCATTGCAGCGCGAGCGATACGAGCGATTGGCGGGAGAGCTTGGTGAAGGTTCGCTGGACTTCGCGGTGGTTTACGGGCAGACGGTGGGAGTGGGGGATGTTCTTGTAGTCGGGGGCGGTAGCCATCACGTCGATGCGCTTTTGTTCTACATGGAGGGGTTGCTGGGCGTTGTTGATCGGACGATGTTATCGATAGTGGAGAGTCGCGACGCGTCGACGAGGAACGTGGGCCACCACGTGACATGGCCTCCCCACCTGGCCATCACATCTAGCCTTGGAGGTACCGCGTAGCGAAAGACATATGCTCTCAAGCCACAAGTCGCCTCGAAGCGCTTGAGTTCGAACACTTTCGATCTGGTTTCTTTGACTTTGACCCTTGTGCGGCTAGGTAGAATGGTTGTGCCCCTACCTGGGTAGTCTCCAGGCCTACTGCGGTGCTGGTCCGTCATAGATGACTATATAGTATTACCAATGTTGATACACGTGAAGCTGTCCCCAAGAAGCCTGCAAGATCACTTGAAGACTGTATCTCGTTGACAGCCATACGTACTCCTACGGTCGCATCCAGCTTTACTATGGCTAGGAATATTTTACCTTATTCGCAAGACTCAAGTGAGGATTGATTACTTATTTCTTGCCGAAGATAGCATGTAAATGCCGCATGGAAAGTGCCGCTTCTCAGGTCTGGGATCCACCCAGATCGCCGGTCCAGTCTCGGACAAAGATGCTCAAACGCGATTGGCTGTCGGCGAGTTGAACGTCTTGATTACAAACAGTCAGTGTTCAGGTGTGGTGAGGAGAGTCCTCTGTGCTGACGGTGAGAGCGGTCATGAGAGACTCATCGCTTCGTCAATGTCCAAAGTTCTCAGTCCTAGTAGTTACCGACAACTGCCTTTACATTCAAAGTTTCGAATTCGAATGCAATAATCGTTTGCAAGTCCAACCGCACGTGGAGTGAGGCTCGGCGTAAACGCGGCCTGGGGTTTACGGTCGCTAATACCAAGTAGTCAGCTACCGCGGGGCTCCCATTGATCGAGAACGCCCTACTCACTTTGACGTTCATCCACGTCACGACACCCGCACACATCCCTCTTGCTTTTTGTACTCTCTGCAGCCGCTCGCGCAAGAGAACGTGTACACCAATTCCGCGAACTACCCGACGACGCCGCAGCAAAATCTCATCTCGCAAATTCAGCTTCTGCCACGCAAGCGCGATCGGATCGGGCCCCGGTAGAGAGCCGACTCGCACTTTCTCAACAGCATACTACCAGCGACTTGACTACATCGTCGTCCAGATAGCAAACAAACGCCCATGTCCGCCTACAAAGGGCAGCGGGGGCCCAACGTGTCCCAGTACATCGCGAACCTCAACCAGCTGTCGCCACAGCAGGATTTGCTCGCTGATCCAGCGCCCGCTGAGGACTTCTCCGACTTCCTGAACGGCGACTTCTTCGACGCGGACGGTGCTCGCAACGCCAGCGTCGACTTTGCTTCTACCAGTGACTTTGGCCTCGGTTTCGACACCGAGCAAACACAGCCGTTGAAGACGGACGGAGAGTCTCCGCGCAACCCCAGCATTAGCGTCGACGCGACTATGGACTTCAACCTGAATGGTAAGCATTCTCCCGTTCTTAAAGCCGTCCTTTTATCCTGTCGATTGGGTTGTTGCCAATCGAGACTCGTCCTTGTCAGGCATCGTACTCGTCGTCCAATTACGCGGACGAGAGGCGCATGCACACCCCGCCTTGTGTGCAGTATGCATCGTCACCCCACACCATATGTGCTAGCCACTCACCACATGGGATGCTGATGCAGCCAAACATCCCTGCAAGCACGTAGTTGCTTGTTGCGCTGAGCAGAAACACCATACACGCATATTACTATCCGACTATAGTAGCCTTGAGCACCCATGGCTGACTTTGATACACTCATAGGCGACTTCCCGTTCACCGACTTCAACAACTTTGGTACGGCTCCAGCCTTTGACCCGTCTATGCCACTGGCGCACACTCAGCCTGCCCACTACCCGCTCGCTCCCAACTACGCCTCGCCTGCCTCCTCACTATCCCCTGCCGCACAAGGCTACGACCAGGCTTCGAAGAAGCGCAAGCTCGATAACGCCGCTCCTATCATCCCGCAATCACTCGACGAGAACGCCCGCGTAGCTGCTGAGGAGGACAAGCGTCGCCGTAACACTGCTGCAAGTGCTCGCTTCCGCATCAAGAAGAAGCAGCGTGAGCAGGCTCTCGAGCAATCTCAGAAGGAGGCCCAGGAGAAGGTCGCCAAGCTAGAGGCGACCATTCAGCAACTGCAGACAGAGAACGCATGGCTGAAGGGCCTCATCACTGAAAAGAACGGCGGCAAGAGCACCACAGACGAGCTCCGGGCGCTTATCAGCAAGCGGGAGCAAGCCGTAAGCGGACGGAGTAGCACTACGCACACAGATGGCGTAGGTACCCAGGCCGAGAGCCAAAAGGCAGAGGCCTAAAAGCTGTTTTTTGTTCTTGACCTGCTTTCTCTGTACCCTGTTGCTTAGTTAACGTGGTCATTCTTTACTTTCGCGTACTGAGTGTATACTCTGCCACGCTGCTTCCATGGTTGTATGGGCGAGAAGGGATATGCAGTGGAATCAGTAATAGCATGCCATGATGTCCAAGTAGACGAGCCCATGAGTAAATAGTCGATACCATCTTCAACACATACAATGCAACTTCAACCATTATCGCAGCAAAAGACGTCGGGTGAAGAAGCAGTAGGTATCAATTTCGCCATGTCAACTCGAAGAAGCACAAGACTATGCACACTGAGGTCACACTGAGGTTTCAACGCCGTACCCATGAGAAGAACATCGATCTCGAAGCAAAAACCCATCCCAAGCTCACCTCGCACCTTTGAGCAAGCGATTCACATAGCTCTCGCTCGCCCCCTCCTTCACAGTCTGCGTCTTGGCTCTTTCTATCTTGATTGATCGTTTGTATGGAAGATGCGATCGCTCCCACACGGGCCCATCATCGCCCTGGGCGCTATAATCCCTCTAGATAGCGATCCAGGTGATCGTGATGACGATGTCCATGCCCTTCTTCTCGGCAGCCTCCCACTTGTAGCTGTATGTGCCATCCTTCTCGTTGTTCCAGAAGGCGCCGACTGCGCTGTGCATGCCGCGGCGGCCGTGCTTCTCAGGTTCTGCGGGAGAGCCAATGTGTTGGATCACCGTGCTGTTGGCGATGTACTTGTAGGCAGGTTGCGCGGGAGTTTCAGGGGTGGAGGTCTCGGATGCAGGTGTGGTCTTGCTGATGAGAGTCTTGAGGATGGATTGCTGGTGTGGGCGTTAGCAAAGGCTCTATGTGGGATGAGGTCGCGTGCATGATTGCGCAAATCGGTGTCGCAACCATTCGCTGGCGCCTCCTGTTGTCTAACAGCACCACCTTGAGGCACTCGCAGATATGCGAAGCCGCCTGAAGTTGGCTTCTTCTACCCTAGAGACCGGACGCGAACTTTTGACGGGGCTAGTGGCGCATTTGGTTGCGCAAGCTAGCGCAGGGAAATATAATTGAGACTTACGATGATCTCGCTGTTCCACTCTCCAACCTTGGTGTGGTCATATGATTCTGCGGAACCGATGGCTTGCTCGCAGGCCTGAAGGATATTGTCAGCTCATGCACCTTCATCCCGGCGTATGTAGGGCGGCATACCTGTTGGGCAATCTGCTCCAGCTCGGAGGTAGGAAGCGGTGACGCGGACTGTCCTCTGTCAGTATACTTTCTATGCTGTAGGCCGATGAAGATACGTACTGCCATAGCGATGGTTGTTCTGTGTAGGGATTATTGATGTAAGGACTTGTTGACTCGTGAAAGTATGTCGATGCCTAGGACGGTAATGCTGTGTAGTGAGGCCAGTGTGAATGTCGTGTTTACTCCAAGGATTAGTGTTTGGCCTGAGCTAGCGTCGGCGGCCGGAGTTGGACGTGGCACAGAGGGACCGGGCCATCCCCGCATACAGCCTCAGAGCCAATGAGCGTCGCCTGTGCAACGCTGTCACGTGGGCGTCATGATAGGCCGACGCAAGTCGCGAGTGCATGGGTTCCCATCGCGACCCGCAACATCGAGCTTTGACGGCATTGTGAAGCAGACTTCTTCTCTCCAACTCTTTCCCACCACCACAATTTTCGTCTGAAGCTGCACCCAGCCTTGGATCAACCGGCACCCGTCAATTGTCCATTCTACCTTGTCAGGAACACCATCGCAAAGCTCGCGTCGCAACTTCAGTGGGGCTGCTATCACCATCGTCATGTCTACCCAACCGCTTCTCCAAACTGCCCCGGGTACGTCGCGTCCTTCTGCCCTCCCCAACTACGCTTACTAACTCTCGTGTCTAGGCAAGCGCATCGCTCTCCCTACGCGCGTCGAGCCCAAAGTCTTTTTCGCAAACGAGCGCACCTTCCTTTCATGGCTCAACTTCACCGTCATCCTCGGCGGCCTCGCAATTGGCCTGCTCAACTTCGGCGACAAGATTGGCAAGATTTCCGCCGGCCTCTTCACCCTCGTTGCCATGATGGCAATGATCTACGCCCTCTTCACCTTCCACTGGCGCGCAAGGAGCATAAGACTTAGGGGTCAGGGTGGCTTCGATGACAGGCTGGGTCCTACCATTTTGACCATTGCCTTGTTTGCCGCCGTCATTGTCAACTTTGTGCTGAGACTGACAATGGGTGGTGAGCAGCATCACGGCAAGAACTAGAGGACATGACACAATGGATGAAAGCACGGTGGGCGCATCGGGTGGTATCCATTCTACGTTTCTATGATGCGCGAATGAGTATGCGCAGTTTAAGAAGAAGGAAAAAGTATGCAGAAAGAAGGTCAGAACGGGCAGTCAAAAATGACATGGGCAAAGAGAACCGACGTAAAGCACACCGTTGGATTGATGGAGAGGGCGTTTCTTCTTGCGAGTAAACATGGTTATGTTTCTAGGAGTATTGTACAACCACATAATGTCATGGACGTCGAAGTGGGGCGTTTATCATGTTTGCATAGTCCATTCGACCAGCCTCATGCTTGAACAGGTACTAACCATGTATACTACACGACCAGAGCAAGAAATCTGCAAGTCAAGCCCATCTCCCCGAGGAATTGTACTAGTTGTAGAGACGATTCTTGGGGTGCAGTGGAAACTTCCCCAAATTCTGTAGAAATGGTCTAGATACAAGTGAATTTAGGCAAGAGAAGGGAAGGCCCCACAAATCTGTGGCGGTATTGTACAAATTTGTCCCTTTAATAAGTATGGCAAAGTGTGAGAATCGGCCTTGAGCTTAATGCTAAATGAGCACGATTTCAAAGAGCTGAAGTGCGCCCGAAGGCGCAAAGATACTCATGTTATACCCCATTTTGATGATTGTTACCTAAGATGTGAATTCCGCAGTAGCACCAAACATCGTCTTGAGATTCAACATTCATCTCCCTATAGCTTCATCTCCAGCCCTACCAGATGAACCTCTGCAGGTTACCAGGCTCGCTAGACCACGTGAATGTGCGGAACAAGAACGTATATGAAACTGCTGCGTTGATAGCGAGCAACCAAATAGTCTCCAAAACCAATCTAATGTCGTATCGGTATCTCGAGTTCGTGGTTTGACCACACGGCACATGAAGCCGCCAAATGATCCACGGAATGATAAAATAACGAGGCTCTACGAGAGGGGCAGTGATCACTGATAGAGCAGTCGTAGCTAACCATATGATAACAAAGCTTATCTGGCAGGGATGGCGATCAGCTGTGTCTTTGGAGAGGTCGGTTGGAATCTTCTCTTCCGGTGCTTGCTCCACCACTCGTGAGATGGTCTTCGCTGGTGAGGCAAGCGCTTGGATCGTAGACCATGCACAGGCGTAGTATACTGGAATTGCGAGGTATTTTAGCGCTGGATATAGTCGGAGCATCTTGAAGACGTAGAAAACATAGTGTCGGTTGTCGGCCAAGGTGTACGGGTGGATGATGGTGTTGAAATGGACGGCAAGGAAGCTGCAGGCTAAGGAAAGCCCACTTGTGAGCAGCGTCGGAAGCCCGAAGCTAGAGGCGATACGGTAGTCGTGACACGCTGTCTGCAGACGCATGGGTAGAAAAGGAACAAGCGGTCCAAGCAAAGATCTGACCAAAAGTGGCGCTGAAAAGAATGCAATGTATGGCCAGATATAAAGCATCTGAGGAAAATGGATGGTAGCTGTATGGGCCGATTTGTCCCCTCTTCATGTCAGCAGTTTGTCGAAATGGACATGTAAGATGACGCTTACCAAGGACAACACTCCCATTCCAGGCAACGAAGCCAGCAAACAGACCTAAAAGGGTGATATAAGGTGAAGCAACCTTCAGCACTAGCAGAGGTTGCCGTAAGGCGGCAACGACCAAGGACAGCACAAATACAACAACATCTGATAGACTATCAGTAACTGCTTTAGTAGGTACCCGTAGCAAATCATACCTTGGAGCCCCGCATCTTGAACAGAGTAGTCGTGAACTGTACCGTCTTTCCAGGCGGTCTGTATGGCCAATATAGGGTCTGCTCTGTCTGACATCGTCGAAGGTGCATCTTTCTTGAGCGCATCGGCAACGGCAAGTCCGGCGGGAAAGACAGCCACCCAAAAGATATTAGTTTGCCGGAAGAGAAGTGCGAACACACCAAAAGACACTGCGCTGGAATATCCCGTGACAGTTCGAATCGATTGCGAATTAGCCAGATACGCATAAAACGCCAGTAAGACCGCCAAAGTCGACCACACATCTGTGTAGTACAACGCCGAGAAGAAAAAAAGAGGGGGGAACAGCGCGACATTGAGAGCGGAATGAACATCAACCATATAGGTAGAGTCTTGTGTGGCATGGTTCAGCCTTGCTTTCTTTTCATTCTCGGTCAAGCTTTTGCTTCGGTTATCACGCGTTCGAAGTATACGCAGTATACCATAGCTAAGGACCAATATGACACAAAGGGCTTGGGCATTCACAAGCCGCAAAGAACCTATTTCACAGCCTAACAGTGGCTTGTATAGTTTGGAGATCAAGTATCTTTGGTCTTTCATTAGTATTGTTCAGTAAGCCGATGTCAGAGGCAATCGTACAGGCCAGGTGGTGTTGTGATCTTTGGGTCCCATGAGTAGTCGCCTTTGCAGTACTTTTGGGCCTGGGGAACATGGAAGTACTCGTCCTGATGTTCTGTTAGTATTGGAACGCTTCGATATCGTCGAAACTTGCCAGGTAGGGGTTCGGGACTTTGTGCATCACTTCGCCATACCATGTGGCCATGAGCCAGACAATGAATCCTATAGCGCTGGGGAAAGCCCACATCTGAAGCAGAGGTGCCATCGTTCCGCTTGGGTCAATTGACTGATCAGCTAGAAGAAGTCGTGGTGTTGACGCACATCCGTGGACAGTTTGGAAGACACGGGTAATCCTGATCAAGCTAGCGCACCGCGGCCCGGGCGCGTCTTCAATGTTCGATCCCAAAAGTTAGACAATCACTCGAAGTTGCGAGACCACGCGTCGCAACATGGCATTGCCTCTCCCACCGGGGCTGACGCCCCCAGAAATAGCGTTCCTATGCGAAATGGAGCTCGTTACTATCATACCGCGACAAAGACTCGAGGGACTGGAGCTTCTCGGTGTATGTGTGCCCCTCCAACACCCCGCGATTATTACTTGTATACTCGCACTGCGCGTGACCTAAGATTCTGATGGTTTATAGGGCCCCATAAAACCTCTCATTCCTCCGCACCGAACGGACATCCCTCTGTGGCTAGCCCTACTACTCAAGCGCCAGCGCCGCGCCAACATACTTCCTCCGCCATGGTTGAACACACACTCTCTAAACGCCATTCTCGAGCATGAGATCGAATACGCAGAAACGTTTTCCCCACCGCCTCGACTGCCGCCACAGCCCTCCAATAATACGATTCCTACCTCTCCACCTTTCCTACTCAATTCGACGGCAAGAGGATCGGCAGACGCTTTACCATACCACTGGCTCGAGTTAGGTGAAATGCTGCTCGAGACAGCCTCAGACGACTTTGAGGAACCGGATAGTGTACGGAAACTGCTGCGAGGTCTGAGGGAAGTGCGCATGGCCAAGCTCAGAAGCGGTGTAGACGTCCTAGATGCGGGAGGCGGATTCAAGATGAACGGTGTAGGAGGTATGGAGGTAGGAGAGGGCAGGACATTCATTACCGGTGTCATTGATGGACTGAGGTACGTATTAGACGGAAGTGGTGAGTGGGTAGTGCTAACAGTCAGTAGAAAGATCGCAGCTTCACGAGAGCAGCAACGAAAAGATCGGGACAGAGAAGAGCTGGAAAACGGTTACTCTGGTACAGCCGACTATGATGACGACGAAATGGATATGCAGTGAGCTCGCCCACGCGCTGAAGTGACACTTTCTTTCGCATTAGCTTTCGACTGGAGCTGTTGCCTCAGAAGAAGATTGAGGCATCGGCCATGCGCTATCAACAGCCACGCTCATCATCAACCTTATCCACGTCCCTCTCGACAACATGAGGTTGTCTCCTCGACATGTACAATCCGGTAACATTCCGAATTGGACCCGGCGTAGTACACTATTAGTGTCAATACGCTCCCATCCGCTCAGTCCGGATGTAATCGGCATGGTAGAGAGGACTACAGCATCTAGAAATCTTGCCGAGGTTGAGGGATTTAAGAATTCACTCCAAGGCCATATACGCCGTTCGACCCGGGACCGCGAATCTGCGAGAGCCACGCTTGAAGTTGACACTTTGAGCGAGCATGAGTTTTCAGACTGGCGTCGCTTTTGCCAATGCCTCGTTCAAGATGGCATTGCAAGGCATTGCACTAGCTGAAATATGGAGGGATGCGATATTTCCAAAACGAGACTGTCACAGTACAATGCATTCACTTTACTCGGCAATGTTCACTGACGTATTCGATCCGGAGACATCCATTGCATACGACGAGGACGATCATCTATACCAGATAGAACTTGCTGTACACCCGAGGCGTTGCGAACGTAACCACAACACGCCATTCTCCAGCCGCGATCCACATCGTTCACCTGACTTCTGTTGCCCCATGTAAATCGGCCAGAAGTTCCGATGTGTAATTCCAAGGGACCCTTCGCATTCAAGGGACAAAACGCGCTGATGTGCAAGTCATGACAGAGCGATATTGGCCATGGCGCCGAGCCTAGAACAAGGAGCAGCCTTGAAGAAGGCCCGTCAAGGCCGTTCCTCGGCCCGCGAGCGACGTTGCGTGACAGCACCACAGGCAATATCCCAAGAAGAGGGTTGCGATAACATGAGTGAACGCCTCGATGCGAAGGGGTCCTGTCAGCATGCGCGTCATCATAGCCTGTGCGAGGCACTGTCTGCATGGCCATTCTACGGCCTCATCGGATGAGGTCAGTAGAGATCATTAGAGCCGCGCCGGAGCCGCACAATCTCACCCAGACCGAGTCTCGACTGCAGATACCAAGGTGTGCATGCTTGATGAAATTTTTAGCAATACTTGGGCTGAGAGGCTCATGTTGATGGGCCCGTGTCGTGGAGGGCGGCAATGCGCGTGACGGGGTCGATCAGTGCCCACGGCGCACAAGCAAATGATTCATGTACTTCCGGTGGTAGGTCGCAAGTGATAGGGAGCAGCAGTCTAGACACCGCGCAATACTTCAGCGCAAGTACGCTGTTGTGCGCATGTCAGAAAAAGGTCGCGATGTTGCATTGCGAATGAGTGTTGCGTCACGCATTCTTACGAGTTGTCAACTATGAAACGTTAGCTTAACAACAGCAATTAAAAAATTAGAATGACTGAAGAATGATCCCGGGCACTCTACCCACCCTCCATTTGTCCGGGCAAGCCGACACGTGGTGAAGACATGGATGGAGCCTTCTGTTCTCGCCTGGCTCTGCTTACGCTCTCCGCGCATATACCCTAGCAGTCGTACTCCACCTTGCTAAACACTATACTGGAACACCGCAGTGAGCCCAGCAAGCTGTCTCTTCTAGCCCTGCCGTTCGTGTGCTCGTAGCAGATCGTAAACTCTGCATCCTTCCAATAGACACAAGAAGCAAATATGACGAAAACGTTATGCGTGTTGTGCGTGACAAAGCACGCAACGCCTGATCAGGCTTGACGCATGAAAAGTGCGTGTACGTGAATCGCGGCTATGCGCAAGGCAATGGCATAACTGACCAGGGTCGTGAGTCGTGTGGAGACAAAAGAAAGAAGTATGATACAAACCAGAATCTGGGTAGACTACGGACAGGTGAGGAAGATGAAAAGGAAAAAAGAAGGTAAGTTTCGTATATGCAATGAGCTGTAACGGGCGACGTTGGAGCGAAGATGGTATTTACCATGCACACTAGCATCTTGTTAGTATTGTCCGAAGTACCAAGATCTGGTCGATTCGACCTACAGTAGTCTCTTAAGGATCTCATATAGAGAACTTAATTGTAGTCGCCAAGTCGGAATCGTGAAGCGGTCACCATGGCGAAAAGCGGTCCGCCGCCTGGCGCGAGAGTTGGATTCCTTGGAGCAATGTTCTGGGATGTATGTGACAATGGCGCGCATCGCATCGCAACGCATGATGAGAAGCAAATCGATCCCGATGGACGTTAGTGATCGAAACGTGGTCGACAACTGCGAGCTGCGTTGCCGTCCTTTCCGAAGTGTTGTTGCACCTTGAAGCGTTTCTTTCTGTATTGTGTCGCGAGAAGACATTGCTTCTGATTCCAAAAGCAGCAAACTGCGCATAAGTCGACATCTAGAAGCGGTCCTGTCGTTCCTCGCGACAGAAAAAGCAACTCAATACCGTTGATGGGGGGTACGTTGATTTCTTTTCCCTTCGTATAGCCACGTGCGCACGGTACATCTCGTGTCGGACCTTCCCGAGGCTCTTTCTCAAGCCAGAACCAACAACCTCCCACCACCACCGACAATGCTCACTGCAGATCACACATACGCAATACCTTCCGCCTGTCCACTGCAATAGCTTACCAGGATGTTGATAGCTGTCTTCAACACCTCTGTACTATGTTACTTGTTCCAGTAACGGAACAAGAAGAAAGAAGAACGTGAGACAGGCCTCACACGCCTCAAGTGTGATCTGACGCCAGCTTTCCCTACATATTGTAAGATGAACATCCGGGTACCTTACACGGTTCACGAAGAGGCGAAATTGGAAGCGGGTGTGTACATGAAGAGATTGACAAGGATGTGCGATTTATTCCGCGAATGGGGTCGAAGCGGATACTGACACGGGAGGTCCGGTCTGTGGATTGTACGAGAAACTCGAGTTTGCATGACATCTTTCCATGAAATATTTGAGAACAACAATTGCTTGCGCATGGAGATGTAGCTGCAAACTAAGAAAGTTTCTGCAATGTAGTAATAAGTTGGATATTGCGATACGTATGATGCCATCAACCTGCAAATTGCATTAGTATCAGAACGTTGAGTGGAATGACGTGTTACGTGTGGTGTTTGTAGTTGCATGTAGGAAACCTTGCAACCGACCATGCGGAAATCCAGATACAGGCAGCCTCACAGTGTGGATCAGACCTGCATACTTCCACGACGCTGTGTGCTGCAGCATTGCGTTGTGGCGTCAAGTCGCCTGCGAAAGGTCAAAGGTCTCCCGAGCTCGTTGTAGCCACAACCATTTTCCTGACGTAGATGTGGCGTCTTCGAGACCCCGGGGAGATGAAGCAGAGGACCGTTGACTACGCCGCGGGCAGAAAACTATAGTGGTGGGGGAGCTGAGATCCTGCAGGAACCAAGGCTTCGTTCCTTCAAGGTATTGGAGTCGAGATGTTCATAAGATATTCCTCAAGTGCGTCGATCCAATCTTAAAAAAAAGCGACTTTTGGAATGCTCTCAGACGTGGGAAACGATAGCCACGACTCTTCTAACTTGGGTAGCAGGTATGTTGAACGTTCAAGGTGACGAATTAAATGTTTGGCCGATCCTTGAGCGCGCCTTACGCAACCTTCGTGACAGGGGTGCGTGAGCCGAGCGCGCGTGGAAACGGAAGACGTGATGAGACGCAGGGCAACCGCGAGGGATGCGCAAACTGGGTGAGGCTGACAGTGGGCGCATCGCACTCGCTATCGCTTGGCTTCCTAAATTTCCCTCCGCTGGTAAGTTTCCAGGTGGTATTTCAGGTGGTATTTCAGGCACTTGGCGTCGCCTCATGCCGCAGAGTCATGTGTACTTGACGTTGCATACACCTACTTTGGACACAGATGCCCAAATTAGCGGACTTGCGCGCAACACGACGCCGTCGGTTGTGGCCTTGCAGCTGTTTTGCGCCGTCAGCCGTAGGTATGGGCAGTACCACAAAATGTGTCCGTTGGTAAACGGGTACCGATCGATCGCTCGTTTGTGCAGACGGGGCAACCATAACCGTCATATTGATAGCTCGCCTGAATATGCTTCAGAGCTGTGCCACCTCGTGTTCATGTAGACCACGCCGCAGAGGCGCATTCAACATCATTCACATGACGTCCGCAGTCCTTCCAAAGGGACAATAGTCACAACCGAGCCTCGGTAATGCTGCATCGGAGATATGTCCGGTCTGCAAATGGATCCGCGATACTGGGTCGGTGCTGCATTTCACATGTGGCTTGTGGTCCGGGCTTGGAGGCTGAGAGAGGATTTGCGGCGCAGCCGTGAGGCCTGTGACAGAGACTTAGCTCACATCCATGGATGGACAGTAAAGTCCAATGACGACATTGTCGGCCATCCTACAAGAGAGCAAGCAGATTTGCCATGACATCGTATCAAGACTACTATACTGGGCTCGTTGTGTTGGTTCGTGCATTGCCAGTGCAAAGTCGGCGATCTGGCTGCCGGCAGCTAACGCATTCCCGCGGTCGGGAGGTCGGAAAGTTTGGTGACCAAGCTACAGCCCTTAGCTTGCTATGCTGGAGCTGTTCAGTGGCATGTTTATCATGAAAATCCGACTGAGAGAAGGGCCGAGCTGTTGAGTAGTTCGGAGAGCGACCTACGCGGGGGCATCAAAATGATGAAACACCTCTCTACGCCGTCTGCACGCTACCCCCATAAATAGGATTTCAAGATTGTTTCCACAAGAACTGCGCCTGTACCAAGAACCACTTGTGCTTGAGGGTGAGATGTATGGCCTTCGACGTCGATCTCTCGACCTAGGCTTCTCTTTGGGTCTCGTGCGACAATGGGGGATTTCCAGAATGACGATCAACAAAGCTGTACCGTATGTTGAGATAGCCCAAAGGCTAAGCACGATCGAGTTCTCAATAACGCATCTTGACTCACACCCTCACGGCTGGCTTCCGTCCGCTGTCACCGCGTATCCTCCAAACTCTGGCAGGGTCCGTCGCGCACGGGAGTGTCGTGAACCGAATGACGGCGTTCTCGTCGTTGGCACTGTTCTTGGGAACGTCTACTAGCAACTTGCCTGGCTAAATGGGGTTGGCGGTATGTTACCTTCCGCCGCTTTCAATAGTCGCTCCGCCAGTGCTAGTCCCACGCCTTGATTGTTGTGACAGCAAGTTCGCAATGGCTTCTGTTCGTCACTTTGCCCCCATTGTATGCTGTAGTTGAGCGCACGACGATTCTACCATACTGCATTGTAAAACATCATAGTCAGCCGTGATGACTTGGGGTTTGATATTGGAAAAACAAACTACTAGCGTCCGTACTGTGGATGGAGAGCTCACGGCCCGCTTGCAGCTACTTTAGGAAGGTGAGATGTAGATCAAAGTCTCTTTAGGCATGAAAGTCGAAGAGCCAGCCGCTTCTGAGCACATCAACAGGGGTGGAGAATTCGATTGCGGATTTTCACCAAAGGATCGGCGTCGGGATTGGGCGCATCTTCATTGTGACGATGCGGAGATGCTAAAAGAGACTCACAGAGTGTCTGGCCGGGTCTAACCGTAGTAGGTTGCTCGATAGGACAGTCGCTCAACAGTGGGGAGTGGGGGTTTGGACTAAGCCTGGGACAATTGGCCGGTCAGGGCGTTCAAGAGCGTACACTGGAGTTCTAGGAGAATATAGTAGTCTTTGGAGGACATCATATCTTAGAGTGCCATTCGCAGCGGTGCTGCGCAGATTGATGAAGATGCACCATTGAAGCGATACTTTGAGGATGCACGCCGTTCAGAAGTTGAGGTCCACACGCTGTCCGTCATCAGGTTCAGACGTGGTCGTAAAACGCTCGTCGTCAAGTTGAAGTCGCTTCACCGCTGGATCCTAGCAAAGTATATTGCTGTTGACCAAGGTCTAATTGGTAATGGGAGGCGTGAACAGATGGTATATGTGGTGATGCTTAAGACGTGGAAGGGAATAACGACAGGGATATGTCTAGGCAGTTCAATGCTTTGCAAACCGGCATGTGATACTCGGTAGGGATGCTGTCGTCAGGTCGGCGTTCATAACTGCAGGATGTGCAGAATCGTCACAGTTGCAGATCCATTGCTGCAAGTGGGGGTAGGGCGGGTCGTCGTCTCGATCCCACGACAGCCGGCAGGAGGCCCATATCGAAGATGACGTTTGGCGGGCGGGCATTATTGTATGGCCATTCGCTTTCGCGTGGTTGATTATGCTCAGCATGGTAGACGGATAGCAAACGGTATAGGCCCGAATTAATTTTGCGGCGTCCCGACCGTTCGGGGGATTCAGACGGAGGCCTGCAGTGGTGCAGGCGTACGAAGAGCAATGTCGAGATATTCACGCATGCGGCCAATAGGACGGACTGCGGAGGATGCAGAAGAAAATTGAGCTAGGATGATTCAACTTGATTGGGAGCGAGGCACTTGAGCCGGGGAAGATGAGCCGGCAGAAGCTGCCAAGCCGAGTTAGAGGCGGCGCAAACAGAGAGCTGATCTTTGCCGTATGCAGGTCTCGAGTCTGCGACCGGGGAGAAGGTTCGCGGTGGGTCGACAAGCCTGATGCTGCAGGTCCTGGCTCGCGTCCGCGCGCGCCCGCGTGCTTTGCGGGTACTGTATGTTGTTATGCTTTGATTGCACCCAGCGTACTCCTATGAGGGCTGCGGCTTCGCTGCTTGTTCGAGGCGCCAAACGGTAGCGTCGAGGAACATTGAGGAGGACTTTGCCAGCCTATGAGCAGGCAGCGGCGATGGCGAAGACAGGCAGCTCCTGTTCCCGTCGTCTTTCCGTGGGCGGATCGGCTGGGTGAATGCAGCCAGTGCACGGTATCTCAACATGACGAGCGGGCAGGGGAGAAATGCCGGGGACAGGCACTGGCTTGGCTGGCTGCACGGTCGATGGTCTCGCCGCCGCGATTAAGGATGCCTGCGGGCTATAGTCGAGGTTGGGAGCAAGCCGCATCCCACACGCACCAACGCTCCGTTAGCCCTGGCCCAACATCCCTGCATCGACTGACAGAAGGCCCCTGTCCTGTTCACACGAAGCTTTTCTCGAGTAGGCGGGCGGTAGGATCCTCCATCGGGATGTGATAATAACAGGACCAGCCGGCCATTGTGGAGAAGGGCAATGTTCCTGTCGTTCGACTGCATCTCGGTCGCCTATCCCCAACCCACCTGACCTGCTGGCAGCGCGTCTGTTTTCCTTTTGGTCGCTCTTTCCTTCGCTTGGGCCGCGACTTCCTCACGAACCGTTGGAAGCCACAACCCCACGCTCCCCTGCAGTGGCAGGCACGACCCTTGTGCGCCTCTAGGTCTTTGCTGCTCTGCTATTGCCATTACAAGACAGTGGCCCATCCCCCAGCTGCAGCCCCTCCTTCCAGTTAGCTCCCGAGTCTTCACTCTCAAACATCTGCACACTTCCACGAGAGACAGACCGTGTCTGAGCTTCTCCTTGCTACTGTCTTTGTGTAACGGAAACGACGCCCGTCCCAGCTTTCGCGGCAAACACCTCGACGACAGGCCCATCCGCCGGCCTCGCATCCGCTTTGGGTTATCTGTCACCTGCTTCACACTACCGCGCTAGCTATCGTCACGTCGGGTATGTCAGTCTCCGTTTGTCGTGTGGTAGTTGCCTCAGCACATTATTAACTTGCAGACAGCCGAGCAAAGCAATCGGTATACGCCACAACTCGAAGAACGTCAAGTATTGCGCCACGCCGATTGACTCTCGTTGTGTACCATCTACCAAATGCTGCCCAATTAGCGTACTATCGCCGGAGCATTCTACTCTAAAATTTCGTCCACCTTTCGCTCTTCCGCCATGGAGTCCTTTGAGCAAGAAGAGATGGATAAGCGATCGAGCGCACTGGTGGCGCCACTGAACATTCACAAGTCGCCCGGGAGGTCGCGCTCGCGAGCCTTTGGCCACAGTCGTCAATCCTCATCGAGAGGAACACTCTCCAGCCGATCGCAATCGCAAATATCGCCACCTCTGACCCCGAAGACTTCGAGTGAAGCCATGGCGCTGCAGCAGCAACAACATCCGCAACCTGTATTCCACAACTACCTCCGTGCGTTCTACCATTACAGCCCGAGTACGACAGTGTCGTCCTCAACCGACGAGTCGTCCATCACCGTCGCCATCAATCAAGGCGATGTAATCCTCGTGCACTCTGTTCATCCCAATGGCTGGGCCGATGGAACATTATTGGCCTCAGGGGCCCGCGGATGGCTGCCCACCAACTACTGCGAACCCTACGACAACCCCATCATACGGAATCTTTTGACCGCGTTAACATATTTGTGGGATCTGGTCCGCGACGGAGAGAATGGCGATCTCGGTGCCTTCTCAAGACAAGACTACGTCAAGGGCATGATTGTTGGCGTCCGCCTCTTCCTTGTAAGTGAAGCTTGTGGGGGCGGTATTAGAGCATCTTTGTGGACCGATTACTGACCCCAAACAGGAACGTACTGAGTGCTTGCAGAAGGATTCACGCCTCATCCTCACACACGTAAGTCTACGGCGCATGCGGAAAGCTCTCTTAGGAGATCTTTCCACACTCGTCAAGACAGCTAAGACCTTGCAAGAAGCCCTACAGTCGAACGAGCTGCAGGTGCCTGTTTTCGAACACATGGACGAACTTGTGTTCAAATCCTTCAAGTTGGTGACTCGGGCCGTGCGTTTCCTTGACATCTGGACGACAGACGCAGTGGCGCTGTCACTTTTCGAGCTTGGCGACGCGAGTAGTCATCGGCCACTCACCCCGCCGTCCGACTCGGTCGATGCTGCTGTGGAACCACAAGCAATATCAGCCCCCTCGGGCGAGAACAGGCTTTCAGCGAACGGATGCGACTCTTCGGTTGCGCAGGGTACACAATCGGCGCACGACGACTGGTACACCACTGCTCAGCCGCAGAGGAACCTGAACCGCCTATCAGTTGCATTTTCGTTGCCCTCGGAAACAGATTCTCTTCAATCACCAATACTCCCCTCTCATTCCTCAGTACAGTCGAAACGTATCTCCATGACACATCGCTTGTCGTACACCGGTAAATCAGCGAGTGCACGCAAAGGAAACCTGGCCACCGAGAGGCTGAACGCCGCGCACGACGCTTTCCTGGGCTACATTGGTTCCTTTATTGGGTTGCACCTGCAATCACGGTCCTCGGAAGAGCTTGCTCAGATCACCCAGCACTCTGTGATAGCGTGCCGCCAACTTCTCAAAGTTGTCGAAGAAGTATGGGAACGAGACTCGCGCCGATCCGAACAACTGGAAGAAGCACGAGACACCATGTACACCCGTTTGACTGAACTAGTACAAGCGACCAAGGACATGTTCATCAATGCCGACGCTGACGTTGAAGAGGTGGTAGCGCCTGAAGCTGGAAAGCAGATCGTGGCTGCCGCTACAAGCTGTGTTCGCTCTGCTGGTGATTGCGTCACCAAGGCTAGGGTTGTGATCGAGAGGATTGGCGATTTCGAGTTCGAAGCCGAACCTGCTGGTCTCGGGCTCTCGGATACGATCTTCCAAGAACCCGACGAAGACAACCAGGCGTCCACAGCTAGGTCCGCATCGCCTAAGCCTACAGAAACCGTCCTGGAGACCAACAAACCACTACCCGCTACGCCAGTTGAGGAACACGAAATGCCTCCACCACTAGTCATCTCAGAGTCAAAGCCACTACCCGAGGTGCCGCAACCATCACCACTCGAGACCAACAGGCTTAGCCTTCAGCCTTCGTCCCAGCCCATCATCGTCGAGAGCCCAACTGCAGTATCGTTCAGGTCGTCCCGGTCATCATTGCCTCCTCTCAATGCGGTGCCTACGCCGGTTCTGGCTCCGCCCCATGCGTCTGATTCCGTCGACAGTCCCTTGAGCACGACTCAGGGAAGTTTTGCCGGTTCGACCAAAACTGACAGCGTCCACGTTTCAGTAAACGATGGGAGCAGCACCTACTTCAGTGCACAAGGCGATTCTGCAAGCATTCTTTCCCACACGTCCACGCGTGCCACTACCCCAGATCATTCGCCTACGAAGAAAGAGAGTTGTCAAACCCTGATCAGCAGCTTTGGCAGCTCCTCTGAGCTCCGGTCTCTAGCAAGCGAAGATGTCGCTGCTGGCGAAGAGCACTTGTTGGAGACCACCTATGTCCATGAATTGATCTACAACAAAGAGGGCCAAATTTCTGGCGGTTCCCTCCCAGCGCTTGTAGAGCAGCTGACTACTTTCGAATCCACCCCAGATGTCGTCTTTGTCAACGCGTTCTATCTGACGTTCCGCCTCTTCACCACGCCACTCGACCTCGCGCAATGCCTGATCGACCGTTTTGACTACATCGGCAACAGTCAGACCGTCGGTGTGCCGGTGCGTCTTCGTGTCTACAATGTGTTCAAGGGTTGGCTGGAAAGCCATTGGTGTGGCGAGAGCGATGCTGTTGCTCTAGGCGTCATCCTCGCGTTCGCCACCGGAAAGCTCAGGGCTGCTATGCCTGCTGCTGGCAAAAGACTTGCCGAGCTTACTTCCAAGGTAACGGAAGTAAGGGCCGGGGCTCTTGTACCTCGATTGGTATCATCGCTCAGTCAGACAGGTGCTTCAAACCCTGCGTTCACTCTTGCGGACAGCAATGTGCCGTCGACAATTGTGACTAAGAGCCAACTCAACGCTCTGCGAGGTAGCAAAGAGGGCAGAACGCAATGCAGCATCTTGGACTTTGATCCTTTAGAACTTGCCAGGCAATTTACCATCATCGAGTCAAGGCTCTTCTGTGCCATCCAACCCGAAGAGCTTCTTGCCCTGGAATGGACCAAGAAAAAAAACTCGAAGGCTCGTAACGTCAAAGCAATGTCAACGCTTTCGACCGACCTGGCAAATCTAGTTGCCGACACCATTCTGCAGCTCGAGGACGCAAAGAAGCGTGCTGTTGTTATCAAGCAATGGGTCAAAGTTGCGGCCAAATGCTTGGAGCTCAACAATTACGATTCGTTAATGGCCATCATCTGCTCACTCAACTCATCCATGGTCATGCGTCTCAAACGTACATGGGAGATTGTATCCACGAAAACGAAGGCTCGCCTAGATGAACTGAAGGCGATTACCGACGTAGGTCGTAATTATGCTGTCCTCCGACAGCGTCTGCACAACCACGTCGCGCCATGCATTCCTTTCGTCGGTATCTACCTTACCGATCTTACGTTTATCGACGTCGGCAATGGCACCACACGGCAGCTCCCTGGAGACTCCGGTTCTGACAGCGTCTCTGTCATCAACTTCGACAAACACATGAAGACAGCCAAGATCATCGGCCAGCTCCAATCATTCCAAGTTCCTTACCGTCTGGCTGCCATACCAGAAATGCAGGACTGGATGGAGAGCCAAATCCAGCGAATGCATGCAAGTGACCAGGCCAACGTGCAAAGCTATTATCGCCGATCGCTGCTTCTTGAGCCGCGTGAGGCTCAACACTCTACGAGGGGCTCACCCTCCATCGACAACAGTGCACAAAGCACCTTTTCAGCAGAGAGCCGAACCAATTCGAAAGACAAGTTCGAGTTTCTCAACTTCAATTTCTCGACTGCGAACCTGAAGGGTTCATAGACATGTGTACTGCGCTTCATTGCGCCTTTCTTCATCGACCGCCTCTGGATTGCGCCTGGTCACCGACATATCCTAATGTTTGCGTTTACACTGCATCTATTCTTGTCCTTTATGTCACGGACACTTACGATACCAATGCCCGAGTTCCTTGTGTTTGTTCTATACCACTTCAGCGATTTCTATTCCGGGTGGGCTCATTTGTATTCCGCATACTCTGCAAAGGCAGATCACAGGTATCTGCGCAACATTTCATACTTTTTGCATACCCATTGGGGCTTTTGGAAGCCTGTATTAATCGGGTCTTTGGCGTTGGGAAGAGCAAAGAAGTCGCTATTACAGCAAAGGGTGTGTTGCTGCGATTAGCGGTTAAAAGTATTACAAGATGAGTACTGGAAGACAAAAGATGTTCTTTCGTACCCATGGAACCACGAACTGAGCCGTCCACCTGACTGCAGCTCTCTGAATCAAAGAAATTCTCAAATTAACTACCATCTATTTGCATTGTGACAAACAAACATCGAATGATATCCGGGGCCTCAGAAGGAAGAACCTGATCTTCAGTCCTTGCCGCGAGGCCACACCATGTTTTTTGTTACAGGAATCTAATATAAGAGACAGTGCATATGATGATTGTGTGGCAGAGCTAGAGCACATCGTCGCAGATCAACAATGGCTGCTGCTGCTTTAGGGTGGGATTTCCATGTGGGGTTAACGCTAGCGATTACAGCAACCCTTCCACCCCTCCATTTCCATCCGCTCGCATCGCATAACTGCATCGATACCCTCTCCTCTCTCCACAACTATACTAACCCACGCCATACTGTACGCACACGCCGATGACTACGATGACCACCCGAGACCTCTTAATCGATGTCCGCTCCCCAGCCGAATTCTCGACCGGCTACCTTACCTCCGACATCGCACCCACCGTAAACATTGAATACCAGATTATCGATCAACTACCCGAAATCTACGCAGCGAAAGGCGTAAGCGTGGGAAAGGACGATCGAATCACGTTGTATTGTCGGAGTGGAAGACGCTCAGGTATTGCGTTGGGAAGGTTGAGAGAGATGGGGTTCAAGAGCGTAAGAGATATTGGAGGTTTCGAGGAGGCGAGAAAGGTGTTGGATCGCGAACAGATTCAAAGGCAGTTGGACGCCGAGCTAGAGAAGAGCATGTTGCATACCGCTAAAGACGCAGGGGGTGGTGAGGATCCGAAGAAGCACGTTAGGTTCAAGAGCTTTGGCGCGTTGGTCGACGGATTGAAGGCACTCGAAGATTGAGATGCTCAAGTTCAGATGATGCGATTGAATATGCAGGTGTATGAAGCGCATGCGCGCCTGTCAATGCTCACCGCTGAGCTTCCGCTCAATCATTGCGCAGAGCATCGACACGAGGAAGACCGGAGTCCAGGGCACAATGGTAGTGAATCAATTTTGTTCAGTGTTATAAAATATACAGGTAAAGACATTCCCCCCCAAATGAGTGGCTGAAGTTGGCTTCCCCCCCAGTTGCAAAACCTAGCATCGTCCGAAATACCGATGCTAACCCACCATTTAGCCCTACACACACCGTGTTTCTACTCTTCACGCTTTCTTCGGACCACCCTGATCTGTCTTGTAAGAGACACATCAGTAGTGCCCCTCTGCCGGGATATCGTGTTGACTCCACTTGTTCTGACCATGAGATTGGCCCTTCTGACCCCTACCATGTCCATGTACAATCTGGGGACCGTTAGAAGGTACTACACCGGACGGACGGGCTTTCGAGGGCCTGCCGAATGCGGAGGTGCTAGGGGTAATCTCGCTGGTAACCGAGGACGCAGCGGAGGAGACGATAGCGATGTTCGTAGACGATGCTGCAGTGACGCTTGTACCCGACTCTATAGCACTTCCCGATGGCATGGCACCGGTAGGCATGGCGGTGCCAGAAGGCATAGCGCCAGAAGGAGGAGCACCACCCGGGCCACCACCCATACCAGAGTTTTCATTCTCGACGCCACCTTCGTCAGTCCAGTACGCCGCTGGGGTGATGTTGTAAGCGCTGGTGGAGTCCATGCCAAATGCCAGCCAACCAAAAAGACCCTCTGAGATGTCGTCGCCGAGCATGACGTACTCTACGAATGGGTCAACATCCGCAGCTTCCTCCGCAAGAATAGAATCATCGGCATTCGAAGTGATTTCCTGTTCATTGCTGGCGTACGGCTCTACAGTATCCGCGAGTGTGATGAGATCTTGGTCGAAGAACATCTGGCCCACGTGTGTGATGTGGCCGCCTGAGAGGGTCGAGTTGGCGTTTACGGTCGCGTTGAGTCTAGACATGACGTGGATGTGCGTCTAAAACATCGTCTCGAGTTAGTACCTGTTCACTAAGAGGAAGTGTGGTAGAAACCTGTGAGTACTTACAGCACGTCCAGTGTAATGGCCTGGGAAGACAGTTTGAAACGAAACGACGCCATTCTTGTCACTCTGCTGGATACCACGCAACGCCGTGTTCTGCAAGTTCGACTCGTCGTCCTCGCCAACTCCGTTGCCTTGCGCTACAACACCAGAGTATACGCCGGTAGCATTACAGTGCCACATCTCGAGGAAAGCCTGAGGTACAGGCTCACACGTGTTCACGTCGATGATCTGGATATCCAGTGTCATGGGGATGCCCTCCTGGCCCTCGGTAACATCCTCACGCACGAGTTCGCCTTCGACCCAGTAAGGGCCTTGGGTCACCTCGGGTGTAAGGACGCAGGAGTTGTTTCCTGCAAAGAGGGTAGCGGGATCAGTGTCGGTGGTAATGCCAGTCATGTTTGACTTGTGATCAGTAGCGAGCACGGTATCGAGGTCGCGGATCCGGAGGTACGGTTTCTCTGCGCAACTTATCAGTGTCCAGCCATCAGAGTATTATTGAGGGGATTGTACCTTGGGCGATATCCCGCTTGGCTCGAAGCTTTTCTACCATGGCACTGCGACGAGCGTGCATGGTGAGATCGTTACCACGCGCTTTCAGTGTATCGGCGCAGTGAGCGAGAGACCGCTTGTTGTTCGCGAGGTAGGCTCTTCGCTCAGCAACCTCCTGCGCATGTTCTGCAGCGCTCTGGCCTGGATGAGCGAGAGAGCTCTGAGCAAGGAGGGCGATGTTGAGAAGAGCGGTGAGCTTCATGGTGGACAGGTGCTTGATAGATTGAGAGGCCAAAGAGAAGAGATGGTGATGAAGGTCCGTATTGCTGTCGACCATGAGCTTTATATCCATCACCCGGACGCCTCGATATCAAGTCCAGATCGCGATGCCTGCAGGGGAAACGAAACAGACGCATGGTGCTCGCCCCCCTACCCTTGCTTTGAGTCCTAGGCCCACTGTCCTGCATGTTTCTCTTCTACCTACGCGAGTCGTCACAAGCATACGCAACACATTGTGTTGTTGCTGAGTGTCCTCAGTCTTGGCGAAATGATGGTTTCGAAGCTTATCTGGAAGCAGGCGGGTAGCCACGCACGCTTAGACTTGCCGCTGAAAGCTTCATCTGTGTTGGTCGGATTAGATGTTGAACTCCACGCTGTAAGGTGGCCATATTGCTACACATCCTCGTTATCGACATGATAATCTATGGATGCACATGCATCTATGCTCTATAAAGATTTCTCAGTGTCAGGCAGCTGTGTATGGCCTGTGTGTTCTTTCAACACCTCTCCCAACCTCTCATCTCCACAATCGGTATCAAGATGCCGAGCGTCAACGTTACTCTTCAACCCTAGAACGGTTTTCTTTGCTAAGCCCTGTTCATTTCAATTACGCAGTGTGTGATTGGAGGCTTACGTGGCTGTCTATGTTGTACTGGGAAGTGCCGTAATGTCTAGGGCGTGTACTCAAGTACGATGCTAACCGATCTTGAGAGGCAGTGGATCCCAAAGGTTACAGTCTAGTCTCTAAAGCTCTTTGGCACCCATCTAGATTGGTTGTGCTGCTACTGACGTGCCTTACGTATGTGCGGGCCGAGAATCGCTAGCTTCCTCCGAAAAAGACGCGTAGACATGTCTTGGCAAGCAATTTCATCCAACTTCACCACACTTTGAGGTCAAGCCCGCTTCCGGAGTATTACCTATCCAGATTGTGATTTTAGCATGGCCAATAGGAGTTTGGGTGATTATGCGTGTGATCGGTTTGATCCACGGCATGTTCCAGGAACGACGCTTGGTGAATTGTGCGGATGCTTGCGTAAGTGTGCTAGGAGGCTTAGATGGGGGACGAAGACGCGATTAAAGCTAAGCGTTTTAAATCGGTGCTTACCCTGTGCACTCAAAGCTTAGGGCGATAGATGCTAGGATGCAAATGTGGAAGCGTGGGCTCGCTACGTAAACTTGAAGGGAGTTACGAATGTGAATACAATGACCCTGTACTACGTCAATAGACTTTTGGTTGGTTTCTGGTTGGTTTCGAAAGAGTAGTATTGGCGTAGTCGAGATGTTGAATCGACGCGTCTTGCTGTGTCTGTTCTCTACACCGCTACACAACCAGTTCGCATCTTTGCAGACTGTGAAGTTCCCATCTATCATTCGAGATGTAGTTCACCTTCGCGGTCGGCATAGGGATAATACTTCTGCGTTTCGGTCCACATCGTTTCTTCATCCATCTGGCTTGCATCTAGGCCCGCAATAATGTCCCTGATCATCTGTTAGCACAACATTTCCAATCGCCGTCAACATGACCTACTTGTCTTCAGCTAACACTTCGAAGCCCGGTACGCAGTCAATAAGTGCGTACATGACATAGCTTCCGACAAACGACCATGTGAACCCGACGAGAGCCTCCACAATCTGAACACCGAGCTGCCGTACGTTCCCGTCGAAAAACACCCCACCAACGATTTCTGTGACTCCATCATACCCAGCGACTTCTTTCCGGGCAAAACAGCCAGTCGATATTGTTGCTAAGATGCCACCAAGGCAGTGTGTCGCAAAGGTGTCGCCGTGATCAACCCATCTCCAGTGCCGAGCGAAGTTGCTGAACTTGATGCGAAGCGCTTGGCGACAAAACAGTGCACCAAGCACCCCGAAGAAGAAGGCTGTTGGTAAATCGATGAAACCTGCCGAAGGTGTGATCATAATGAGTCCAGAGATGGCGCCCATGAAGCATGAGTCTAGACTCCAGCGCCCGACTTCCACATATGTATAGAGCATCCATGTGAGCGCCCCACTGGCAGCACAGAGGTTCGTGACACACAAGGCCATCACTGACTTGAAGTTGAACGCTAGAGTGGTGCCAGCGTCAAAAGCGAGCCATGAGCCCCATATGCTAATCATCGCAAGAAGTTGGCATAAAGAATTGACCGGCCGGTGGATGACTAGATGCGCTGGTGTACGGGTCGAGGACTTGCGCGAGCGGAACAAAGGATATGAAAGGTATACGGAAATCGCCGTTGCTGTTGCTCCGGAATTGATGTGTACGGGCGTACCACCTGCGAAATCTAGAACGCCTAGGTCCATAAGGAAACCTCCACCCCAGACCATGTGAGCTAACGGGTTATATATTAAGGTAGACCAAAGCTATCATTTGTCAGTCAAGCTCACAGGTATGCCGTTGTTCTACAGGTAGGACTCACAAATATGAGTGGTATCAATGGCAGTATTCTCCCTCTCTCACATGCGCCGCCAACCGCAATGGCACAGACTGTGGCCTGGAATACTAATTGGAAGAAGCTGAATAGCACTGCTGGAATGGTACCAACAGGCTCTGCTAGCACATTTTTGTGAAAAGCGTACTTGAAATCTCCAAAGATAGCTCCTCCCTCTCCGTATGTCAAGGTGTATCCAATGAGGAACCATTGTATCGAGCAGACGATCACTGCTAGGATAGCTGGCATGACTGCTGCTAGGGAATTGGAGCGTGTAGTGTAACCTGAATAAGCTATGCCTACAGCTGGAATGATACCCCAGCCTTGATAAGATCAGCCAATATAAGGAATAGTCATGGAAGCTATACATACAGAAGACCGAACAAACAAGCACAAAGAGTGTATCAGTCCGGTCGCAAGCTTCCCAGGCCTGCAGGACCTCGGTAGGCAAGCCCATAGTGTGGGTTCTCATTAGAAGTTCGGTATCGAGGTCGATCAGCTTGCTATTACAGTGTATATAGAGATGTAGGTAACGAGTATGAGGCTCTGTAGCGGGGAAGATGTGGGCAAGGGTTTAAGCTGCAGCAGGTACAAGCAAGCCGCCTCGGCTGAGCGTATCCTGTTCCCGGTGTCCGCCTCCCTTCCCTTCCCAAGTGCCCAGCATTGAGGCGCTTGATAGGCAGCATGTGCAGACGCCATTGGCTTGACCAGGAGATCGTGTCGATCGCTGCGCGACGATAAGATAAGGAAGGCTCTCCAAGGTCAATAACAGGAAAGCCGGGTGAAAGGTGCATTAGCCGAAACCATGTTTAACACCACTTTCTGCTGCTCGTGACTTCGTGACATGCTTTTGCGGCGCGTCATACGCGAACATGGTGTTTTAACAATTCGATGGAGTGCAGGCACCAGATGTCGATGAAGTGTCACAAAGGCCTCGATCGCTGCCCGCGGCGGAGCTTTCCTACATCCGGTAACGCTAATGCCATTTTGAGCCTACGCAGAGGCACATCTCACGAATTGTGACCACGATTCCTGATTAACCTGCCAAAGATGTCGGATAGCGAAGAAAACGACTTTTTCGGTGTCAGTCAGGACCTCGTTCCTCCCGCGCCTATCAAACCCGCGGGCGCTTCCGAGATAGATTTTGACGGCCTACTGTCACCCCCACTCAAACTACATGAGGACCTGAAAAACGGCTGCGGCGGTCAACTATGGCCGGCCGGTATGGTACTGAGCAAATACATGCTGCGAAATCATCGAGAGGATGTCGCAGGTAAAGAGATAGTCGAGCTTGGTGCCGGAGGCGGGCTCGTCGGGTTGGCGGTCGCGATAGGATGCAAAGTCAACACCACGTTACATATCACGGATCAAGAGCAGATGTTCGAACTCATGAAGCGCAACATCACACTGAACGCTCTGGAGTCTCGTGTCAGCGCTTCAATATACGACTGGGGAGAGCCGACGCCGTCACAACTACCAGCACACCCGGACATCATCCTGGCAGCAGATTGTGTATATTTCGAGCCTGCTTTTCCGTTGCTGCAAAAGACCCTGCAAGACTTGATTGGCGACAATACTGTGTGCTATTTCTGCTTCAAGAGGAGAAGACGGGCGGATCTGACGTTCATGAAGACGGCGCGGAAAATGTTCAGCGTGCAGGAGGTGAACGATGACCCTGATAAGGAGGTATACTCGAGGGAAAAGCTGTTTCTGTAAGTGCAAAAACTCTCTGATGGGCCACGGCTAACACGTGCAGTTATCGCATAACGAAGAAGACGAGTTGATGGAAGGTCAATGTTATGGTGGGCTAGCATCTGAATAGATGATTGGCTGCGAGTCACGACGTTCAGTGTAGGTCCATGGGCCAAGTGTCGCAAACTCTGGTAGCTTCGTCTAATAGCCAAACCACCGATCCATTGCAGCTTTAGCCGTATTTTACAATTCGTCTTCAGGCTTTCAATGCTGGGAGAGACGGCATCTTATTGGCCCATGAAGCTCCGTTATTGTCTGTCTAATGTTCGTACCCCTTCATTAATGTAGACTGCATAATAAAGGAGTAGGAACATAGGAGGGTAGGAAAGTGGGAAGGCGAGATTATAGGAAGATGAAAAGGTGGGAAGGTAGGGGAGCAACGAGCGCGGGTAGGAGCTCTGTTACTATGTTATTGAAGGCGAACTTATACGCTCGATCTCCATCCATTTCAGCTTTGTTCACGAGCTGTCACTACTATTTTTTCTTCACATCTTCTGCACTAATACTACTGTGTCTATTCTAGCCTGTGCAGGTCTTAGTATTTGAGTATGCAGGTTATCCTGTTTCTACAAAGTGGAACTGTGGTTGGGCGTCTTCGTACCATGGAGCAACAATCGTACGCCAGAGCGCCAAAGTGCAGAGGTTTCACCCCCGAGGAGGCGGATTTATATTATCTGTACAAGACGTTCGCTTGCGAGAACACGAATGCTACTAGAGAAGACATGCATCCGTTGTTCCAGCAAGCTCAGTGGCTGAACTTGAGCTCCAAGAACTACCAGCGCTTGATACCTGCTCTGATAGTTGTCACGCAGCTTACGAGGCAAGCATGCTCACTGTCTTTCCACAACCATATCCTTCATGGGGAACTCAAGTATCTTGTGGAGAAGCGAAAGTATTATCTTGCTTCATTAGCATACGAGACACTCAAATTCGCCCACTTGATGACGACTGAAACGCTTGATATCACCCTGCCAAAATACCTGAGGCTCGAGTTCGATGAACTTGGCGAAGATGGGCGCCAATACGATGCCCGAACCTGGTTTGGCACATCAGTGAATGCTTCCGAGGCTATATACCGTCCACGGGTCAAGCTCGATACTCATCACTTCTACGCACTCCATCACGTTGTCAATTATGGGTCTTCGTTACGATCAAGAGGCGATCTTCCTGAGGATCGCTATCATTATCTGCCACGAAGTCGCCCACGCTATCTGGTATCATCGCAGTAGCATCGAGAATCTACCTTCGTAAGTCGTCATCTGAACAAGTTTGTGGAATATTGCCGCTAATAAGTCTGTAGACCCACGACTACCCATAACGAGCCTCTTTATCAGTTGGTTGACATCAGTCCCGAACTAGGGGATGCTTGGGAGCGTTATATCTTCGGCGGCAACATCTGGACTATCGACTATCCGGGCAAGATCACTACGTATTACTACCAGTTGGATGCAACAACGGGTCGCAGCGATGATAAGACGCGTATTATAGTACCGCGTTGGTGGGTACACATCTTCTTCCTCCAGCCGATATGGACCCACTTCAGTCGACTACATCACCAGGGGCTACTGCGACTGCCGACGGAGCTCGAAAGCGGGTGCGCATTCCGGAAGCATTCACCAGAACCGAGCATGAACTGGACCATATACACTCAAGGCGCTGAGCAGGAGCAAGCTTGCATGATGACGCGTTCGGTGCCATACTTGTTATGGAACCTTTTAAGGCCTGCTCTAGAACGCCTAGAGAATTGCAATAAATTCGAAGACGGATGGGAACGCCCGAGCGAATCGAAACAAAATCGGAAAGAATATGAGGAGATGTGCAGGTCGCTAGTAGATCAAGCCGCTGCATCTCATACAAGAACGAAACCAAACATGTCTGTTTTGTAGCCTGCATTAGAGTAGAAACAGTAGATCAAAGAATGTAGCGTTCATGCTGGCCTCTAAATTCTCTGCGGACATGATTGATCTTCGTATTGATTTCTCCGCCAGCAATTGATAGTGATTACACCCCCAGCTCAGGCGCTCTCTTTAGTTTTACGTGGGTGGGACTCATGCCGGCTCTCGAAAAATTTGGCCGTAACCCCGATCATGGCGATAACAGCAGAAACGGCGAGAAAGTTGACAACCATGTTGCCCTTTTCCCACTCCTCCTCTACCTTGATGCCTCTATGCAGCTTCTTCCGCCTAGCCCAAATGTGGTCATTGACATTGTCCTGCGTTTCTTTATGCCTGATGTCATCGAAGTGCGGGACTTGATTCCCTTGTTTCTGCTGACCAGGGCCAAACCCACCCCATTCACCGTATGATTCTTGACCAGCATGCTTGGAAGCCTCCCCATTTTCCTGTGCGTTGGAATATGCGTATTCAGCTCGCTTCGCACCGTGACGTCCATAGCCACCGGCCTTGTAGAATGAGGGTGGTGGCCCTCGGAAGGTACTGCGCTTCTTGTTCAGCCCGCTGGCCGGCCTTGAGCCATATGCAGCGGAACTGTAACTCCCTTGCGGATATTCACTCCCGCTCGTTCCCCAGCGCGATTGTCGTTGCGAGTGCTCTAGTTGCGCATCGTATTGCGCACGCTTCTCTGGTACAGAGAGAATATGGTATGCTTCGCTTATTGCGACGAAACGTGTGGAGGCTTCAGGGTCGTTGCGGTTATGGTCCGGGTGATTTTTCTTTGAGAGCGTATAGAACTGGCGCTTGATCTCAGAAGCAGACGCCGCCGAAGTGAGGTGTAGCGTCTCGTAATGATTGACTAGGGCGTCGGCGTATCGTGGAGCTGCAGCATGGAAAGGAGAGACTTGTATGCGCCGCTGAAGAGCGGGACCCGTGCGACGGAGACATGAGTGACAGATGTATAGCGAGGATATGCGCGACAGCCGAGAAGTCGACGTTTGAGCGATTGATCGCAGTAAGCTAGATGGGCGGGGTGGCATTGCCCATTACCAATATCCGAAAGTGAGGGTGCCCATGCAGAAACATAAGTTTGGGTGAATGTTCGGCGCGCATGGAGGACGTCATCGCCAAGCTCGCGAGGCTAAGACAAGCATGGCCTAGCTTTGGAACCCAGTCAGTGGGCGACACTCCACCGGCGTCAGTTAGCGGGGCGTTTCGAGACGCTCGTAAATTTCGAGATTGTCCACAAGGCACCCACTACTGCACTCTCGACACGGCCAACATGGCGGCCAAGGTAGCGGACGAAGTCGCCAACATGAAGTGTATGGAAACGCTACTTCTCGCGTTACATCGCCTAACAGCGTACAGTGGACGACACCAACGGCAAACCAACAAACGGCACAACAGAGAACGGCGAAAAGCCAACAGGCGACGCGGATCACGAAGACTCAGACGATGACAACGAGGCCGAAGATGGAGCACCAGAAACCGGCGAAGGCGCTGCGAAAAAGAAGAAGAAGAGGAAGCCCAGAAAGAAGAAGAAGGCTGGCGCAGCAGGCGGCGCAGGAGGGCCCAAGGTGCAGACATCACCGCCACGAGTTCGCATCGATGAGCTGTTCCCCAACGACTCGTACCCTGAGGGCGAAATACAAGAATACGTCAACGAGAACGCGTACCGGACCACCGACGAAGAGAAGCGCCACCTCGACCGCATGAACAATGACTTCCTCACCGAATACCGCAAAGGCTCAGAGATTCACCGTCAAGTTCGACAATGGGCTCAGAACTGGATCAAGCCGGGCATGTCGCTTACTGAGATCGCTGAGGGTATCGAGGACTCGGTTCGCGCCTTGACAGGACACCAGGGTCTGGAGGATGGTGACGCGCAAATAGCAGGCATGGGGTTCCCGACTGGTCTGAGCATAAACCACTGTGCAGCGCATTATACCCCTAATGCGGGCAACAAAATGGTCATCAACTACGAGGATGTCATGAAGGTCGATTTTGGCGTACACATCAACGGACGTATTGTGGACAGCGCGTTCACCCTGACCTTCGACCCCGTATACGACAATCTCATCAACGCGTGTAAGGCTGCGACAAACGCCGGTATCAAGGAGGCCGGTATCGACGTCCGCATGAGCGATATTGGCGCTGCCATTCAGGAGGTCATGGAGAGCTACGAGGTGGAAATCAAGGGACAGATGCTGCCCGTCAAGTGCATAAGGAATCTGAACGGACACTCCATCGGACACTACACCATCCACGGCGGTAAGACTGTACCGATCGTCAAGGGCGGCGATCAAACAAAAATGGAAGAAGGAGAGACATTTGCTATCGAAACATTCGGCAGCACAGGAAAGGGATACGTTCGGGACGATGTAAGTCACTCGCCTACTAGTAAGCCTACTCTTGATCTAACAGGTACCCCAGATGGAGACATCACACTACGCCAAAAAGGCCGATGCACCCAAAGTCGCTCTCCGCGTTTCGTCAGCAAAGACACTCCTCAACTCCATCACCAAGAACTTCGGTACCCTGCCTTTCTGCAGGCGGTATCTTGATCGCATGGGCCATGACAAGTACCTCTTGGGTCTGAACAACCTGGTCAGCGCAGGTATTGTCGAGGCCTATCCCCCGCTGTGCGATATCAAGGGCAGTTATACAGCACAGAGTGAACACGTAAGTAGCCAAGCTCATTGGTCAACACTGCGAATGTGTTTGCTAACGCAAGACAGACATTCGTGCTTCGCCCCAACTGCAAGGAGATTCTTAGTCGCGGTGACGACTACTAAGTTCCAATTACACGTCAAACATGAAGCATTTGCAATTTCATAGTGACATGTGGCAACAATTACATCGAAGCTATGTGTTCCGGGCTTACGAAGCCTTTGCTTCATGACCACGACTGGGCATTGCATATACCGGAAATAACAATAAGTAAAAAAATACCATACCCGATTGATCAGCTTTCACTTGCCCTCCTCTTCTTTGAACGAACTACACATATTCACTGGAGCATATGAATTGGGGTCCAGAGTTCCAGTAAATTCTATTGAGACGAATCGTCGCACATACCCAAGGGGTCTGCTCCGTTCGCTCATCGGCACTAGATTGATATGATACTGCTTCGCGAGAACCAAAAGAATCTAAAAGCCAGCTCCTTCATCTCTTTTCCACAAACATGTCTTTTTCGAGGTGCTTAACCCTCGAAGGTGAAGCTGGTGCCGAGCTTGTGGCCGGCCTCGTTCAGCTTCTGGGTATCGAAAGAGCCACCAATACCGAAAGTCAGACCGCTGTTGACCTTGGTATTGTAGGCGAGGGAAGCAATGCCGAGGTTGTTGATCTTGGCCTGGATGGGATTAGTACAGACGCCCTCGTGCATGTCAGAGACCGTCATACCTTAGCGAAAGACGCAGGGTCAAGCTTGTACTTGGCGGCGAGCTCGAGACCAACGTTGTTGCCAGACTTTGAGTCCCAGACAGCGCGGGCACCAGCCTCGACAGCGGGGTTGACGCGCTGGTAGTACGAGGCGGTAAAAACGCTCAGGGAGTTGGTGGCAGTCACGGCAGCGTTGTAAAGAGGGGTGGTGTATCCGACAGCGGCGGAGTACTTGGTGATGGCAGCCTTCTGCACGTCGTAACCGACTTCACCACCAACGACCATGCCCTCGTGGCTAACGACAGCATCAGCGGTGGTGCCAATGGCGCCAGCAGCCGAGTAGTCGACGAAAGCACGGCCGTGGAAGGCAGGTTGCTTGAAGTGAAGGTTGACCTTCTGGCCCTTGTTGCCGGCAGCAGGGTTGAAGTTGGAAAGAATCTCAGTCTTCAAGCCGCTGGCAAAGGTGTCGTTGAGCTCAACCTTGGTGGCCAGCATGTTGGCGGTGTTCCATGACTGAGTGATGCTGATGCCTGCGTCGTCCGTTGTCAGCAGGTTGATTCCGTAGCCTGTCACCGAAGAGCCCCCCTTGCCGGGGGGCTGCTTCACGTGAAATATATAAGATTGAAAGTTGGAAGACGTATGAAGGGGTATGGAGAGGCTCGTGGAGCGGGGGAGAAAGGAACCGTGTGTCGTACCGTTGGAAAGCGACTTCTTGCCCTCGAGCTGGTGGACGCGTTAGCCATGGCGTTTTTCCGCGTACAACGGCGGGCTTACCGAGGAGGTGACGGGGCCATCGTGGGCAGAGGTTCCCTTGGCGGTGAAGTTGACACCGTTGGGGGCCTTGAGCTTGACCTCAAGGGCAGCTGTGGGCGCGTCAGTGGGCTGGCAGGCAGATCAATTGGAGTCGCGGACCTGCGGCAGTGTGGTAGAAGTCCTTGTTGATGAGCTGGAGGGCGGCTCTGTTAGCAATGGCGCCATGGGGAAGCTCGTCGCGGGGAGCCAAAACATACGTCGTTCGAGGCCTTGGCGATGTCGCTGAACGCCGGCGGCGGGAACTTGGGGATGATCTTCTCGACCTTGACGTACTCAGTCATGTTGGGCGGTTTGGTGGGGGATGTGATGGAGGAAGGAGGGGTGTTTGGGGCGTCGTGTTGCTGGCTGCAAGCAAAACTTCTTGAGAAGTCACGGCAGGGTCCGCGCTAGTAATCCCGGATGATCTTCGTGCCTGCCAGTTCACCCATTCTGCATTCCCCATCAGGCACTACCAAACTCTGTTCTCACCATGCTCGTCGACGTCGACTAGAGGCCCCTTCATCTTACTTGATACTAGCATGATGCGACTACCACTCCTGCCACTCCTGCCATCTGCCGCCCTCAATCATGGAACCCGTGTCCAGGCGCAGACGCCCTCGCGCGTGGCATCGTCTTGAGTTGTTCGGCCCACTCGCCCAAGCCCATGTGGTCGCCAGTCTTTCCCTGACCGGAAGCTTTGTACAGCGCAAGAACAGCGCATGTCATGTGGTGTGGGGTTGTCTGCCTGGGCGACAACGTTGACCCTGCAGGCACATCCTCATGACAATATAATCCAGTCACCATCCCAATGGCGAAGACAGCCCACCTACTTGCCATTTGTTACATGTCACCTTAAGGATCTGACCATGCAATTGAGGTGCTTGTATATGTAGGGAGTGGGATCTGGCCATGCTCGTTCGCATCGCCTGCAGAGATACCTTGGCGTCTGCACATTAGCTATCCACGCAAACTCTGAACAAATGACTTCCCTCACACAGCAATGTTAACCACAAAAGTTGCATGGCATTGCGTTGACAAACCGATGGGAGGGTGTCATCGTTGGGTCCATACCAGCCTTACCATCGGTGGCCGATCTCGGGTTCCCAGGCGGCTCTACTCCGCGCCCCGCTAAATAATTAAAACTCCTAGAGTGACTCTGACGTTGATTATTCTAGCGCACGCGTCTGGACTTGCAACAAGACCACAATTAAATCCGCATTCTCTTGACACGTAGACAGACCTTTGGATACACAGAGCACGCATCTCGTTGACTAGTCGCCGTTCACAAGGGAGCCGAATCCCCACAATCTCGCCAACACCACAACCACAATGTCTACCTTTGGCACGCACTTCAGGGTCACCACGTATGCATACGCGCCGTATAGCTGCCCGACGTCTACTGACCTGCTATAGCTATGGCGAATCCCATTGTCTTTCCGTCGGCGCCATTATCGACGGTTGCCCGCCGGGCATGGCTCTTACTGAGGATGACATCCAACCCCAGATGACGCGCCGCCGACCCGGCCAATCTGCCATCACTACCCCCCGCAATGAGAAGGACCGCGTAGAGATCCAGTCTGGCACAGAATTTGGTATCACACTGGGCACCCCGATTGGCATAAGGGTTATGAACGAGAACCAGCGCAAGCAAGACTACGGCAACAAGACGATGGACATGTACCCAAGACCGAGCCATGCCGACTGGACGTACCTGGAGAAGTACGGTGTCAAGGCTAGCTCAGGTGGCGGACGGAGTAGTGCACGAGAGACTATTGGTGGGCGAACTCCGGCTCAATTACCGTACAAATGCTAATCGAACCCAGGACGAGTAGCAGCGGGTGCGATAGCGGAGAAGTACCTGCGCGAAGCCTACGGTATCGAGATCATCGCATTCACCAACTCCATCGGAAACGAGTTCCTCTTCCCTCCCACACCCGAACACCCCACCGCATCCACGAACCCAGAATACCTCAAGCTGATCGACTCGATTACACGCGACAAGGTGGACGAGTATCTGCCTGTCAGGTGTCCGAGCGACGATGTCACTAAGCGTATGGAAGACTTGATCGCCAAGTACCGCGATGCGCAAGACAGCATAGGTGGCACTGTGACTTGTGTCATCAGAGGTTGCCCGACAGGGCTGGGAGAGCCATGCTTTGACAAGCTGGAGGCCAAGCTGGGACACGCTATGCTGTCGATTCCCGCAACCAAAGGGTTTGAAATCGGATCCGGTTTCGGAGGCGCACAACTACCAGGCTCAATTCACAATGACGCGTTCGTCAAAGCTCCTGCTGTCCCGGCAGGCGAAAATCCCGATGCAAGCAAGTACCGCTCAAAACCCAAGCTTACCACCAAGACCAACAACTCGGGCGGTATCCAGGGTGGTATCACCAACGGCGCGCCCATCTACTTCAACGTAGCTTTCAAGCCGGCAGCGACAATTGGACAGGCGCAGTCTACAGTCACATACGACCAAGAAGAAGGAGTGTTGGAGGCCAAGGGCAGGCACGATCCTTGTGTAGTCCCTCGTGCAGTGCCCATAGTAGAGATGATGGCTGCATTAGTCATTATGGATGCTGTACTGGCCCAGCAGGCGAGACAAGGCGCGAGGAGCTTGCTTCCACCGCTAAAGGGTGTCCAACCCGTCAATGGCGCTTGATAGGCCCGACGATGTAAGTCGGGTATAACGGGAGTTAGGGCGCCAGGGGCTGCAAGTGTACAACGTTTTTGCGCCGAGATGAATGAAAGTTATTAGACTTGATGTATAGATAAAAGTGCGACGAATCCACAAGGTCAGAGTTCTCAAAGGGGCTCAAAGGTCAGTTTGAATCGGTATACAGCAAGTTCAACAGCAAGAAGCAGTTCAGATGCTACCCATGATATAACAAACTTGCCCATAACTCTCGGCCGAGCTGACGGATTCGTCGGCGAGACGAATAGCCCACATGTAAGCCGACTGGGCAAAAGTGTAGGACTACATCTCGACCTTTGGTACATGCATCTTATCGGTAAACTGTAGGGTGATGGATGCGACTGTAGACTAGTCGAGACGTTCCGACAGAATGGTAAGAGGCACCGCCACCTGTTGATGTCTTTATCCATAGAGAGGCCGATGTTCTCCGGCAAGGACTTCCAGCCTCCCAACGGAAGACGGTGTGGGGGCTGCAAAGTCGCCACACCGTAAGAAGAGGGTGACCAGAGAACAGCTAGGATGCATCGGCAGCGGATGCTATCGGGCCTTCACCAAAAGTAAGAACCCTGGCTGTTGGAGATCCCTTCGCTTGCAGCCGCGAGCCAACATGACATAGGACACGCTCCGCGAACCCCTCTTCCTCCAGTCTATCTTCTTGCCTACAAGCAGCTCTTGTCAGTGTCGCTCTTTCTTGTCAGGCCGACATCGAGATTGCGCACAAGCATCCTTGCATCCATGTGACGATAGCCATGGCAAATCCGTCCAATGCTTGGTGCGCCATGCCGAAGCTAGTCGTTGATGCTGGTGGTGCTCCAGAAAACTCTGTCCTGTCGCAAGTTGATGCTGCGGTACCCGAACCCAGGCTCCACCGATAGATTCGTCCCAAGGGCGTTCTGACGTTGTTTCCGGCGTCGCTTCCATCTCCGCAAAGGCCGCTCGCGTCCGGATATGTCAGCTGACCCATACCATTCCGGGATCTCGATTCGAATTCCCACGTGCGGCACAACCTGTCGCACGCTATTCACCTGTTACAGCCCATCGGCTGCTGCAGTACGCGTCTAACTGCCAATCTAGATCTTGGACCAGGCCAATCGAGCCTCTTCGTCGTGGTTGCGCATCGATCCTTTTGGATGCCGCCTCTGGCTTTGCCACCTTGCCGAAAATCATCCATGGGCGATTGTATCTTGCCGAACGCAAACTAAGGCAGGCACGTTGAACGTCGCGACGGGCGCCAACGTCACAGCTACCTAATTCGAGCCCGCTGTTCCTCTGCCTCGACACTGGTGGCTAATCCATATTACTTTCCTACCCGGCCCAGATAATGGAATAACTAACTCGTCCTCGGAGCCTGCGCGGACTGTCTCTTCACCCCCTTCGTGGTCAACCATGGCCCGCGCCGCTACTGCCACCTCATCCAACAGAGACGACCAAGATAACTCACAGGCGCAGGACACAAAAGCCAGTAAGAGGCGTTGTGTCCAGTCGGCCTGTGTGCCCTGCCGGAAACGCAAGTCCAAAGTAAGCATCAATCTTCCCAATGCATGATCTAATTCCACGTCGAGCTCCTACATTTGGCCCGATGCTGGACATTCGCCTCCGCGGACAACTCGTTACCAGCGAGGATCATCTGCAATTCTTGTTTGGGCCACTCTTCGGGCAACTTTCCCGGCCCCTCGCTACTAGCCCTCCTGCTGACACCTCATCTACAGTGTGACGGTAGCACACCCATTTGCGCGACTTGCACTGCCGTTTACAAAACTGAATGTTACTACGATGCTGAGAGCGAAAGTCGCCGCACTAAGGCTGCTCCAACGATTGCAAACAATACTGGGACCAAACGCGACGCCTCCCTTGTCGCCGCCTCCAGCCCCGAAAATGCATCCAGCGCCGATTTCATCGTCAATTCGTTGAGACGACTACCTGAGGAGCACGTCCAAGAATTCCTCAATCACATTCGAAGAGATCCCAACCTCGACCTCGCCTCCCTAGCTGAAACATGGCGCAAGAACGTGACGCTGACGCAGAGCGAGCCCGTCGATGTTCAAAGCCTCGAGTCAGATCTGAGCGTGCTGCTTGGGAAGCCAGCTGTGACGTCCACCGGCCAGAGCAGACACTTTGGACATTCCGCAAGCCTAGGCTTGGTACCCGAAGATGAGAACTTCGGTGGCGGCCGGCTGCGTACCAACAGCGTGAAACCAGAGCGTCAAGGTTCAACGTGGACCAACGTAACCGATGACCTGGCTTTTGTTGAGAAGCTGCTTGATCTCTATTTTACCTGGAGTCATCCTTTCTACGTGCTCTTCAGCCGAGAATGCTTTTACAAGGACTTCAGAGCGGGACGCGACAAGTATTGCTGCTCTCTACTGGTCAATACTATATGCGCATATGCATGTCATCTTACGGACGATCCTGCGGGCCGCACGGATCCTGACAACTTCCGTACTGCTGGCGATCACTTCTTTGCTGAGGCCAGGCGACTTTTGTTCGACGATGAGACCCCGAGCCTGACAACTGTCCAGGCGCTCTGCATTATGTCGATGCGTGAGCCAAGTACAGGGAGAGAAAGTTCTGGCTTTTCCTACATGGGAAGGTGTCTTCGTATGTGTGTTGAGCTTGGTTTGCACTTGAACTACGGCGCCAACCCTACGCTTGGCTTGACACCAAGTGAGATCGAAGTGAGAAAGGTCACATTCTGGGGTTGCTTCACTGTAGATACGTACGTTGTCCCGGCTACTCTCACAATGATTGTGCTAACTTGACGCAGAATCTGGACGATTGTTACCGGCCGCATATCTCAGCTTCCTCGAGCTGCAATCACTCTCGACAAGCCTATGCTGGAAGAAACCTCTAACCTTCCCGAGGCTTATCCTGCCCCCTCACAAACCACAGTAGGTGGAGTTGTGACCACCCGCATGTTCCTTCAGGAATTCACATCGCTCTCGGAGCTCGTCAATGACAACAATCACATGTTCTTTGCGCCAAAAGAGCGACTTACAAGCAGTAAATTGCTTGATTGCTACCATAGATACCAAGTCTGGTACAGAAGACTGCCAGCTTCGATAAGCCTGGAGGGAAAGAAGGAACCTGAGCCACATATATTAGTACTACAGTATGTCTGAACGATTGTGTTTACTTTACGAACAGAATTGACACTACACGTAGCATGCTTTACTGGACCATTATCGTTCACCTCTTCCGGCCTTTGCTCAAAGTCGACCTCATTCACTCCGATATACGCCCCCGCGACATCTGCGTAGACGCAGCTAACAAAGTATCTGAACTAGTCCGGATCTACCGGCAGTTCTACGACTTTCGTCAGGCCCACCTGCTCATACCACATGTATTACTCACTGTTTGCGTTGTGCACTTGCTCTATTCAAAGGACAACAGTGTTTCTCGACAGAACCTCATCGAAGGCATGCAGGGACTAGACGATCTTCACGAGTGTCACTATTTCGGCGCGAGGAGTTTCCGCATCATATACACCTTGGCGAAGACGTGGAAGCTGCCTTTTCCAGAAGAACTCGGCGGTTCCTCGTTGATACCAACAAGTGACCCTAACAAGCCCCAAGGTACTATCAGTCCTCCAGCAGATCCTCTTTTGATACCTCCCAATACAACAACTATCACCGGCAATCGGATAGGTCCTGGTCGTCTTCATCCGCCTATTACTCAGAGGAGGGAGAGCCTGTCGATGTTTGCTCCTCAAGCAGGGTTGCAATTGGCTACCCACCCCGCCAATTCGAGGCCAGGTAGTGTGGTATCGAGCCAACACCAACCGTCTCCTGTTGTAGGGCATACACCCACCCATCATACTTACAACACGGGGATGGCTTTATCGACATATCAGTATTCGCAGCCCATGTCGTCCGCACCCAACATGTCTACGGCAATGACATCTCCGTCTACCGATACCGCAGAATCCATGTTCTGGAACCCGATTCCTGGAGTGCCAGGACCGATTCTGCCACGCCACACTTATCAGCAATTAAGTCCGATGGGTCTGGAGAGTGTTCTCCACCACACAGATGTAGGTGATCGTCTTGGTCGGGATGGTTTCAAAATGAGCGAGGACTGGCGATCGAGCCATATCAACGGTTTCAATACAAACATTGGAAGCAACGTATACGGCAATCCGCATAGCCAGGCAGATGCCGGCTATGCGCACCGAGCGAGCTACGTACAGCCGACTGAAAATGTGAGCTACCCACAAAGTACACATGAGGGGAACCACCATGCGCAAGAAGGGTACGATCCGGGATGGTGGCAGAACACGAACGGAAACCAAGGACCGATGAGTTGATAGACGCGCGATCCCAAGATCGATTATGGGAGCGTTCCTCACGCGAGGCAGCAGACGGTTCCGTAAGCTCCACCAAGGCGGGAAGCCCATATACGGCAGGCTTGATGAAGCTCGAGTAGCGTTGCTTAGTGGCATCATTTAGCGGGGATAAGGCGCATAGGTGCTGAAAAACGAGTACATCTTCTCAACTACACGAGTTCAAGGTTGGTGGACCGCGAGCTCGTACGGATGTGTAACGTAGCAATAGTAGGGAAATGCCATACATTCAGTTTATCCAAGATGTTCCATTCTGTGTGCCTGTTCTCTTGCGCGCACGAATTAATGATGAGACATACTATCAAATACAGGAGTATGAATGTGTGTATTAAATACATTGTAACTATATAGAGACATGTACGGGTAGTCTAGTTGAAATGATGAGATATGAGAGGGTATAGATATATGTGAAAGAAAGGCCAAAGAACGATATAGAGGCCCGATAGGCAGCAAAGTATGAAGCACGCCGTTGACATCGACTTGATATAACACCTCATCCTACAAACCAGCAACACATTCAAACACCCTTCTGCTTTGCAGCCTGAACAAGCACACTAGCAGTCCCAGCACGCTCTTCATACAAGCGTCTGAGGTCTTCGACGGACTGCTTCTTCAGGTTCATCTTCTTAGGCTTCAATGTTCGGCCTCTCGCAACCCCAGTCTCGGCATCCGCGCCATCTTTTTTCGATTGGTCTTTGGCAAAGTTCTCGAAGCTGGGCATGCGCTGCATGAGGCTTGGACTCGGGGTACGCAGACGGGGCGCAGCAGCTGGAACGGGGAGCGTGGATGCTTTGGTGGGTGCGTTGATAATGGGAACTTGAGGCGTCACCGGGTATACGGGTCTGGCGAGCGAGTTGATGCTAGGGCTACGGCTTGTTGTTGATGATGTTGCGGAAAAGGGAATGCTTGGACGGCGAAAGGCCGGTTCTGACGCTGGTGCCGAGACTGCGCTTTGGGGAGAGGTCAACTGAGGCGAAGTCACGCCTTCGCTCGATTCGTATGTCGAGGATGGGCCTCTCTTCGCGATAGAGTTGTTGCTGTAGTAATTACCTGTGAGACCTGGAAGCGCCATGCCGCCCATCGGTTGTTTGTGAGCTTCATCCTGTGCGACGACGGCCTTGGAGACATTGTCAATCTGCATCGCAGTCAGGGTTTTCCTCTTAGGAATGTTGAGTCTAGGCGCAACAGTAGGAGGAGTAGCAGTAGTAGTAGAAGAAACGTGAGGAAATGGCGCATCTTCTTGAGCGCGAGTAGAAGCTGACATAGGAAGGACTGGAACTGGATTGCTCGTACCAGACTTCTTCTCATCCGTTTGTGCATTCCATCGCGGGGGTAAATTAGGGGGCTGGCCGATGCGGTTATCGTCGTTTCGGGGTGGGGCGAAGCCATCGGTGGTGGCAGCGTAAGTTATGGGTGACTCGGCGACGTCTTCAGGCGCGTCGGATATGACAGTAGAGTAGCGAGGTGGTACTGAAAGGGGCGGTGCAGGTTTTCGCTGGACAGAATCGGCAGAGGATTTGGCCGACGGTGCGCGCGAGCGTGGAGGTAGAGGAGGCGGCAAGGCCTCGCCTTGTGTTTCCTGTGGTTCGTGATAGGTGGGCAGCTTCTCATTGTCGAGTAGCGTTATACCGCTCATCTGATCCTCCAATGAGCCTTTGCTATCTGCAGAATCACGCTTCGCATCCGCAGGGTCCTCCCAGTCGTTCTCGTCTTTGGGTAGCTCGAGCTCATTGTAGAAGGCCTCCTCATTCTGTCCGCATGCTTCTCTAAGCCCCTCGGTCCACATGTCGACTGCTTGGGTAAAGATCCTTCTTATTATCGAAGACATTTTGGCGTCTTCAAGCTGATCAGGTCCACACAGTAATCCGGGTGCGAAGCAAACAGCGAGATTTTCGGCTGTCATTTTGTTTTCTTCTTGTCGTGCGGCTATGGCACTCATGAGAGGCAGAAGATGTCTGCATAGGATCTCGCGGGATATGCCAGGCAGCAAGGACCACTCCGAAGTTGGCGAGAACAGGTCGGTGAGTTTGTCAAGTTCAAGAATCTCTTGGCTGTCTCCATAGAGCCGCTTCAGGTCCCGATACGAGTCGGTTGGGAAGATAGGCTGGCGCAGAGATGCATACCATGCTTTGATCAGAGCTGCTGCCATGAAGACCGAGTATGCGTCGGTGGGGGCCACCTCAGCTAGTATCTCCTCTTGATGTTGGGCGTGTGGGTAGGGTGGAACAGGCAGTGTCACTTCGTTGTCCTTCCAGATGATGTATTTCTGGCCCCGATCGTATGCTTCCTTCAATGCATCGCGCAGCCTCGAGTGTGGCGGTACGCGAAACAGGCCTTCCGAGGTAATGTTCTGCTCCATGAGCACGAAGCTGGTCGTCTCTCGCAGCACGCGTGGGAACCGTGTCTTGCCATTGCTGCCTGCGGGAAAAGGGGCGCGCGCGCCAAATGCTCGTTTCCCACTGCCATTGAAAGCGGAGATGTGTTCGCACACACGACGGTCTGCAAGATAGGTCGAGGGGGGTATAAGCAGGTTCTCGATTGGGATTTCGCGGGCAAGCTGCGTCAGATTGGATACTAGAAGGAGTCAGCATTGCTCCGCGCTGCGGGGTTGTGGATACGCACGATGATAGATCTTTCTCCGGAACTTAGGGCTGACAATGGTAGAGAAGATCTCAGTCAGTATCCGTACCCAAGCTTTCTCGTGCACGATGTACAGGCGCTGGAGCCTCTTGCGCATGGCTCTGGACAGGACATGGTACGCCTGCAGGAACCAGCCCCAGCCAGGCCGGTGCTTCTTGTTTGTCGCTGAGCCATCGCCATCGCCGGCAAAGAAGACGACCTCGTATTCGAATCCCTTCAGCAGTTCGTCTTCCTCGGGCAGGCGTGCAAGGACATAAGGTAGTAGGGAGTCGTAGTCGGCTTCGTGCGAGTCGGGGAGAGCGGCGGCGTTGAGGATGAAGACAGGCCTTCCCTCTTGCGAAGGCAGCGGCGACCGGTAGAGAACGGAAGCAGCGATTTTGGCCAGGTCGGGCGAGTAGTTGGAACTGTGCTGTGGTGGGGGTACTGCGGAGAGCGAGGAGCTGCGCAGCCGACTGGCGATGTGGGCACGCACGCCGCTCATGGCGACGAGTGAGGGGGCTGGCAAGCTTCAGTCAGGTTTGCCGTTGACAGTACGTAGAACTCCAGGGCAAATCAGGTTAACGAGCACGTGCGGACGGTATACATGTAGTTGGAAGGGTCGATGGACGACCTGAGGCGGTGCGATGCGGCTTATGCGGAGACGCAGCCCTCAGCCTGCATCTATAAACAAACCTTGGGTACGTCACTTTCAAGAGCGCCACGAGAGTCTCAACTTTTTTAGCGCATCCAAGCACGGACGTGGCTGACTCTGATTTGACTCTATTACTCCAGAGTCCCATGTGTTTCAGATGCCGCGTCGCCTGTACAGGGAAGCTCTGAATGTATGCACCCTTGCAGACGACGCGTGGGGCTGCACATGTAATATCACGCATTACTATCAAGACATGAGATCCATGAATCCATCAGATTAGGCATCATGTTTTGCCTGGGCAGCAAACTCTACTTCCAAGTATCCAGCGTCATTCCGTGACATGAGACGCGTTTGCTATGATGCGTTCCCGTTGATCAGGTCGCACAGTGCGCACAATGACTCTTCAGCGCTACTCATCCGTCTCCGAGCCAGTGCCATTGCCATCAGCTGCTTGCTCGTTGAATACTAATTGCACGCCTTCTTGTTCCAACCTCTCCCGTAGATCCTGGAAGCGTTGTGTGTTCTCCCCAAACTCTTGCATGTTACTACCCGCTTCTTCCAGCGCCTGTGCCAAGCCCTGCCCGTCCGGACCTGGCCGCATTAGCCTATCTATGCCTATGCGCTGGAAGTAGGATTGGAACTGCTCGAGTTCGGCTAGCAGCTGCTCTCGTATGGCGGGGCCACGAGGGCGTCCTGAGAGTGACCCAGCCACCGAAGGATCGTACGACTTTATATTGTCATCGGGAGCTAGTGGATCAGAAACGGATGTGAATTTGGACTTGACGCGAGGGTCAAGAAGGGCCATGAGCGTTTGGTTATCCGAAAGGATGACATGTCGAGCAAGGTCCGTCTCTGATATTTGCGCAAGCCAGTATGGATCCTCTCCTGCTCCCAGCTCTTCTTCGCATGAGTAGCAAATCTCCACTAGCAAAGTCGTTCCTTCGGTGTTGTTCCACAAGTCTTTCGCCTTGGGTACATACAGCTGACATAGCAGCTCTTGATACTGGCCGTTTGGCTCCTTTCCCCACACAGGTTTTGGTATCGGGGAAATATCCAGCTCTTTGCACAGCCGCGCTGCAAGCCATGGATATTCTTTGACCGCGTTGCGCAACGTTGAGCGTGCTTTCTGTGGCTGTTTGATGCGATCGTGAGCAAGTGCAACGCTGAAAGCGAGATTCGGTGGAACCTTCCACTGTCGCTGGAGGTAGTCCGCTTCGACCAGGTCGACTAAGGCGCCAGGCTCTCGCCCTCTCAAGGCTAGTTGGTCGACGAGGAGTCGAAGACAATAAGGATCATTCTCAGGGTCCATTGCAAGTAGCATCTTAGCCCACTCGAACGATGTACGCCACGTCGCACGAACACCTAATGTGGATATATAGCGCCACACGGCAAGCCAAAACTCGCGGTTTTCCGGACGGCGGAAGTCTAACCGGGCTTTACCAGCCGCCAGGTTCGCAGAGAAGGTAGAATGTACGGAGCGCCCAAAAGTGAAGAGAGCACGCTCCAACATCTCGGACGCAGCAGCAGGCTCTCGCTGTTGCTTAGCAATTTCTGAGACTTGAAGCAGAGTCGAGATGTGGAAGGCTGGGAACGACGTTAGTACTCTGTCCGACATAGAAAGTGGCTCAACTTACGGTTGTGATGCAAGAGTTGGATCATACGCTCAGAATCCATACTTGCGACACAAATCTCGAACTGCCTCTGGACATCTTGATACATGTTGTTGTGAACGAATCTGTACTCAACAGTGCCGTCCGCTCGTTTCTCGACAATTTCCATGCCGAGAC